TCTCTTTCCTGATGAGCTCTGCCTGCATACTATAACATATTGCCATACTGTCACACCTTGTGTTTCATAGCCAATCTCTCTGTTCATCAAGTTGGCAGATAACCTCTAGATGCTGACAGATGATATGGGGGATGGCATTAGGCCGCTATTGTATGCAAAACCAGGAAGAGCATTTTCCAATAGCTTATACCAGTAATTAATAATTTATCCTTATTATTTTATGGTCTCAATAATGTATGGTTGCATGAATATTTAACAAGAAGGCTATATAGAGTATTTGTGTGATCTTATTCCGAGACGTTTAAGGACCAGACAAGACCAAGGGAGTCGATCACATTTCTGTATTGATCAACAGGTCAGAGGTGAAGACTCGTCCTCACATTCATAGTCTGCTAGTGTGGAAGAAGGCTTCCTGTTTTCACTGTAACATTAAGAACATAACTGGCTTCTTTCTCCAAACACCTCATTGCTTTAGAAAGGCATAAATATCCAAGACAGCCAGGAGCAGTTCCTTTCAAATCCCACACACACGCATATCGCTCTCTCTCTCTCTCTCTCTCTCTCTCTCCACCATGCCTCTCTCTCTCTCTTTCTCTCTCTCTCTCTCTTTCTCTCTCTCTGTCATTTGACCAGCAGTGCTTCCTGCCACTGAGGACCTGTGACTCAACAGCCAGAATACAGCACCACTCTCTTGCCCACCCTCGTGAATATTCATAGAAATGAGAAGCTCAGACCCATCCATCTTGTGTTCATCCACATTTATATAAAATAAGGAAGTGTGTGCGATATCTAAACGGGTGCTGTGAGAGGAGGGGGCGTGGGGAGGGGGGCTGTTTTACACTAATTTCTTTATCCCTTTCACAGGAGTGCCATGTTACAAGAGAATTCCTGAGGCGAGCCAATGGCCCGATAAATCTGCCGGAGCCTCTCTCTCAATTTGTCTCCGTGGAATGTCAGCTGGCAAGCGCCCAGACACTGAGAACCTCTTTTCACAATGCGCCAATCTAACAGACGAGATCCCATGTTGGAGCTACAGTACAGTACAAGGACTGGCATGGACAAATTGCCACGTGCCTTATCTAGGTCTCTTTATGTCTAACTGTCTGAGGTCCTGCTCCTCGCTCGGCCTCTGAAGGCCAACTTCCTTCCAGTCATGGTGCTTAACCTGAGTGGCTGAGTGGGTGACATTGACAAAATGCAGGTGTCGTGGAAGAGGAACCTGTGATATGACACAGATGCTGTGTCAAGCCGTCTTGCTCCACATGACCCGCAGTGTGAACAGAAATTGTCCTGTTTGGTGTCGTTCATCACTGTGTGGCGCAGTCTCCCACATAGCTCGGTCCAGGTGGTGGAATGGCAGAGTGGGAGAACAGACCATGTTTGTGTGAAGATGCAACAACTATCTCTCTCTTTTTCTCTTTTTCTCCCTCCTCTCCCTCCCTCCCTCTTTCTCTCTCCCCTCTCTCTCTCCTCTTCGAACAGACTGCTGTAGCACTCTTTATACTCTATTTAAAGGTTGAAGGTCAGAAAACAACAAGATGCTGCCCCACCTGTGCCCCTAAATGAGTCATGAGTCATGAATGAATTCAATTATTCAAAAATGTACAGTATCTGTCGAATCAGATTCATACATTTATGTGCACGGAAGGATAAAATTGCAGTGTCCTCTATTCCTTTAAAGAAACCACATTTTGGATATGAGATGGATTTGAGTAGAGACACATTTTTTCTCTTTGAAGATAACAAGTTTTTTATCACACATGTAAAAAAAAAAATCTCCAAATTAGGTTTTGAGGAGAGGTTTAAGGTATTACCCCTCCTATTGTGAGTTGTACTGCGATTTAGGACACATCATAAAGTCTTCACTGACAGTAAAAGATTGTGTGTCATTAAAAAAGGTAATGATTCTGTTATAATGTAGTGGGATCCTAATTGTTGAATCAAATTGTTGTAATTTGTTTATATAAAAACCGTTTATCTAATAAAATATAAAATAAAGAGAGACAAATAAAAAAACTCCAAATGAATACATCCTCTACAGCTCTGAAATTACAACACAGTCAACCACACAAGCGTATTTAAGGGGCTCATGTTACTGCATGACAGTTGGCATGACTGTAAAAAAAAGGCCTGTGCCAAGAGGAGCTGCCAATGCTCAGCATGGCCGGTTTTAATATTTTAATGTGTTTCATTACAACAGTATGGGCCAGATAGCCTTTCTGACGTCCAGACAATTGTCTGCAAATGAACAAGATTACATGACAAGCCCTGAATGACAGAGCTACCCACTGCAGCACACCCTCGCCACTTATCTGATGGTAGCCTAGCAACAGATCCCTGACCTGGCTTTGACCTCCACCCGATAAGGTCAATACCTGAAGGCGCTCCCATTGGATGGCTTGCAGAGGGAGAGGTGGAGCTTGGGGATGAAGGGAGACAAAGGACTCACAGAGCAAGGGCAGCCTTCTCTGCGTAGAGTTCCCTGCTCCCTGCTGACAACAAAATGTTTGTACAAAAGCATGCCAGACCTCTTTACTCGGGTTTTTAATACCTGGATGTGTGTGTGTGTGTTTCTGAGTGTGTGCATATGAGGAAAGCCAATCATGAAAGAAAGTACTTGCTGGCTGTCTCCTGTAGCAATTCAGCCTTTTTTTTTTACACAGGGTCAAAGATGTTTCCTCCCAAAACACAGCATCAATAAAAGGAAAAACTGCAGCTGTAAGTGTTCATAATGAAAACTATTGTGGTGGCAAACATTATGAAGGAGGTGCTGGATGTGAAATTAATCGACCAGAGCAGCCCACCCTGATAGACATCCCTTCTTCTCTATCAAATAGTGCACACACACATACAAAACCTCACTTGGTTTAACGGCAGCGATATGGAAGTTAATCCAAATTGTGATCGTGGCAATATCCTATTAGAGCATGGCAATAAAATCAAGCTGAGACTGGCGACACATTACAGATATCAGAACATGTTCAGCACGCTCCATTACAATACGAAGTGACATTAATCAGCAGGGGTCCTTTTACACACACATAGAGGCATAAAAAAACATGCAAATCACACACACAAGAGTGCATGACTCTAAAGTAGGGCCCACAAAAAGGACACACGTTTGAATTTGAAGTGCTCTTTCATCTGATATTATTTTAAATGGGGAAAAGGAGTTATCACTGGCCTTTTGTGAGATAGATTCAGACATAGTGTACATAAAAAAGATAGTCAAGCAGCCAAGGGCAGAGAGGTGGACAAATGAATGGCTGTTCACGGCACTTTTGGTAATTATTTTTGCTCACACAGCCTCTGGAATAAAAAGGTGATTTAGAGGCAGGTGGCAGACATTGTTACTGTCTTTTTGCTTTATGACTTTTATGTGAAAAATGAACTACAATGCCATATGAAAACAGCTTGAAAAGATTAAAAAAATACATTGATTTCAGAAGTGTGGTTGCCAGTGTGTGTCACAAATCAGCTCACTTATCCTTCTCAGGTTCTAGTCACATTTTAGTTTTACTGTGCTGCATGCTATAGTGCACTAATCTCTCTTCTTTTTTTTCTGATGTGCATTGTTGGCACTGCAGACTTGATCACTGCAGACTTGATCGCTCAGCCTGTCACGTTTGGCACAGCTAAAATAACTACCGTCCCTGAGTCGGAGGACCTTCACTTCCCTCCAGGGCCTTTTTGCGAGACCTCTGCCCCAGTTCACCCAGGGCAACCTAGGTTCCTCCTCTGTGTGTATTTATGTGTGTGTTTGCACTGTCCCCTTACTGAAGGGAAACTATTTAAGGTCGAAGGGCAGGAAGTTGGCCACCTGCCTCTGTCACACTAGTCAAAGCAGTAGATCAGAGAGAGGAAGTAGTGGTAGGGCAGAGGACAGAAAGAGTGAGTAAATTGTGTGAGCGTGCTCTTCTCCAACTTTTAAAATTACAGTAAAGTTAGGATGGTGGCATGATAAAACCTCACGTTAGTATAAGTTAGCCTCATTCGTAAGTCTTCTATAATGCCCAGAACTCTCAGACTTTTTTTTCTCTGTAAGCAGTTTGTTGACCTTTGTGAAACTTATTCTACCTTCATACTTCACACCTGAAACGACCGCTGTAAGCTTTTGAGTTTTCCAAGACTACTGCTGAATACCTGGAAACATGGATCTCTCCATTGGTATTTGCTGGAGGCGACAACCCTCCTCGCTCCCTGCATAAATGTGCCAACCGAGGACGAGAGCATAGAAGGCCAGAGGGCAAAGAGGGAGTGAACCACCTGCTTCTGTCACACTGTCAGGATGAAGGCAGACGAGTGCAAATAGGGTGAAGTGTGTGTGAGAGAGTGTGTGGTGTGTGAGCGAGAGTGTGTGTGTGCATGTGTGTCTGGGTTGGGTTGGGGATATTGTGTAGGAGGGGGGACAGGTGGTGCGCCGGACAGCGCTGGCACAAGCCACCCCAGGATTTATCACTCAGCGACAGTCACGGCTGGGCAGGGGACAGATGTTTCTGTTTACCCCAGGGCAACATCTGACTGGCCGAGCCTAACGTTAGCCCAACCAGCTTCGCCCGCACAGGACAACGCCTGAGAGGATAGAGGGGGAGAGAAGGAGGCAGAAAAAAAAAGAAAAGAAGAAGAAAGTGGAGGATGTTCAGTTTTTGCCCCTTAGGCACATAAGCGAGTTAGCTTGTTTCTCTCCAGTCTGCTCCACTGCAGCACCTGAAACTCATTTAGCCCCCACTAACTGTTGTGCCACTACAGGGAATCGTTTTAATAAGTAGTAATAATGTCGACTGACAATATGAGCTGTTTTCAAAGCAGGGAACCTACACCGGTTATTGTGAAGAGACACAAAACAATTCTAATTGACCTCCACATTTTTGCTTCACAGCAGTCACAAATGCACAGCTCTTATTGTGGCAGTATTTACAGCCTATTCAGTGGGAACTTTATCGTATTAGTGTGTGTGTGTACTGTGTATAGTCTGTGTGTTCCAGCTGGGAAATCTGAGAGCAGTCGCTGGTAATATAGCCAGAGCAATGAGGAGTGACCTTTAGGTTCAACCCTGAGTGAGGTCATGTCACTGTTGCCATGGATACTATCAGCAGCCTGTCCTGTGTGCAGCATTACCTCAGCTGCGTGGCATTGTCAGGGTCAGAGAACAGGCTGTGACCTCCCCATGGTGACCGACCACTTGACTGGGAAGAAAAACAGCACCAGGATAAACATTATTAACCTGGTAAAGCTTATTTTCTATGAATGGAAACGTCTAGTGATGGCACTGCGGGCAGAAGCATACACTTTTTACACTGATTTATGACTGTAATAAGTCAGCCTGGGAAATTGAGTTTGGAGTTTCCAATTATTAATTACCGCAAATATGAAGTAATAAGCACAGGATGGTATTACAGGAAAAAATCTAACACTAACTGAGCTGAACATAAATTAGTGTAAGAATCAGGATTATTTCAATATCTAGAAACTAACAAGGAAAGCAGACGTGTGCCTGTGATTTCATTCCGCTCTCTAATGCCAGCACTGAGCTGTATTTTAAAGATGCTATAACTGATCTGACCCTGACAATGTCCATCTATGCTCCTCAAGATTTCTTTTCAGTGTTTACAACTGTCTAAGGTTTATCTGCAATACTATTCCATACATGCATATAAAACCTTGAATCATAACTCTTTGTCAAAGTTTAATGTTCTCCCAACAGAACGAGTAGTTATCTGAGTGTTTAAATTAAGTACTTTTCCCCTGAGGTAGTTTAAGACATCATGTATAGATGTCTTAACATATGCATATTTTGTACTGTCCATTAAAATATACACAAAGTGTACAAAACAAACAAAGTGCAGAGACAAAAGAGGAATATAATCTTTCCTTTTCAGTAACATCTCTTCACTATGGACAAATAACCTGTCAGCAGAGTATCTATCTGCAGGTGCAGGTAAGAAACACGAGCACATGCACGTGCATGCACACATGCACACAAAAGACTTTAATAACTGCAATAAAAAAAATTGTAATATTTAGTATCACAACCCAACACAATCTTCTCCTCAAATTGAAAACCTTAATGGGATGTCTTAATCATTTCATGCAGGAGATGCAATAACATAAAAAATTTCTATTTGTGGAGCGTGTTTGTCCACTCTCCTCCTGATAGGCCCTATTTAATCATGTTGTTCTGTTTCCTAATTAGCAGAAATGCAAAGTGTCTTTGTCACCTGTGGACAGCCAAGAGGGCTAATTTGGGCTTTTCACTAATTGCCACGGTAACGAGCCTCCTGCGCCTCCGCTGGGGGTGGGTGGAAGGCATGGCAGGAGGAGGACTGGAGGATGGAAGGATGGAGGGATGAAGACACAGCTCTCCTCACACGCGGCCGAGGTGTGAAAGAACGCGGCAGGCCAACAGAACGCAGCCTGGAGGAGTCCAACAGCAGGGAGTGGGGGACAGCCTGCGCTGTGAAAAAGCCCCAACACCCAGCTGAGAGGGAGGAGGATTCAGCTCTGGCCAGTTCTGCTCTCTTAACTTTGATGCGGAGATGACTACATTGGGTTGGATAGTTGTTGGACGTTTTTCTGACACTGACACCTGTTTAAGCCCCCACCTGATTTAATGCTGGTTCTGACACAATGTACCTTTCTCCTCTGTTCTTTTAATAGAAAAATTCTAGGTATAACTCAGCAGGCAGTTTTTAAATTAGCCTGACATGTATGATGCCTGAGTTTAGGAAATAGAAGTGAGTGATAAAAGAATAAAAATTATGACATCTTCAAATGTCTCTTATTTTCAAGGTAACTCTTAGACAGTACATATGATTGTGGAAGGGCACAGAGCCTTGGAAATTTTACTATTCACTCTATTATATAGGCTACTATTGAAACTGTAGGTAGACTGAAAAAGTGCCAGTAGTTCAATACCATGGGAGTAAAGCCTAAACTAATGCATTTTTACAAATTAATTAAATATACTCAAATCCTAGACTCAAATTTGCTTATTTTTGTCTTTAATTTCTTAATTCTTTCTCTTTTTCGAGGTCCATATTTCTCCAAATTTCAACAAAGATACAACAGTCGTTTAGAGTGAAATAAATATGACCCTGAACATGTTGTTTCATAGCGCCAAAAGTCTCATGTCCATTCATTTTTGCATAAATTATCGTCTCTCAGTCATTTCTATATCAAAGCTGAAAATTAAATTGTTTCTATTTACATCAATAATTCGGCTCCATCTATGCCCCCCCACCCTGCATTATTACAAACCTTTTCTTTTTCTAATATATTTCCCTTTCAGCTTTTACACCCTCAATGCTCGGGGGCACCTTGTCCGTACGCTGCTCTCGGGGGCGAGCTCCTCAAATGTGTGCGTGCGCGTGAGAGGGAGCGTGTTAGAGTGTGTGCGTTAGCGTGTGTGTGTGTGTGTGTGTGAGTGTGTGTGTTAGAGAGAAAGAAAGAGAGAGAGAGAGAGAGAGCGAGGGAGAGAGAGAGAGAGAGAGCGTGTGAATGTGTGTATGTGTGTGAGTGAGCGTGCGTGCGTGCGCGCGCGCGTGCGGCTGCTCTGCTGTTGCTGCCCTTTGATCCCTGCATTAGTGTTAGTTAGGGGCTCGGAGACACACTTGCACCGAGAGCAGCCATAGTCAAGACACGGCAACAACAACAGCGGCACCTCCTCCGCCTGTGTTCCCATTCCCCAACAATACACTTTAAACCGAGCAAAGCCAGGTGCACGACCGAGTCCCTGCCATCACTGGCGCCTTCAGTCTCAATGGGAAAACCCTTTTTTCTTCTTATCCCTAAACAAGGACGAGAATGTGATTAAAAACGGGGGAAAATGCCAAGGAGGAAGCAGGAGCAACCCAAGCGCCTGCCTTCACGTAAGTCACTCTCTCGATTTGTTCCATTTTCGAGCCTCTCCGTGTGTTTTGCGCAGTAGTTTGGGGTTAAAGAGGTGAAACAGACAAAAGACTCGGCGTAGGTTATTTCTCCCTTTTTAGGTCCGAGCGAGGCAGCCATGTTGTAGGCGATGGGTAACGTTAGCCCAGGCACTGAGTGGATAAATGATACGTGGCTTTATTAAGAGTATAATCGATAGAGGTCCGAATCTGCTAAAGGTTGCGGTCAGTTGGCATATGTGTCGGTTGTGTGTGTGAGGAATAACGGCCGAGCGGTGTCCGTAACGTGCTCGCCTCTCTTGCTCGGTCGCTTTTCGGGTAGAAAGGGGAGGATCTGGGAGTCTGGCCGCAATAAAATGAAGGGTCAGTCGGATCAGACAAGCCAGAGTCTGGCTCCCCGTACCCTAGTGTTCCTAGTTAGCAATAGCGCTATCTAGCAACGCTTGGTAAACTTCATTTCCTCGGCTTTAAACGTCTAACTTTCGCCTCACAGTTTGGGCTTTTTTTCTCACCACGGAACTGGATTTGTTCGCGCTTGTTTGTCATCGACTTTAAAAAGTGTGTTTCCCCCCTCTCTCTCAGGCAATGCCTTTTCTCTACCCCTCCCAGTCTGCATGCAGGCTATGTCAGAGCCATGGTCGGTCACCTGAAGTTCAGGGTTTTCCCCCCCTTCCCTTTGCAGCCATTCATTGCAGACAGACTACGATCAATAACGCGGTTAGGAAAGAGAAACGACACTTCTGCTGCTCCGTGTTGCTTAAAACAATCATATGTCACAGCAGAAAGCGATAGAAATCAGCCTGGAGTTGATTTAGGAAGGAGGCTGCTTTACTTTTGTACATTTGACCCACCGTGTCTTGGATGTTCGTATTGTGCCTTTATCAGTCCAGATAATGAAAAGCTGCGATAACACACTCTGTCCACTAGAGGATTGCAAGAGATGGTAGTGGGCAGTGACAATTATTATTAAAGGAATGAGCCTTAAGTGTCATTTTTTTCTGCTCTTGATTATTTCTGCTTAATATTGTGCGTAAGTAAACAGCTCAATTAGTCACATTGATATGTAAATGTAATGAATAATGGATTGATTCATCTTTAAATTGACCACAGGCTTGATACATTTATCTTATGACACTTATCTTCTTCATTTCTTAAATGTCAGAGCATGCCAGCTGTTCAGTCGAGCCAGACATGATCAGAGAGGCACTTTGTGTTGTCTCTTTTTTGCTCAGCTTACACATAATTTCATTTCCAGGGGCCTGAGGAATGAATGAGAACCTACACTTGACACACTTTTTGACACATGAAATTAAACGTACACCTTCATGCAACTCCTCAAGCTTCACATCGTTTGCACAAATGCTGCTTTTGTTATTCCTATAGGTTGTGTTTACTGATTTACTGCTTTGTTGTTGACCCAAGGACGAACTTGTGAAAATGCAGCGGTTGGCTGAGAAGCTTAGAGGTAGAAACTGGGTGACAGTAGAGGGTCTTTGTGTGTATATGTGTGAGACTGAGTGACAGGGAGGTGTTGGGACAGTGAGCCCACCCTGATATGCTGCATAAAGGGGATGTACGCCACATGGTCGGAGTACACAGAACCTGGACGTAACCACACATTACACAATGCAAGATTTGTTTTTTGAGTTTGATTTGAGAAACTTGTCCGCTGAATGTGTTGACCAGAATCTGTCTTTATTGAGTGATTTAGCGTGTAGTGTAATCACTTGCAGTAGTTTGTTAGTTCTACACCTGAAACGCTTTCTCTAATTTTCTCAGTGACATTCATCTACTTCATTTGATTTATTAAATGACATGTTTCCAGAGTGTTTGAAAATGCTTACACAAATATAGCTGTATATTTATATAGTGTAAGATACTCCAGCAGTAGAGTTTATTATTGCAGACTGATTGCATTAGTTACATTTTTTTTTTCACACTTGTGAAGTCTTAGTTAAGAGTGACTCATTATTTCCCCTGTTTACAGGTGCACAAGTATATTAATAGTCCTCTGATTATCTTTGTCATTTGAGTCAGCTGTCGCTCACTCTGGTAAAAAGAAAGAGGATTTTATGTTTCTGTGTTTCAGACATGAAATAATAAGAGAGCTGAAATAGTTTTCCACGTAAAGATTTTCTGACAGCTGTTTTGATAATTGACATATTTGTTTGAACAATGAAGTGAAGAAGTCAAAATTCTCTCAGTGTAGTTGGGCATATTTTTTGCTCTTTTCCAAGGAAGTATCAGAGTGTCTTTTAATTGTGCTTAAAAAAGACATTTAAAGACTCATCTGAAGTTTTAGGAAAAAACTTAATGTCATTATAAAATGTATTATAACACAATAAAGCCTTGTGATTACTGGGAAAATAATCACCAGATCATTAGATAATGAAAAAGTACTAATCATTCATTTTGAATATTCAAGCACACACACATATATATTATATTTTACACACTATAATAAAGCAGGAGATGTGCTGATGATTTGATAACATGATCCTGGAGGCTGCCTTTTCTGAGGTGTCCTGGAACTTAAACAGGTGCCTAGTTTCAAAACTGTTCCTGACACAGTGTCACCAATTTATAGTCTAGATGTCCAAAATTTCCAACCTTTTGGACCAAAGTAAGCTCATGTCCACCTTTCAATTAAGCTGCTTTGTAATTGGTCTGTAACAAAAATACTCCTCACCCACGTATCTGAAACCATGTCCTCCTGTGTAGGCACAGTACTGGAGCGTTGCTGTGCCAGAGCTGCCGGGGTTTAAATGAAAGCCTTCTCTGATTTAGGAGTTGTTTCCCTCCTCAGTCAACAAACTGTCACAGAAAAGTATGAATTTGTCAGAAGCTTTTTTGCGCTTTGTTTTGGATCTTCCCACTCTAGAATGGAAGTGTCACCTCATGCCATTCGCTGTCAGTCTGTGTGTTTTCATTATTCAGCCAACAACACCCTGGTGGTGTGCCAGCCAACAAGCACAATATCGAGCTTCAAATCTCTTCATCTGTGGTGAAAAAGGGCAAGCTAATACACTGGCTTTAATGCTGGAGGTGCTTTATCTTAGCACAGACCCAGATATATGGGCTGTGTAGCCCGGCGTGCACTGTCCTATTGTCTGTGGCACAGCTTGCCAGAGGAGACTATTCTTTAAGTGTGTGTGCACGGCACGCACATGTAAAAGTGAACACGCAACCTTTGTGTGCGAGTGTGTGTGTGTATGTGTGTGTCTTTGTGTGTGTGTGTGTGTGTGTGTGTGTGTGTGTGTGTGTGTGTGTGTGTGTGCGTGGTTATGTGTGTGTGTGGGTACATAAGCCGACCATGGAGGTCACAGTACAGTATGGCGCCTTCACTCTGACAAGTAAACATGACCTTTGGTGCCACAATGAAAACTGCCATTCTTTATGACCTTGCAGCATGTTATTGTTGGTGTAATTTTACAGCCTGAATATTCACACTTAAAAGTTGGACTTGTTGAAAATGGATATTAGGTCTTTTTGTCTTTGTCAAAATCAGCCTAAATGTGTCGCTTTTACTCTAAAATATCACGTTTTAGAGGATGCTGTGAATTGATGGATTGTTGCCACAACATTTCTCTACCAGCAGCATCCAAATCCTCTCTAGACAGGTGGCTGAATAAGTTAAAAATATAGACTGCGTGAGAGCCCTCATCATAAAGCACATAACCTTGTGTATTAGGAGGAGTACCTGTGCTCCCTGTGTTTGAAAACGCAGACTTTTTTAACATTTCCAGACTGATTCTGCTCCTCATCCTCAGCCAATAGCAGACTGACTAACTGACTGGGTGGCTCTCTACCTTACTGTAATGGCGGGTCACTGGCTCCCTTCCACTTGCTATGATTATAATGACCTTGGTGGGGCTGGGGCCTGAAAACATTGGTTTAAGGGGAAAGGAAAATGAGAGGAGGTTTCCATTTCGCTCTTGGCATAAAAATTTGTTGGAAATTTCTGCCAAGAATACCCCCACCTCACCTCACCTCACCAGCACCACCATCGCCGCCATGTCCCCACCCCACCTCTCAGGTTGATGAGACTTGGGTGCTCTGGCAAGTGGAGCTCAAGCGAATAATGATATACAGGCTTTAACTTAAAATGAATTAAAGGGCAGGGGAAAGTTGCTGGACACTGTGCTCACCGTTTGCTTCACAGAGTGCCTATGGAGATTCATATTTATGAGCATAACTGGACTCGTCTTTTTTTTTTTTTTTTTGCTCTTTTTAGTAAGTGATAACAGAGACTGTAAGTCAGGGATGGTGTGATTAGCCTGGATCCAAAGAGATGTCTAAGCTTCATGTTACATACGAACGTTAACCTTAGATGGTGAAATACACAGTTGGCGAGGCTTATACTGTATGTAGCAGTGACGAACTGCTGTTCAATCTCTTAAAAGGTGCTGATATATGATTGAAAAAAAAAAGAAAAGAAAAGTCTTTAAGTCTGTTTACAACTGAAGAAGATGGAACAAACATTTTGTTTAAAAAGAAAAAGAAAAACTTAAAATGCTGTCATTAAAAATGTCACGTGTGGGTTGGATTCTTGCGTTGAATCCTTTTACAGTTGCTAGTTTTACAAAAGTTTTTTACTGCTGCTTTTGTTAAGTTTTGGTTATTATCCCGGGACATTTTGAGTACAGTTGTACAAAAAGAGAACTTTACCGTAACACTTACTATTCCAGGTCAAGCACCGTGCTTTTATGACATTGACAGTAGGGTTTTCAAGGTGATGATTCAAGTCCCTGGATTTTTTTGCTCTTGCAGGTTTCCAGTGATTCAATTGAGAGACCTTCAACAAGGCCACTTTACTTGTCTGAAAACCAGCACAGAGAAGACGGTGTAGGAAGCAATCATCGACGTGTCCCACTTTCTTTCAAAGACCCTTTTTAGAGGTCTTATACCCTGACTTTCCGATCTTTGATAACTTTTTGGAAAAAAATTAATTGTGAAATTTGAGTTGGTTTTAGGCTATATGGCGCAATTTTCTGATAAAATGTTTAAGCTTTTTAGGATCAGGACTGTACTTGATCACAAAGCAAACTGTTTAGTTCAGAACTTCAGACTTTAAACTTAAGTCATGTCCGTGAGCTTTGCTTCCTCTGCTTTACAGAAAAGTTTGGATGATGTGCTTCTTTTGGCTGTAGGCTAAACTATGCTGGTTAAGTTAGTTCAGACGAAGGGTTTCTCGACTAATTGTTTGTACTTGTTGCTAAACATAAAAAAAAAAAAAACCTTTTTTATTATGTTAGCAACACACAGAAAGTATGCTGCTTAATTCTTCTTTGTGTTGCTTTGGCTTCTGGTGCTGCACAAGGTTTGGTGTAATCAGAATAGTGTCACTATTCCTCACTCAGAGATCCCTTCAGAGTGTATATTAACATGTGCACTGCATTGTTACTACATCGACATAAAGCACCTTTTACAGTACTTTTGTGTGAGTTTCATAAATCTTCTATCATTTCAGATTATTTAACCCATACTTTCATCTTTTTACTCCTGCTTATCTCTTGGTGGCTGCAGAGGTCTGGTACAAATTCCAGCTGGCAAACAAACAAGCATAACAAAGTAATATGACCTTAGTAAGGATCAAGTCTCATGACTTTTGTTCCCCCCCCTTCAACCAAAACATGTGTAACCTTCATTTGATTACTGGGAGTTTCTGTGGATTTTGCAGAACTGTTGCACTCTTACATTGTTGTCTTTATCTCCAAAGTCTATAGTTTCTTAACAAGAAGGTAACAGGGGTTACTGGAAGGAGACTTGAGATTTTACTGATTTGACTGCTGATAAAAAGATCTGATTTAGTGTTCAGCTGGAGTCTAGTTTACTAGTGTTGTGTAAGTTGTTCAGTATCTTACTTGATGACAAAATGAGAAAAGTCCCAAAGAAAAACACTGATGTACTCTTACTATTTTTGATATATTGATTTGATAATTAAATATCACTCTGTGATATTATAAAGTACATGTCCAGTGGGCGTTTGACATTAACAGTAAGAGGTTTATTTACTCAGGGCTTCAATTGGAGTCTGAAAACTTTTTAACACAACCTGAAATGAGTTTCTTGTTATCACAGACAGGAACAAAAGTTGTCACTGGATGCTTCCTCAGATTTTTGGTACATTTTCGCTTGTCTTTTCTTTCAATTTTGACTGATCTAGGACAGTATTTTAATAATTTCCACTATTTTGGTTTTAGCCTCAGAGCTGTAAATGTACTTCTGATAAAGTCAGGAAAGGTATTTCTTAATTTTTGAAACCAATTGTTGATAGACTACACCTCAAGTGCACAAAGGAACATATAATCCTTCCCTCTAGAGTGTGATTTCCAAGTTTCTTGTGTTGATTTACTTTGAGATGTTACTTGAAAAACTTTATCCGAAACAGTCGACTTAAAAAAATTGTGCTCAACACGTCGTCGTCCAGAATCAGATTAGGATTAACTTAATTTGGTGTTTGGTATCACTGAAGTGAAGTTAAAGAGGAGCTGAAAATCCTCTGCTACGCTAAATTAGGTATCAGTAGCCGTCCAGAAGTACAGTACCTGCCTGTCTGCCTGGTCTCAATCAGACCCCCTCTGTGTGGAATAGAAGTGCCTCAGCCTTGGTAACGATTTTTCCCGTGTTGACAAGTCACAACATGGAGATCTACAGCTCGGAGAGCAGCCCTTTGGCTACGCAGAGCCCTGCTTGCACTGAGTAATAGCAATCTCACAGGAGTAGCAGGCTTTCAGCTGGCAGCAGTTCATACGGAACAGCTCGCCGGTGCAGCTGGGAAAGACAGAGCAGAGAGTAGAGGAGAGGGAGAGGGAGAGAGGAGCTGCTGGTGGTGTTGGTGTTGGTGTTGGTGCTAGCAGTGGAGATGGAGGGAGGAGGGAGGAAGTGGAGAGAGGAAGAGCTGTTAAGAGCTTTGGGCGGTTTCTCTGTTGTTGTACCACACAAGTGCATCCAGGCCCTGCAGGACAAGCCTTTAACAGGCATGAGGGATGGAGAGCATGAGAGGAGAGGAGGAGGAGGCGGCGGCAGTGGAGGAGGAGGTGGTGGTCTGGGGAGCTGAAGCCGGCCAGTCGTGCCAGACGCCTGCTCTAAACAGGGATGTGATTTATTGTTGGACTTGCGTTTCACTCCTAGAAAGGCACTAAAATTACATTGTGTAGATATAAAGGACTTTCTGAATCGTCTTTAGAGAAAGACAATCGCCCGTGGGCTGTAAAAATATTTTAGAGCATGCGGTACATCTTTAACTCGCACGTAAAATTTGGAAGTTGAAGGCAAAAGTTGGTACACGATTTTGCCTTTTTGGCTTTTGAATGTGCTTTTGAATCTGCTCTTGCGGCTGTAACATACTGTATACTTCCACTCCATACCGCTGCGTTGAAAAAACAAATTAATTCAGTATAGGCGGTTATTGAATGTATATTTCGCTAGGGGGCTTAAAATGACTTTTAGCCACCATGTTGATCTTTGTCCCCTTTGCTGAATGCACTCTGCACAGCGCAGGGCTATGAGATGACCTCACTTCCTGTGTGGGTAGAGGAGGGCAGAAAAGGCATCATACACACACACGCACGCACGCACGCACACACACGCACTTACAGATACTCTTAAGCACGGCCTGGCTCTCGCTGGCCTTCAGTGCACGAGCCGGGCCAGCCCCTCTCTCCTCTTGGTTGTGGAAGTGTTTCCACGCTGCACGTTTCGGCAGTCAAGAGCAAGGCACAGGCTAATGTCTCTAAGTAGTCGGGCTAACAGCTGTGTGTGTCTGCACCTTTTTGGGACGCAGGATCAGTTTTATAGGGAGATTAAAAGTACAGAGAGGGAGTGGGGGCTGTTACAGACACAGGATAGTAGCACCATAAGGCAGTGACAGCTCTCTAGGGAAACAATATATCATCTCTGAAGAGGAGAGTGGAAGTGTTTGGCTGCGGGACAAAAATCCCGAGGAGTTAAGATCATTGATGTGATGTCATCTCAGAGAAAGCCATTGTCAGTGCCATGTGAGGGTTATTTATGATGTTGAAAATGCAGGTGAGCGTCTTGACTAATTCACTGTTGCAAAGGAGGCATCCCCATTTGCACAATATCGCCGTAGCATCTCCCAGCGCATAAAAAAAAAAAAAAACAACTAGAATGTGACCCAGGTCTCATCCTTTCATTGTTTACCAAGGGCATTTGGTCAGTTCATTTTGCCCTTGTGATGCTAATGAGATTAGCTAATCGCTGGATATTTCATTCTGAGTGATGAGCCTTGTAGTTTATGGTACCTGTAAGAACCATAACCATAAGTGGAAACAAATGAAGCCGGATAAATTAGCTGAGGACTGTAGTGAACGAGCAGATATAGGTAGGGAGCTATTCTAAAAAGACCTAAATCAGATGGCTGGGCTCATGATTGCCCGTATGTTCCCAGTGCCCACGAGTGCTTTGAATGGGGGCCATGTTGGTTCAGATTGCCGTGTCATTAATCCCTCGTACTCTACAGGGGAGTGGTCAGCGGCAGATGTATTTGCACTTCCTCCAGAAGGTTTTCTAGATTAGCACAAATCCTCCCAGAAAAACCGTTTAAAAACCTCATTTGGCACGCACAGCCAGACTTTGTGCTCATAGCCGGCCAAAGACAGCCATCCCTCCCTCTACATCTCATTCTCTCTGACTACCCTGATTTTTTTTTTTTTTTTTATATCCCCCACCTTGTGGTTCTCAGAGCTTAGCCCCACGTCGATTTGGACAGGCCGGTGTAATTGTTTGGAAACTGGGTTCTGTCATTTGCATGTAGCAAGCAGCCACTTTGCCAGTTTCAGTGGTTTGACCTTGTTGTACCTGCCAGCCAGAAATGAGATCATCAGAGGAGTAGACGAGAAGCTGACATCTCTCCTACACCTACCCGTGGCTTTAAGTGATGGTTGTCATAGCAATCATTATGCCACAGAACAGACTCAGTGGGTGAAGGATGGCTTTAAATGCGGCAGCCTCAGGTCACAACCTGGTTATGACAAAACAGATAGACCTATGAGGGTTGCAGTACCCAGTCTGCACAAAGTAAACAGCCGCATACATCGCATGTCAGGTCCGTATAGATTTCAGGTGCAGATTAAAATTACTGAGGCAGTGTCTCCTTTTTTATACCTTGGAGAAAGCGAGGCAGGTATTGGTGTAACAGGGAGAGAAAGAGCGGCATGGAGCGAACAATGCCTCTCATTCCCATCAGCTGCCCTGGCCAGCATTTAACATGGAGATTGGAAACGGAATAAGCTCTCCCCTCCTTTCTCCCTGGACCTGCATGTAAATGAGGTTAGCGGTTAGCATTTCCTGCTGTGCCACAGCAATTCTTCTCCCTCTTTTTCCTTTTTTCAAAATAATGGCCTGAAAGTGCTCCCCCTTTTTCCTAGGGTAGAGACCGGGACCAATGCTGATTAGTGTCTCTGTCCTAAGTGACAGGCTAAAATCCAAGCAGGCACTGTCTTGAGTGCTTCTGCCAAACAGACGTCAAACCAATGCCACCATAAAAAAGCTCCCCCACCTCACCCCTCCTTCCTTAATTCTCAAGATTCCCTCCCTCTTAGGTCTTCTTCGCCTCTCTGCTCATTCTCCCTGGTTATCCAGTCTGAGTGTCCTGATCAACACTGCCTCCATCGCTCTGACACGCTGTTCCTTTGCATACATCCATACATCCATACACATATAGGATTACCTCTCTCTCTCTACCCCCACCTCGCTCTGCATCCCTGGGTGGACTGGCTGCTTCAGAGCCGAGTGTCCCTTTTGCCAGTGGGGTGATTTACAAACAATACATGGACGCTGTACACACTCCCACCTTCCACCCTCCTACTCTCTCTCTCACTTCTCTTCCACAGACACACAATCACCTCTGTGAGGAGCGCCAGTGTGCCAGAGAACTACACAGCAGGGTGATGGCCTGTTCTTTTTCACACTTGCTTCCAAAGAATGTACCCCGTCTCTCCGAGAATGCTAGCGCGACATCCACGTCTCTGTTGAATGAGGTTACTTTATCAACCGGAAGGAAAAATTGATGGGATCTGACTTGTGTGTCAAGTGGCTTATAATTAGTAGTTTTTAAAACCACATGAAATGGTAATCTGAGCTGTATTCATGACAATTTTTTCCTAGTATTACAGCAAATACGCAAGGGAGTCAGTTGAATAGTTGGAGGCATATGCTAATTACTGTGTTTAAGAAGAGGAAATTTGAAAAAGTTAAAAAAAGCACTAAAAATACGACTGGTGTGCTCCTGTTGTATCTGTAATGAAGCCGAATCCTCAGGCTTTTATTCTCTTTCTATTTGTACCAGTCTAACAGAAACACTTCATACACTTTAAAACAACCACTGTAGAACAGAGGATTATTAATGTCCACAAGACAGCAGTGTTTCTAAGTCCAATTTCAGTAAGTCATCCAGCATAGGGCAGTAATAGAAAATAGTGTCGGTCAAGAGCACTGTAAGTATCGTTGTGAGGCGTTTATATCTTGAGTTTTTCACACATGTATAAAAAAACACTCAAGTTGTTTTCTGCCATATGTGGTATTTTTAAGAGTGCTGCATGTGTTTGCCTGTATTCACTTTTACAAAGAAGGAAGCCACCCACATAAGCCTATTCCTATGAGATACAACAGCTGAAGTCTTGATGACTACGAACGGCTCTTTCTCACAGAATCAAGAGATTACGCTGTCGCTGTACATCGTTAAAGACACTCTGGCAATAAGCCCCGTTTATCAAGCAACCTATGAATGAATTTTTTTTTTTTTTCCCTGACAACTTGGTAGAATACTCTCTGAAAATGTTCACAAATAAATGTCCACGTGCATCAGCAGAAGCTACAAATAATGACCACCTAATTATATCTTCTAAATTATTCAGTCCAAAAATGAAAATAAAAATGAAAGGTATTCCTTGTAAGTAAGTACTTTTAAAAAAAAAAACGAGGGTCAGATATTCATAGTTTGTTTTGGTATGCTTGCCATCCCTACTGCATCCTCCTGAAAAGCCTACTGCATTTTCTAAAATGAAAGAATTGTGTTTTGGCTGGTTGCAGACAGACTTGGCAGCTGGCTTTTATCCACAATAGATGGAGTGTTATCTTCTGATTCATGATGCAAATGACTACAAATTTCAGATAGACTATGTTTGTACTGTATTGAAATGAAAGGAAAGTTGTTTTTTCGGTTTTCAGCCTACCAGCAGGTTTGAGATGGAGGTTTTTGTTCTGTCTGCCAGTGGATAGTCAAATAAAAAGAAAAAAACAGCCAGAATATTTAAAGGCTACCAATGAAACTTTGCTGGATGTATCATTTGTTTAAATGCCATAACTGATTATCAAATAGGTTGACCTTTTTAAGGAAACTCAAATAATGAAGATATATTCAGCTGATTTTATTGACATGTTTGTCACTAAAAGTCTCAGTTTTTGAAACTTCCTGTCTGTGTTAATTTTCTTTTAAATGTACTTCAATTATAGTCTTCATTTTCCCTGTTTGATGTATGTGCCAAGACATACCTGCAGGTTTTAATGTTGTCTCAAAATCCTCCTCGTGTTGAACACAATGGGTAGCTAAAAAGACAGACTAATTCTTCACAGTAGAGAGAGGAGAGAGGGGGGGTCAGCCTCTCTGAAGAATTGCTGCGAAACAATATCTTGTCAATCAACTTCTGGCTTGTGTTGTAGGGATGGAAGTTTATTGTTAACAAGGCTTATTTCAGCAGCCCACTTATAGGCAAGTGGCAGCTGCTAAATTTTGACACTGCCATTCAAAAGTATTGTAGAGCAATTACAAGAGCATGAAGGCTTTAAAACACTTAGCTCCAAAATGATGTTTAGTAAATCAAAGCAATTCAGTCAGGAAGAGAACAAATTTTAATGCAGAATTAACATTTTAAAAAATTATACCTATTTCACCCTCATGTACATGTGCCACATACTGGTGAGTGATAATCTGCACTAAGATCGCTGTTAAAAGAAACAACCATGGTTATGTTTTCTAGGGCTGGGATGATGTGCTTTTCTCCCAATCCGATTCTTCTATGATTTTTTGGATGCTTTGATTTAAATTGCAATTCTACGATATTATGGATTTTCTCGATCTTTAGTCTGCATTTTTAACACCAGTGAAACAGTTGAATGAGAATGTTTGTCTAATGGCTATTCCAGGAACCATATTTCCCCAAAAAATACACATCACATGTAAGTCAGTTTTTAAGATGTATTCTTAAATTTGAAAACAAACTTGTAAAACAAAAAGTTGCGCTACTTAAGTGAATCGATTTTTTTCCCACTCCTATTTTTTTCGCGTCTTCTTTGATGGTTTGACTTTTGCTGAACTCAGAGAAATCATCTTATTGTACCAGAAACTTGTTAATGAACAGAACGATGCCTAACGAAGGCACAACATCTGAAGTGTAACCTTTGACATTCAGTCTTACATCATTTTTCCGAGGAAAGGACAGGTCAGATTCAGAGCTTCCTGTAGTTTTATCTTGTGGTGATACCATGTAGTTCTTTCTCACTTTCAAATAGAGGGTTAGTTAAACCTAGGGCTGGGCGATATGTCAGTCAATATCACCATATATGTCACAATATAAAAAATGAAATTTAACGGTGTTTATTGGTAGCATGTCTTTTGCAATACAATAAGCTACTTCATCTGTGAGGTCTTTGTGTCTCTTCAATTCCCCCTTTTCATTGGCTATTCGTATGGTCTACCAAAACATGGCAGAATGCCGACTATTGAAAAGCATATTGACCATGTTTTATATTGATATTGAGGGAAATTAATTTTTGATCTATATCATCATTTTATCGCCCAGCCCTAGTTAAATCTTTCAGACATGTAATCTTCTGTAATGCTGCTGAGATTACTTATCAATATAAATAGGGATGAACCACTCAACCAAAAACACTGGGAACCCTGAATAAGTCCGTAAAAAAATCTCAGAGCTGGTTGGTTTTTTAAAAAGCAGTAGCATGTAAATAGACATTATAATGACTGTCATCCGGTGAGTTTGTCGGTTAATCCTTACCTCTGTTCACCGGCACAAACTAAGAGCTGCTCAGGGACCCAAGAGCTTGGAGGGGTATTCAGATTCATTCATGTCACAAATACATCTATGTGCTTAGGATACTTATTGTTTTTTCAGTGATATTGGTGGCTTTGATCTTGGATCTATTTGCACAGTCTGCCACTGCTGGGTACTTTATTACAGACTATTCGAATGCTCATGCCTCAGTCTGGTACATCAACCTTTATTTACCTCAAACGAGTACAACATGACCAGAGCCAGCAACACCAGGCTTACATATTGGCAAAATGACTATCCAGTAGTTTTTATCTGCTCCTAGAAAGAGACTCGATTTCCTTCATTTTTGGCAGACATTCATAATCTGTATCGCAGTCTGATTTTTCGTAGGCAAACAGCTTTTCGTTATGAAGGCACTTGATCCCACTGTACAAAAAAAAAAGCCGTCCATGGTCAATCTCTCCTGAGTAACTCAGCATTTTTCATTTTACATGCATAACTCCTGCAAACATGTTAAGGGAAAAAAATCCAGCATGCTTTCAAAGACTGCCAAAAGCCAAATAGTCCTGTCTCGGTGTGTGGTGATACCTCTGCTGGGGTTTTGTAACATAAACTGAGCATGCTCTTCCCTTACTGAATTAAAATCAAAAACTATTCGTCCATAGACATCCCCAAACTGTCTGTTGAAGTTGTTTTGGTTTTGGTCAGACAGTAAATTTCTGCCAGGTGTCTATATGCCTCCAAGTGTTTTGGCCAGCGTTTGCACACCTCTGACTGTCTGGCACATTGGACAGATTATTGCTGACGGTTCTAGGCTCTAGTTTTCAAGTTGTAGCTTTTTTTTCCACTTAGCTTTCATGGTTTTCTTTATATAGAAACTTACAGCACTTGGGAAGCACCTGAAAACAGGATCTCTAAATATATTTTATTTTCTGTACTTGAGAATTTGTTTGAGTAAAAACAAGCACACATTAATATTTGCAAAAAAATTCACCATGATTAACCAGTCAAATCAAATCAGCACTTTAAAGTGGGTAAGATGCCATGTTTTAGGTGACCGCTATACCATTAAAAATTCAGAAAGAGGCATTCTTTTGCAGTGCCTCTTTTCATACTTCTTGTCCCTTGTTATGTCATAATCATGCATTCATTTAAAAGGGAGGTTTACTATCAAGTTAGTGAGTAAACCTTGTGGATTGCTGGTTTGATTGAAAGACCTCAATCTGAGATGAGCGACCAATGAAGGAGGATGTGGTAAACTGATCTAGAGCTTGAAACTGCACATTGCTGAACAGAACAGAAGTCTCCCCTAGAATGATGCTCTGACTCAGGTTTATTTTGGATCCACAATCCTGTATGCAGTTTTTATGATTTAGTTAAAAAATAATCATACCTTGTTTGAAACATTACAAAAGCAGCCGGGGTTGGATTTGATTAGATTTACGGTTCGCAGCCTGTGTTGGAGGAAGAAAATGTCACTCATGTAAACTGATAAAGTAGTTTAGGGTGAGGCTGAACTGGAAAAAGTTGGCAAGTCCAAGCTTCATATTAAACAACCAAAACTAAAAAAAAAATATGCCTGTGGCTTTTCATCATCATGCTTTTACATTTGCATCTCACTGTGGACTTCTAATATGACTTTGAAAGTGTCTGCGTAAGACAGTGAATGCCCTTTGTCCACTCAGTTTTAACTGGTACACCGAGATTGAATTTGACAGGCTTATGTGTAATAGATGTTTCAGATATTTTCAAGCTGCTTTTGGGACTGACAGCAAACATTGGCACAATTTTCACTCATCAATTACCATCATTAGCTTGCTAATGCAGTTTATATCAAGCGGGGGCAGTAGATTATTGCTGGAATTATAATCTTAATCATGATATACTCTGTGCACATCGAGGCTGAGATAAAAAAAGACCAAAATCAGCATTGTTCTCATCTCTTTCTGGGCAGTTAGTTACTCTTGTATTCTTTGCACTGGTTGTCTCACACCTCCCGTATTCACACATTTGCATCAGGACGTTATTGCATATGCAGTAGAAATCAACTCTCTTTTCAGGGATGTGGGAACCTTTTTAACAGCTCTCAGCTTAGTGCAATCATACCAGATTCATAACTTTAATACTAAGCAGCTAATTTATTATTGGGTTTTGGAAAACGGGCTCTTCCTTTTTTATGCACATGTTCATTTTCAGCTGTCAAAACAATGTGGGCATGTAGTGAGAAATGTTTCTGTAATACAACCACTTCAGTTTTACCACAAAATAGATGTATTTACAACATATCATGGCCTGCCAAAAGCATTTCCGAACACATGATTTGCTTTTAATTTCCACTTCAGGAAGCATTATGAAGTCGCTCACCAGATTCAGTTGTTATCTTCTTTGTAATATGTCAGTTGATGCTGCAAAGATGCAATAGATACACTACTTCTTTCCCTGCAGCAGTTTAGATCCATAGCTTTGATGACACATTTGAGGTTATGAGCAAGTATTTTTTTTAACACGAGACGCTAAAAATGGAAGGCAAAAATAAACCAGGGGGTAAAGTGCACTTCATCTGCAATGAGGAATTTCAGAGGTCTGGGGCTCTCAGTCGTCTCATTCTCTTCCAAGAACACTTCTCCTTCCTGTTTCACCTCTGGCATGCCGCCCAAAGTACCCACAAACCACGGAGGCCAAGGCCGAAAATACACAGATGGTAATTTGCACTACATTTCAATACGACTCAACCGCCATTATATATAGCCCTGCTGCCTGAACCCTGATCCTCAGCGAGAGTATCGTCTCACCTCAGATTCGAGCTAAAAGATGGGCTCTTTATGTCTTTGTCACAGACTACAAGCTGAACAGGAGAACAGAGATGGCCAGAGTGAGACGGAGGAGTTGATTCTGAGTTCTGGCTATGTTTTGATGTTTAACTTGAGCCTTGTTGAATACACAGGAGAATTTTTTTTTCCCCTGGATCAAGTCATCGTGTCGACATAATTAATTGCTGGACGATTGTCTAATGGTTTGGCGTTCTGTTCCAGAGAAGAAAAGTAGATGCAGTTTTTTTGATTTACTTCGAGTAAAGGCCTTGACAATGACACCATAATTGCTCACCGACGGTATGTATATAGAAGTGCTCATATCAAGAGTACAATTTGCCATATGGACACTTGATTAAAATAGGTTACCATAAGGGAGTCGTGTGTCTTCCTAAATAGAGACAAACACATCTGCATCAGTTTCATCATCGTAAAAAAAAGGTAATCTGCTATACTGTAAGACATTTTTGCACACTGCGAAAACACTTGTTAACAGTTATGTTTAATCAGCCTCCTCGTAAAAATAAAACATGATGGATAAACTTTAGAGCAATTGTTACAATGCTCCTGTAAAAAAAGAACAACAGCTTTCAACAGATTTGTGTCGTATTTTTTTTTTTATAATGAAGAGAGAGGGAAAATATATGTCTGCTAGCTCCCACACGTCCAGCTGGATTTATTTGGAGCATCTGTGTTTTATTTCTTTATTTATGTCTAATATTTGTACTCCCTCTTACGGATACAGGAGTAAGACGGAGAGGGATGAAGGGAGACAAGGAGAAAAAAAAAAACACGTGGGTGTGAAAGAGATAGCGCAAGTGCGAGATTATAGAAAAGTGAAGGGAAGCTGTCCTGATCCAGTCTGTCCCAATTAATGGAATTACCTTCCTCCTCCGGAGAACTGTTAGTCATTTGCAGAGACGTGAGCCCGCCAGTAGAGCGTCTCTCCCACCATATTGTCCAGCAGGCGCTAATAAGGCAGCCCTGACCGCCGGGCGTGCTCATTAGCATAGCCCGCGGCCGTGGCAACCCCCGCTAGGGCCCAGCCGGACACTTAATTACCGCTGCGGCTCCTTCCTTACTAAATCCATACTTCTGCCTTCCTTCCTATGGCCTCACCTCCTGCTCTACCTCCTTAACCCACCCACCCCCAAAGACACACTCAGGCACACACAGCCATTTTCCTCTCCCAGCAAAGATGTAAGGCTAATCATTTTGGCGATGTAGATACGATGGCTTTATTCTTCAGATGTTGTGGTGCTCTTTTATGTTATCCCTCTTTTTATAGCTTCGCGGTCAGCAATCCTGAAATTTTACTGATTCCCTGACCCGCACTGCCTCTCTGCGGCTCATGCTCCCTCTGTCTTGGCCTCTCTTCCTCTCATTGCTATATTAGCTCATGGGCATGACTCTCATTTTGACATCGGCAGAGTATTGATGCACCCCTGTTCAGCCTTAATCGGCTAATGGCTTCCTCTTCTTTCCTGCCCAGCCAAATCAACCCCCCCTCCCGCCAACCCCCCCACCTTCCCCTCCTACTTACCATCCTTCTATCTGTCCCTTCCTTTGCCTGCCCGTCTTCTCTCCCCCGGCCCTGCTCAGGCCTTGGGTCAGTGAGGCCAATTTTCATGCCTGGCTAAGTCACAGAATAGCTATGTGTGTACATGTGTGTGTTTGTATGTGTGTGGTTGTGTGTGTGTGTGTGTGTGCAAAGGAGGGGGAATATGTTAGTCAGCAGCCTCACACAAGTCATGTGGACGGTGACCTCCTGACCTACCTCCATTCCAGTCCTGTACACCTCCCTTTATCAGCGATCACTTTGTGTGACAAGGAAGTCTGCCTGACTACTGTACTCGCCCTGTATGTATGTATATGAGAGCGCACACACACATTCACACTCACACATACAGTACATGCACCCCTCTTTGACCTAGAAAAGTCTCGGCCAAAATAATCCTGCCAAGTTCACAAGTGGAGATTGTTGACAGCACCGCGTGGCAAAACAATGAACAAGTACACTACCTGTAATGTCCGGCTGCTTTCAGCTGTACTTAGCGGCTGTGAGCTCACTGTCTCTGTTCTGTGACAGGTAAAAAAAAAAGTACAGAGGTGTCCAAACACTGTAAGTCACAGAGGTGCTACATCAAAATATTTTTAGCCGCTCTGTGCGCACCTCTGTTCAAGCTCAAGGCAGTTCCGGCCAGTCTGAAAGCCTTACACTGGTCCCTTCATGTAGTCTCAGCGTGCACTTTGACTTCTCCTGTTACTCTCTTTGTCTATACCATGGCGGCACTATACATCCCTGTGGCCCAGAGAGAAAATCCCCCCCGCCACTGCACCATTGAATCACCCATGTGTGAGTGATAACAGATCCAGACTGCTGAGCCCCCCGCAGCTGTTTGTCTCAACATGCAAGTCATCCCCGCCATTACACCGCTAAATGGTTCCCTTTCAGTGGCAGACGCTCACCGCCTCAGTCGTATCTCCATGCCTCCATCACTTGAGGGGGGTGGGCTGCGCTGTTACTGTCGCCGAGCCAGCCACTGTACCAGAGGCAAAGCAGTTGAATGTGTGTCAGACAAAAATGTGTTGGGGTTGGGGGAGGACTCGTGTATTAAATCACATTCTTGGCTGTGTAGTTTAAATATATGTATGCACGTGCTTGTGTTTGTCCCTATGCGTGTGGTGGGCACACAGCAGCAGTGCAGAGCTCAGACGAAGTCCCCTTAGAGCCTGGGCCGGAGACCGTGACCTTGGGAAATGTCATTCCGCCTACGGGGGTGGCTTGCCTGTGACACACAAAGCCCTGCTGGTGGAATGCACCAGAGCACTGTAGCCTGGTGCGGTATAGTATTGCGTCCAGCTGCACCTAACCCGAGTTTTGAGAGAGTTCAGCCACAAAGGTGGGACCTTGGGTCAGCAATCTAGCCATTTCCCCTCTAACCACATTACAGCCATTAGTGGCTTTAGCTGTTTTTTCACATGTCACATGGAAATGGGTCAAGCCCTGCCTTGCATGACTCACAGGCTCTCCCTTTCTTTCCTTCTCTTTTATTCCTGTTAACCCAGCTCAGGTGGGAAAATGGATTCAATGAGCTTGTGAAATTGACTTCCAAATTAGTGCATCGTGATATTTTTAAAAATCTTTACAGCAGTTTTGCATCACAAGAAGGATCAAGTTAACTGTTAAGTGATGTTTCTTTGGTTAAGTTTTCCAACTTGATATCATTTACTGAGGATGGACTCTGTGCTCTCTTCTCATTGCACAAAAGTGAAGCCAAAACACCCCTGACATGGGCACTGACATACTGTGCATGTGGTGTCTTTTCAAGCTAAAGTTCACACAGTCGTGATTGGGGGCTGCGGTATTGACGCCCCGTCCCTCCTGCTAAAAGAAGACATCTGTTTACTAGCTACACAGAGAGAAAGATGACTCGGGTCAAAATAGTCTACAATAAAACAACTTTGTGTGTTGTTTACAAAAAATACTCAGGATCATAGAAAGTTCAGTTTGTCTTCTGGTAGTGTTTGTTACCTTTTCTTTTGCTGTTCTTCTTCTACTTTACAAGGACACATCACAGCAGAACTGCATCATCACAGCGCTGTCACTTATAGAGTTGTACCTCATTTTTACAAGATCAAATAACTACTTTAAAACTTGTGGTTCGAGCGAACTTTGAAAAACACCATGTTCAAGAAACGTGAATTTGATTTTATGGCTTAGCCATGTTCCATCTGTTTACATGGAGGAGGCAGGCCTTTTGGCTTGCTTTGACTGACATTGCACTTGTTACCTCACTGTTGTTTGTGATTCTCACACAATGGCTTATCTAAAACAAGATGAATTTAGAGGCTAATTGGTAGGTGTGTACCGATCACAAATCTCTGGCCAATCACAGATCTTTAAAAAAGCTTGACCTGGCGATACCAGTTTTGGCCGATACCATTTTTAAAAAAATAACTGACAGCATACACCTTCAATGTTCTCATCTTATTTTGATTTATTTTGGCCTTACATAAATTACAAACTGAAAACCTTGCCTTTTTCTTTTACTGTGTAATACTGCAAAACAGACGACATGCTTGGTTGACCGTTCTCCAGGTGACTGTTGTTTACCTTTGCAGCTGACGCACATGTTCGTGCACATGTAACCTGGTGGGTGGGCCTGTGGATAAGATCTGTTTCATATGTCAGGATCAGCCGTTCGCTGATCCCCCAAAATTTAGGAAATCATCATTAAATGATCAGTACATGTTTACGAATTGGTGCAAATTGATGCAATAATGGGCATACTTCTTGATGCCACATTTATAAAGTATAACCAGCGATACTATTACTATAATATTGGAATAGTTTGTTGCACAGTGTACTTCGTATGAGAAGATGAACATCGCTTTCATTTTCATACTCTGGAGTCAGTTACATTTTGCTTTTTTTCTCAGAGAAGACATTTTTATGTTGTTTTGGAAAGGCAAAAAACTAATATTTTTTATCAACACCATTGTGTTTGGTTTTGGCAACTGACATTTTCAGTGAACTTTAAAAAAAATCTGAAATGGACGTGTATGTGTGAGACAGAGATGAGAGCATGTTGGGAAGTGTGTGAGGCCTGTTTGATATCTGTTGCACCAGGAGAGAAGGAGTCATACAAGGTTGTGATTGTGGTCACCTTTGTGGACCACGACGAGCCACGCTGGCCAGATGTCAGCCAACTCTAATGATCTTTACAGGTTACTGGACTAGGTTGCTTGGCAACAGTTTTGCCATTGCCTGTAAACAGTGAGCATTGACCCACCAGGCCTCTGTCAGGGTGGCAAAGGTAAAGACTGCTTTGGTGTGTGTGGATAAGTACGTATGTGTAAGTAATCCTCCCATAGCTTCACGGTCATGCGGCTCTAAAAGTGCCCATTCTTTTCAGAAATCTCAGCAAGTGCCTTTTTAACAGAGTTTTTGTTAGGTTGTGTACAGTAACCCAAAAAGAAAAAAAAGTCAGTTTTGACATTTTGTTTTGCTCAGGCCTGGTGCTTTTGACATATTCTTATGGTGGTTTGTTAATATGTATCAGGATATTCACTTTTCTTTGTTCGCCCTTGTCTGGCAAGCTGTAATGTTTTGCTTATGAATATTGATACATGAAGTGTATATTAATGACCCTTGGTGACCTTAACCCTATCCTTATTGGCTCCCCGGTGGTATCTGCAGGCTCATGAATATTAATCTAGTTCTGTAACCTCCATTACCCTAATCTTTGCTGTCTAGCCTCCCAGAAGGACCCGTTGTCATGGTAACCCCTTTACTAGACTCTTCCAGACCAAGGGTGGGAAAAAATATATTTAAAAAAGGACAGAAAAATCTAAATTACTCAAACATCTTGGATTCGCCTTGAGGAAAACTGGCATTATATAAGAAGGAGGTTTAATTTTGTTGGACAGGATATTTTTTGGTGTCCTTTCTGTGCACAGAAGTGTTTATTTGCAGCTCTAAATTCCCATATCTAACATGAAGGTAACTGTGATAATGAATATTCAAAACTGTGTTCTGTGAAGCTTTCGCATAAAAACGATCCCCAGTTATCGCCCATCATAAGATGAGAGTAATCACAGAGAACAGTGAGTTTTCTTTTAAATGACTGCGATAGAGCTCTATGTGCTTGATGAACACAACTTTTTTCTTGGGGTGTTTGCTGTAAGATAACACCTGGTCTAACTGTTAACTTAAAAAAAAAACACATAAGGATATCTCTGCATAATTAACTGTGTAGCATCTGTTTCTGTCTGCTCATGGTAAATTGTATGGTATCTCTTCTCCTCCAGATGTAGACAGCAACGAGGAAGGAGGGCCTGATGATGGTCCCGTGGAGGAGGAAGGCTGGTTTGGGAATGCTTCTGACACCCGCTCAGAGTCCTCGTCCTACGGAGACACCCAGGATGAGCTCCTCCTGCCCAGGGGCTCCTCTCCTGAAGAGCAGCCTGGAGTCAGCTCTGGGTCGGGGGACCACGATACCTGCGGAGGTGAGAGCTCAATGGGTTGCCCCACACCCGTCCATCGTGCCTCTTTGGAACTTCTTGGACTGGATGGAAGTACATTCTCGGCCCAGGACACACTCTCGTCTGTGGTGTCGTCGCTGTACGGCGAGGCAGCATCTCGTGCCCTGGGGAAACCCCTCAGCAGCAACCTACGGCGCCTCCTAGAGGCTGGGTCGCTAAAACTTGACACTGGGGACCTCCTGGGTAGGTCTTCCAGGGGAGGTGCTGGGGGCGAGTCTCCTCCAATAGGTCTTGCTCCACCTTTGACCCTCTCCCCGTCTTCTCATCACGCCCAGCAGTTAAGTGCTCTTGCCCGAAAACTGGCTAATAACAACAACAACAGCGGCTCAGCCTCACCGGCTTCCTTAACACCCTCAGTCACCAACATTAAGCAAGAGCCCCTTGACCCCTTTAACTCTGTCACCCCGACTAATGGCAGTGGCTTCGTTTGGGCAGGTGTAGCAGATAAGTGGCCACCAGCCAGCTGCTCCACGCCCTGTGGTTCCAGCTTGTCCCCAGACTCTGCAATCCAGAAACTAAAGGCTGCAGCTAATGCTGTACTTCAAGACAAAAATGCCGTGGCCTCCTCCTCTACGACCTCCTCCTCCTCCTCCACCTCTGCCTCTTCTGCAGTGCCCGCCCTGGGAGGGGGAAGTCGAGGAGATGACGTGGTGCGCTTCGATGCCTTCAACTCTCCGTTCAGCCCACAGTCAGCTAGCTCTACACTCGCAGCACTCTCCAAGAAAGTCAGCGAGAGGAGCCAAGCCTCTTCAACGACCGGGGCTGCTACTGACCACCAAGCATCAGCTAGCTCTTTTCTCTCGCTCGTGTCCATGACCTCCTCTGCTGCCTTGCTCAAAGAAGTGGCAGCCAGGGCAGCAGGGAACCTGATGGTGGAGAAAAAGGATGGTCCCTCCTTGGGGACAGCAGGTGCCCTTCAGGAGGATGTGAAGCCCCTGCTGGACAAGAACCAGAAGACTCCTACGCCCTCTACACCCACGCAGAGCCTCGAGCTTCTATTGCCCTCTACTCCAAAGGGCAGAGGCAAACCAAACAGCCAAGCAGGTAATGGCGGGTTATTATACCTGCACATCAATCACTGCAATCATACTTTTAATAACACCACATTAAAAAAAGAAATGATTGCATCAATCCAGATATCAGGGGCGGAGATCAGTTCAGGTTTGGTACATTTTTTTGCAGTTGAAAGATGCAGAGACACGGGTGCAATTAAGTGAAAAACACTCAGTTGTTGTCTTTCTTTAAACACAGAAACCGACTACTTGAGCTCATACAAGGTTGTTTCTCTAAAATAAAAAGAGTTGTCTGCGTAAAAGTAAGAGATGATGAAGGTTCAAGAACATTTCAGCTGCACTCCATCTAATGGAAGTTTTCATCTTTTGTCACAGGGCCACTTTCTTTAGAAATAATCATACAACATACCCAAAGTTTCAGAGGAAAAAATTCCCCTGGTATTATCTTTCTTTTCATTCAGCACATACCAAAGACAGCAACACTCATATCATGAAAGGAACTGTGTGTGCTGATGAATTCAAGCTAAGATCGCAGCGGAAGCTTGACTGTGTTTCTGCGTTTACTTGTCACCAAAATACTTTTCCGGAAAAGCACAAATCTGAACTTGCATGACATGTTGTCCCTAGTTTTGTAATGGCTGTGTTCTCACCTCACTGGTGCTGAAGTAGCGAGAAGTGTAGCCTCAGCTTAACTGTCAGCCGAGCAGAGAGCATAGCCGAGAGAAAACAGCTCTGGCTGGCCTTCTAGTCTGGGAAATGGTCTGTGGGCTCGACGGGGGGTTCCGACTGAGACCTCACTGCCTTCCCAGACCAGCTCGTTTGTGCTCGGATGTGCATGCTGCCAAAAGGGGGCCGTCAGTGTGTGCTCAGCACAGTGGGGAGCCCTGGAGTCCATATCCATCTCGGCAGCCTCCTCCTGGCTTCAACCCCCACCAACCAGAGCCCTTTGCACTGATCAGCACAGCAGACTTAAGGCCAAACACATCATACTTTCCACTGACTGGATACAGATGCGTGCATGCAAACACACTCTGTCTTTTGCTCTCCCTATTATGCTCTCTCTCTCTCTCTCTCTCTCTGTTACTCTCAAATGGCCATGCAGTATATTCTGCAAATGTGTACTCAGAAGCAGACATATAACCCAAACAAAGATCTCAGTCTTTCACATGCAGGGAGAGAGAGCTTCAAAGTGCAGGCTCACACTAAGTAGCCTTTAGGGAGAGCAGAATGTTTTCAGGGAGATGGATGGGCACTTTTGAGGGATTGTGTCGCAACCCCGCCAAATCTAAAATGGCTGGATCAAATTGACTTCAGACAGATGAGGCAGTCGATGTAATATTCTGTGATCTGCATGCTAAAAAGGGGGTCTGCTCTAACCCACGAGCCGTCAAGGTCGAGCAGTGCTGTAAAAATGCAGGTAGTTGTTTGGTCGCCAGACTGAGAAATGTGACCTTGATTATTGACTGTCATGTCTTGTTTTATTGTCGTCCCTCGCCAGTTCCACTATAAAACTGTATAGCAGGTATGTTCTTCTCTTTGAAGTTACAAAGACAGCCCCCCCCCCTCTTTTTTTTTTTTTTTTTTTTTTTGAAAAACATGATCACTTAGGTAAGACACATGTTATGTCCGAAGATTAAGGAACCTAACCCGCACACATTTTCTCCCTCCTGCTTTATTTCCGCTTCACTCAGCTCAGCTCTGCATAAGCAGAAGTCATTTTTGCATTGTGATCTCTGCTGTGCTCAGAGAGGTTGGGCCGCAGATGGCGGTTTATTGTTGCAAATAGGCAGTCTCGAGGTTTTACACCTCAGGTCAATGAATGGCTGAGCACAGTAATTTCACCAAACACTGATTACCAGATGTTTTTCAAGGAACAGCACTGGAATACTTATGAAGCCATCCTGACAGGCCCTTGTAGAATTTGTAATGCAATCATGCCTCTTTCTAATAAGACCAATTAAACAGTAATGGATGCCGGATATGAAGCCAACAACAATAATCGAGATACTAAAACATGCTTGAGTTTTTACTTCCATTGTTCCATTGCTTCCAGCTGGCATTTCCCTTGATAGTTCTCATCATTAGGTGTGCAGTCGTTGTCTCTTCCAGATTTGTGTAAACTGCGGTCTGGCTTTTGGAAAAGGGTTGTTTTCATCTTTATAGTAATTCAGCTTCCCTTCATCAACAAAGTAGATGTTTCCGTCACTTTAAGACGGATGACTGGCTTTTAAAACTCTCTCAGTGTCTTTTTGAAAATGATAACAGTGATTTTTGATGCCCTCCAGGCTCTCCTGAGGATGGTGGCAAACCATTCCAGTGTCCTGTGTGCGGACTGGTCATCAAACGCAAGAGCTACTGGAAGAGACACATGGTCATCCACACAGGCTTAAAAAGCCATCAGTGTCCTTTGTGTCCCTTCCGCTGCGCTCGAAAAGACAATCTCAAGTCCCACATGAAGGTGAGATGATTTGTATTGACCCCGTCCACTTTGACACCCTTCACCTTTATCATCTTAATTCTCTCTGAATCTAATTAACATTATAACACATGGGTGCTTCATCTGCTTGTTCTATTGTATTTGGTTCTTTGCTTTGTGGAGTATTTTGATACTATGTTATGTAAATTGTTACGCCTCACTGATATATTTAACCATCATGAAGCAAAGAATTCTTCCTTCTGATGTCCTCTTAATCCTCTATGAGAGCAGAGGAGGGATTTGACATTTAATCCTGTCCCCCTTCCAGGTACATCAGCACCAGGATCGGGGTGAGACGTTTCAATGTGAACTCTGCCCCTTCACCTCTTCCCGTCACTTCAGCCTGAAGCTCCACATGCGCTGCCACCAGCACTTCCCCCGCACAGACGTCAAGGTGAAAGAGGAGCTCACCACCGACACGGAGGGCGAGGGCTCCCTGATGGGTGACAGCGGCTGTGCGGACCTGCGAGCGACCGAGTCGTCGCCGCTGCACTCGGACACTCAGCAGCAGACGTCGCCTCCGCTGCTCGAGGCCTCCTCCAATCACGTGCACATCAAGGAGGAGCCGCAGGAGCGAGATCTGTCCGTGCTCTCCCCCTTCAGCATGTGCAGGGACCGTCCCGGCAGCAGTACCAACTCACTGGACCTGCCTGGTGTCGGGGTAGGGGTTGGGATCAGATCCAGTCCTAGTGGTCCAACCACGGCCTCCCTCTTCAGCCCAGACATCAGTACCAAGACAGCCACTGACCTGCTTATGAAGCTCTCAGGTGAGCGACATTGTTTGATTGAAAATGCATTTCTTTATAGGGCTGAGGTTAAAATTCAAAAGTATCATTTATTCATGTTTATGGAAAAATATTAAAGAAATGCAAATCACAAGTTTAAAGAGCCAATGATAAGGTCACAACAGAGCTTTTGATCACCCAGTTCAGTTTTGAATGGGTTTGTCTGGAACAGGTCATATTTGCCGATGTGTCTCATAGATTATAACAATCGTCAACAATAATAATTGAAATAATCAACAATTTAGCCCTTTCAGGCAGTTTATACGGGTGTACTTTGACTGTTATTGTAGACTCAAGACAATAGCAGTTGCCTTCAATAGTCCAGAGAAACTATCCAAAACAGTAGTGCAGTTATTTTTAATGCCTATAAAAAGAATAAGTCTTCCAATGTGGGCATGTGCTGTACTAAAGTTAGAAGTTATTACTGTCCAAATGTAAGACAGATTGAGAGCTACATGGAAAAACAGCTTGCGGCGACACAACACCAGCTTGACTTCTGTAATCCATAATTGTTTTGTTTATTGTGCTATTTTCTCAGCTTGACTTTCTAACTCCAGTCACTGCAGTCACACTTTAATCAAAAGTATTTCACTTCTTCCAGACTCAAACGTGAAGACTCGTGTTTTCTCGCTCTGAAGCTCGATGTTGTCTCCCCTTTGCCTTAAGTTCTGTTTTGATTCTTTGCTGTCACCAGAAATAACACTCTTAAGAAGTGTAAACAGTTTTATGTTTATCATTTCAGGTCAAGGCTGCAGTGTGTCTCTGTGAGCTGCTTTAAAACAATGGTAGCCTAAAATGTCTGGGAGGTAGTTCAAACCTGCAGTGAAAAGATGGCTTCAGCTTTTGACAGGAGCAAATACACTAAGATGTTTGGACTATTATGGTATCAACTCTTAAAAAAAAAAACAAATCCCACTGGTGTTATCTCCAGCTCACTGAATTGAATAGAAAAAGTTTACATAATATGGACCACATCAGTCTGTAGGGGTCTCAGGAAGATCCAGACCTATTCAGCTGTTGTTTTGAAGACTTAATTGTGCATATTGAGGGTATGGAGCATGTCGTCACTTGAACACGGGTTTATTCACAACCTCAATTTCTGTGTCTTTCCCATGAGTCTTCTGGAAGAGTAGGTTATTGACTTTTAGCTTTTTTCCACAAGTTACATTGAAAGTTTTTAGGGGAACAACACCCAGAGATTTCAGCATTCACCCTTTAGACCCTGATTGAATAATATTGTACACAATATTCATGATAAAATTTAACCAGAATTATCAGCAAAATCCAGATAAATGGAGCGAGGATCTCACCTATGAAGTTTGAACTAACCATACCTGCGTACAAGAGATGATTGGCAGAGCCTCAGTCTACTTTACACTTAGCAGATATTGTTAAGGACAGCACATCTAAGTGATTCATCAGCACTTTACTTATGTCATGCAGCCCAAGTGTGTAATTGAGATGTGTTTGAATATTTGAAAGCGAGGAGACATTCTCAGCATAATCACAGAAGAGTTTCTGTCTTCTTACTCCTGCATGGTATGTTTGGAATCTGATATTGAAATTCTTTCTGACTAACTCTAAACAAATCACATTGCCATTCAAAAAGGCAACCGGGATGAATTTTTTTTAACATTTTTGTAGCTTATCAGTGAAAGTGCAGTTCACGCAGTAACGCTGTGTCATTGAGAGCACAGCCATGGTTGGCCAAAGACACGTATATAAGGTGAAAATGTGTAGGTCAGTCGTAACCTTAACCAGAGAATGTACAGTATGTTCATATCTTATCTTATAGGAAAATATTTTCTTTAACTGCATACTATGTGCTTGAAAATGTCATAACAATAGCAAATTATAGCAGATTCCTTCACCTTTGTTTAGGTATTTTCCAAGGATGAATTTTAGCCTCTTTTACAGAGAGTTTAAATTGCACTTGATAGCTGCCTAGCAGGACACTCTCAGTCCTCTGCTGCAGGCCACTGATTAGCTCCACTGAAGCAATTCAGGACTGAATGATTTGCTCAAGGGCACCTCAACAATAGCTATTGAGGGATTAATTTTTCTCACCACCGATACTGCCGGCTGTCATGGGAGTTGAAGATGTGTAACCTCTCAGGCATCTTTTTCCCTGCCGAGAGCGATCTGTCTACACATGTGAGACAAAATCAGGATGCAAGTTTAGGATGAAAAAGGAGTACAGAAAGTTGGTGAATACTCTAGCTAAAGTACTTAGTAAAAAGTTTCAGCGGTTTAAATTCTATACATGACACAAAATAAGGCTTAAAATGTGTTGTGTATAGAACAGCTTCGTCTAAGCTCTCTAACATAATGATACAGCATTATTATAACAAACTTAACAAACATGCTGTCCTAAGGTAAACAAGGTCCAGACCATGTTTAGATGCATTTCACCGTGCTGCAAAAATATCAAAGGCTGAGCCGGGAGACAATGGCAAGATTGATGGAAAAAGGTTGACCAAGGTTCAGCTTTGGGGTCGAGGCTACGGCTGCCACTCTTCCACTTAATGCTGTGTAATTAGATTGAGATCTTGAGCGAGGATGGGAGGAAAAAACCCTGAGAACATTAGATTAATTAAAAATTTATGCATAATTCATAATTAAAAAGGAATTCATAATTTGAAATGATTAGCGCCCTCAGCGCCATCCTGTGACCCCGCCAGGATGCACGGGGACTGGGCCGGCTTAGTTAACTCCCCCTCGATCTCACACGCCCTGGCTCCACATGGATGCCCCCTGGGTGCCAGTTTCACTTCACTACCAGACTGCACAATCAAGCCCAGGCAACTCCCAGAGGAGCCAAGATGGCTCCTCGCAATGTCAGTCCAGTGTCAAGTGGCGGACATCTTAGTCAGGGCATCATTCAAGGAGAATGAGGGAGGGTATAAAAAGACAGGACGAGAGGACGCTGAACTTGAATACAGGATGATGGGTTTTAATGAATACCGCGTCTTTGATCAGCAGGATCTCTCTTTGTCGTTATGGGGGGGAGTCAAAGATGGAGGGTTATAAAAGTGAGAAGAGCTGGACTCAGATCTTTGGGAGACTTACCCATGCCGAGGAGCAGCCAGGGAGAGAGAGGTGAGGAAGTTCCTCCTGGGACCTTTAGACTCTATTTCTTTTGACCCCTCTGCCAACCCAGATTGAAAGTGTACACGAGCAGCTCATCCCTCCTGGTTTTACACTGCTGTCTCAGTACCTCAATCCCACAAGGCCTGGGAGAAGGAGGGAGGGGAGGTTGGGCAGTGAGCAGTGTGGAGCTTGAGAGGAAAGGATGAAAAAAAAAAAAGACAGATAAAGTGACAGCAAACGAAGAAGACAGAGAACGAGGCAAAGAGGGAGTTGCATCGAGTTCCCCAGGCATTAAAAAGCCAGTGAACTCTTTCTGACCTCTGACATAATAAGCATATCATTTTTTTGGGCTGCCCTGCTTTCCATTGAGTGTTATACTGATACCCTTTGATTTTTATCCTTGCACGCTGACACAACCGTTAGCTATCCAGTGTGATCCACATTTTGATTCAGAGATGAAAGCTGCCGAGGCACTTTGAAATGCACAGCCCCTACCCTGTGCCCAGTGGACCCTGAGTTAATAATGACAGCGGCACTGCACACCCTCCAAACACCAACCCCCCAGCCCACCACCCCCTGCTGCAGTGACACAGGCACAACGAGCTTGACCCTGGCTGGGTGTGAATAATTGGCATGCAGGGGGTTGTGGGAGGTGTTGCATCTGTCATGATGCTTCTGCAGTTGTCTTATTTATCTGTTTCCTCTGAGAGTGTACTACATGCAGCGCTTACTACAAAAAAATGGAAGCACCAGAAGAATTTCAAGACTGCAAGGGGCAATCGTTACTACGTTTAGGAATTTAAAAGACCCATTATATTCACTCTCACTTTTCATTTTGTCAGACCAGGACCCCTATAGAGAAGCTGACATGCTCGCACTGCATGATTTGCTGCTCGAATAACTCATTTATGATACACTGGTGCATACGAAAGCCCTCATTTCAGCACTACGCTTTGTTGTGGGTGTTACTTTTTACACAGTATTGTAGTCATTAAGCCACCTGAAGTCTTTGCCTGCAATAAATGTCTGAGGCTGGTCTTTAGCACCCACTTAGCTCCCCATTTAGCCACATTAGTGTATGTTCTCTGTTGTTAAATTAGCTGCTATTATCATAATACTAACAGCTTGTGGTTCCAAGCCTCCATGGAAGATGAGACAGCCCCAGGTTTCAGTAACAGTTAAGTTATAAGCCCAGCTCATGTTTACAAAGGTTACATCAGTGATGTGATGGTTACATAAAGCTCTGTTAGGCTGTTGTCTTGAAAACATCACTTCACACTGATTTCAGGTGTCTGCATTTTTTGGAGAGGGATAAACCAAGACTGTCCCCCACAACTATCAGACCTTTGAGAGGCAGCTTTCTCAAGACATACTCAGTCAACAAAGTGCAAAGTAGAGGAAAAAGACAGTGAAACTCACTTTCTAGCTTCAGTTTGGGCTTGTCTTAGACAAAATTTTCAGGTCGGCTTGTCCTTTTAACATTTTCCTAATTGGATGGCACAGATTTATATCAGGTTGTCCCAAAACAAGCTGTTTAAAGAAGATATTACACAGGGATGCTGTGATCCGTGTATCTCATGTTATGGAACTTTGTAGTTGTGTAGTATAGACATCCAACATTGTCACATCATGTGTATGTAATGAAATACAAGTCAACATAATAGGTGTCCTCAGAAGGAAATGATTTTTATGAGGTGATTCACTTCAGCCTTGAGTACCGCTGTGTAGCACTACAGAGAAACTCAGGTTGATCAAGCTTGCCCCTCCGAATTACAAATGAAATCAAAAACTTTGCTAACAAATTCATATATTTTCTACTGGTTGCACGATGATAAATCGTTATATGGAGACAATAATATTTAGCTTGTTGACCTACACAAAGAAACAGGAAAATATTTTTGTGCCACTTGTAGAAAGTCCAATCCTGATTAAAGTTCCAATGAGAAACAACCTCTGTGGACAGCTTTATCTTAATAAACCGTGGTGGAAATCCTTGCGATGGAAATCAAAACAAATTTATTGCATTAGTCAGCTGAAACTTAACTTTTAAAAGACATGTAAACACATTAGTTGGACTAAAATCACACTCCTCATAGTTGGACTAACGTATCTGGATAATGCATGTGGGGATTGGTTTTTCTCTCTCATGTATACAGCCCTGTGGAACTGAAAGTGGCCTGAGCGTTCTGTGTATCCACGAATGGCTTTAAGCTGGAAGTTGAATAGCATGGATGTGTTGCCAGAAAGCTTGGTAGTAAAAAAAAAAAAGCCTCAACAGATGCAGAAATGGTATCAAAAGAGACACAACTTTCGTTTTCTGCAAACAAACAGTACAGAGCTATGAAAGTGATGGTGTTTTCATCATGGATTGTACATCCTTTCGGCGTTTTGTTAACATATTTTACTGACTGTCTTGATGCGTCAAGCGGGGAATGACCCAGTGGTAACTTGCTGGAAGACGGCATGCTGACACCTACAGTCGTGGTGGCGGACACGCCTTTGTCAATAGTTTGATTCCTGCTCAATATTTGTTAACTGGGACAAGGAAGGTAGTCTAGTTAAATCACCTTATCAAACTCTGAGTGTAGCTCAACTTAAGTGTGCCTGTAAAAATACTGAATGTCGGAACAGAGTACTGTTACTCACTAGTAGTGATTGCACATGTTTACACACCGTATGAATTCCAGTCCGAGCCAAACAAATGGTTAATTAAACAGAACTGGGCCACTAGATTCTTCGTAAGTCACAATTAATTAGCACACTAGATCCTGTTGTTGTGCACAGATGTAACTATCTACAGCTGAATAAAGCTGTGTTGATATCAAATGCAAAAGTACTCCCCCCTGTCTAGTATTGCTCAACTCTCGTGTACAAACACTCAGGTTTGTTGACACAGATAATTTCGAATTTTGAAATGTCTTGTCCTTCTTTTTCTCTCTTTGTGAACATCTAGATTTAATCTGCATGTCCTCTGCTCTCCAGCTCTGCATGAGCAGACACAGGCAGGCCTTTTGTGTGTGACCTCTGGTACATACATCCCCACTGCAGCCATCAGTATCACTGTCCGGCGTCTAGCACACTGTCAGCTATTGTTGGGTTCTCAACCTGCCCCACGTAGCCCTGCGCTTTTTTCCCTCTCTCTCCCGGAGAAAACAGCAGCCAATTGTCAGAGGGGGAGCAGGCCGGCGTGACAGAGGTGGAAAGCTAATGAAGTTATTTGACGGCAGCCCTGGCCACGGAGCGAGAGGTGAGGCGGAGTGGACAAGCGCCTGGCAGCGAGACGGATGAGGCGCGAGTGAGGAGCGTGGCGAAGGGGGAAAGAGAGGGACAGGGAAGGGAACGGGGGATGGAAGTGGCATTGGTGGCAGATGTCAGAAAAGGTGTGATAACATGGAGACAAACTGATAGCATCATCAACCCTGAGCTAGAAGTGGCCTTACAGTACCATGCACAGGGGGCTGACACTGGCCTGGGTACGTGCTTACAGAAGAGATGCCCAGTCACCCAGAGATGCCCGTCTCCTCCACAGCTCTGTGCTCACTTCAAGGCTGATCTGCCACAGACTAGATGCTCATGATGCTATTGTGATTGTGAAATCCTGACAGACAAAAGGCCAAAGTTTAAGCTTGGCATTGTTGGATGAATTGTTCCTGTTGGTGTGTGCTCTGGCTTCTTGTCAGTGAGCCATCAGCTAAGAGAAGTAAAAAAAACGTGCCCATTGGATTAGACTACTAAATAATTCATTGGGCTCTGTAACATAGATTCTTAGTGGAAATACTCTCTATTTATAGCCACAAACCCAAAGGTCACTGGAGTGGTGTGACTTTGAATGTGAGTGCACATCCCGGGGTCGTTTTTCTTCTCATGAGGCCACAGAGGAGAACAATTTCTAAGTTTGTGTTGGGTCTGGCGGCTCATGTGCATTCTGGTATTTTTGTGTGGGTTGAAAGCAGAGTGACGCAGCATGGGGACTGTTGTGAGTGACAACACAAAGTCAGGATTTCTCCCAGGATGTAGTTAAGTATGTGTCTGTGTGGTTAAACGGGATAGTGTATTTTAATGTGTGTTTGTAAGATGGTGACCAAGTGTGGTGTCCCTGTCTGATCCGACATGGCCCAACACGCTTCTAATTAGAGGACGTCCTTCCAGGTGCTGACCAGGTTATACTTAGCCTGCCCGCTGACATCTGACGGTGTGACATTTCCAGCTGGTGCCGTGTGCGACCCTGCGCCACTGCCCCTGAACTTGAAGGTCACTGCCCCCCCCCTCTTCCTCCCACCACCGCTCAACCTCTTCCTTCTCCCCCCTCTTGATCTGCAGCCCCGGCCCGCCATGATGTGGCACTGTGGCATTGTGGCATCACATGGGTGGTCAGAAACAGCAGCACCTGTGTCCCCTTTTTCCTGCCCCTGTATCCCCTGTCCCTGAGCCCTCTATCCCTCCGGCATAGATCATCATTAATCAGAGGGGCCGAGCCGGCACAGATTGATGATGCGGGCAGGGGGCGGTGGGCCTGTGTCGAGTAGAGATGTTAGGTGAGACTGGAGGGTGAGGAGCGGAGCAGATCTCTGCTGGGGCCAGAGGAGACTGGACAGCAGTCTGCCCAAGAGTGATAGCCTTGCTTATATCCATGCCCCGTGTCTGTGTGCGGGTATGTGGGTGTGTTGTTGTGTGCAGGAGTGTGTTTGTGTGGGAACAGTAGTAGTGGACACTTTGTTTGGAAACTGTTGATTCGTCCAGGGTTAGGAAAGTCTAGACTGGTTTCACAGAGCCTATCTTTGCCAGAATCAAACTTCACAGAACAACATTTTCTCTAAAAAAATTCTCTTTGTTCTGCTTTTATAATGAAAATTTTAATTCAAATTTAAACATACCTCTGATAATGTGGTGATCGTTTTCCCCTGAAGTGTTCATTTGCATCATTACAACTTAGCATCCTTTCTTCAGGTTGCTATGCTGTTATACATGTCCAAAGAGATCCTTAAAAATTATACTTTGTTGTCCAAAAATTAACTCATGGAGTGCAGATGCTTTTACAGTCTGACTATGACAACAAGAGCAATACTTATATTAACCTCTACCATTTTAAGCTATCATGAGGTCTCTCAAACCGTGAATTTTTTCAAGTCATATTTTTGGGCCTGTAGGCTTTTACTCTGAAATGCTTGCTTTCGTGACTGAGAGAAAGTGGGGAGTGACAAATGGGGTTAGGGGCCGCAGGTTAGAATTGAACCTGGGCCACCCACTCTAGTGCTCTAGCCTCTGTCCACAGAGTAGGACCACCAGGCCAAACCCATGCCCCAATCATTCACTTTTTTTACCCCAGAAATTCAGCTTGTTAATTTCCATAAATTATATTTGTCATGTTTAAAATTCCAGTATTTTGTATTCTAGAAATATTTCTGGGAAGCATCCCTCCCAGTGTCTTGATTTGGATGTTAAATAAATTAATTAAAAAAAAAACTTTGACCATGACTTTTGGATTTATAATTCCAGTAAATGCTGGACTTTGAGGTAGGAAACAGCTACAAGGTGTTTTTCTATGAAAAAAAGTCTTTTTTTTAATGGATAAAACTTTAAGACACATAAATAAATATGCACACTTGCTTGTACAAAGTGTCTGACCAGTACCAAATAACATAACTTTGATTTCTCACTGAGGTCCAGTGATCCCTGGTTAATGCAACAGCAGCACTTTTCAAGAGTTCCTGTTTGTTTGCTCTCTCTGCTTCATGCTGGTCCTGTATGTGTGAAACTATTGTTCCCCCTGGACCGTAAGACAATGACGGGTCACAGCGTGCAAATCTGAGGTTGTCCCCTCGACTCAAGTTTTCCATAAGGTTTATTAATAGGGGTTGACTGGACAGTTGTAAATTGCCACTCATTCAGAAAGTACTGCGTCAATGTCTTGGATTTAGTTTCATCCACAGGTCTGCGGTGACTCTTACACTCTGGCTCTGTCGACTAAAGTGATGTGGTTGCTTGCTGAAATGAGTCTGATTAGCTGCACCTGTATGCGTAGCTTGAAGGTGGTAGATTAAATTACTTAAAGTACTTTGGTTCTGTGTGACAGAAATTGCATGTTACTTTTGACTTGTTGGCTGAGCCGTTTGGTGTCATTTAACAGCACAGTGGTGATGTTCTTTTGCATCGCAGCAAGAACTGAGAAATGTGGCAGTGACTGTTAAATGCGTGCATTTTTATATATATATGACACAGGATTGAGAAAAATATATATGTTCATTTTTCAATTGCATGTGATTAACAGGTTGATGCTGACAGGCCTTGTTATGACCACTTTAGGCTGCTTTCTATTTAAAGTTCACTCTAGCAGAGAGTTTTTAAGTTCTCGACTCTTGTGCGAGGTCACAACACGGTAGCTTCTTGGAGTTTTGCATGCATGTTGAATAATTTGCCTAAACTTTTGGCAAACAAATATGCAGAAAATAATTCACACTTCCTACAAGCGTAGTTTTTCCACAAACAAATTCTTTTTTTCTGCCTCTTGGTACACCAGATAAGCTTCATCATTTGCTTGATAGCGATAGGTCCAAGAACTCGCTCACAGATCCATGTAGCAGTTTTATGGGTGATCTCTTACGCCAACTGCCAATCCATTTAGTGTAATACTTAGCACTGTAATTGTTTCTTATAAATAGCAGGGTGCACCAAAAGCAAGTCAGGTTACACTAGCATACAAGAGTATCCCTTAACCATACCCATTATCTCTGCTGCTGCTGCACTCACTGAAATTGAGATATTGGGTTACTTTGGAAGAGAAGGATGCATTTTACATATTTGTACACCTCTTGTCTGGGTTGTATTGTCATTTTAAATTTGAACAGTGTTGTGAGCTTTAGTCTGTGTAAACCTTCCTTTAAGCACAGAGCATAGTGAAACATGCTGAGAGACACAAAGAGAGGCGCTTGCCCCGCTGTTCTTTTCTTGGCGGCTATCGGAAGTTGCTCCATGTCTAATTATTAATTATTCATCTTAGGCGGATTAGATGTGGCCCAGTTTCTCTTGAAGATGACTTTAGAGCAGAGGGATCCATGTGACGGTTCACTCCCCAACCTAGGCGACACGCTGCAGAGATGGCAGATAAGGCTACATCCGATTGTTATCCCGCACTACAGAAGTAGAGGAATTATTTCATGTCCTAACGTCTGAAGAGAAAATCCCGGGTGAGGAGGGAAGGCAAAACCAGACTTAAAGTAGAATAGAGCAGAGAATAAAGTGTATGGAAATTAATGTGGTGGTGGTGGGAGGGGCAGTGTGAAGGAGAAAAGAGGAGTGAAATGAAATGGGAATTTGTTGTGGATGCCCTGAAGACCAAGAGAGAAGGACAGTCATAAGGTTGCACCTTCTGTGTTGGCCCACAGCACGCCAACTGTGGTGTTTTTTTGCAGTGACTAGACTGTGAAAATCCACTGCAGGCCACTTTGTTGTTTCATTTAATTCTCACTTTCATTTATTAGACGTTATGTTTTGTGTAGAAATTCTTTTGAAATGATAAGAAATTAACAAAAACTGAACAGTCTCCTCATGGGGATATGGTTTTATGATCATATCTAATGTCATTGTTTGTTTTTGTAATTTAGCATCACAATAAGGCTTTACAAAGATGGTCAGTAAAATCTGAAATACCTTTGTGTGCATGAATGTTTAAAGACATTTGTTTTATCCATTTATATCAATAATAATAATGAAAATAGTAACCTTTATTTATATAGCACCTTACAACATCCAGGAAGATGAACAAAGTGCTTTACATAACAAATACTTGGTCAAAATACAAAGGTAAGAGAACACAGAAATGATCAAATGGCAAATGTCAAATGTCACTAAATATTAAAAGCATGTCTAAATAGCTGAGTTTTAAGATGTGTTATAAAGAGTGCCAGGTCATTCATAAAAAGTAATTCAGGGGGTAGAGAGTTCCACAATTTTGGGGCTGCTATCAAAAAGGCACGATCGCCCCACTGTTTAAAATCTGGAAAAGGAACCTCCAACAGGGGCTGTTCTGAAGACTGGAGGGCTCTACAGTGTCATCTAAGATTTATGCAATCGGACAGATAATCTGGAGTAAGACCGTGGATAGCTTTATAAACAAACAAAAGTTTAAAAATGATCCTGAATTTAAGCGGGAGCTAATGTAGGGAGAGAAGAACGGGAGTGATGTGACTGTGACGGGTGGGGTTTGTTTAGAAGATGTGCTGCAGCATTTTGTACCAGTTGGAGGTGAGAGACATACAGATGACATACAGATAAGAATCCAGATATCAGCCAATGTTTTTGTTGCTTCTTTCCTCTGCACCAGTAAGTCTTCATTCCTCATTTAACCTTTATCTCTCTCCTTCTTTTTGCAGCGGCCAACCAGAGGGAGACACTCAAGTCTCCCTTCCACCTGAAAGAAGAGCCCAAAGTGGAGGAACCCTTGAGTCCAAGGCCATCCTCCACGTCACAGAACCAGGTCCAGCCAGGCTTCACTGCAACTTTTTGCCAGGATGGGCCAGCAGCAGCTACAGCAGCAACAGAGCGCCCAGGTCCGCTGAAGCCAAGGGAAGGAAGCCCTATGGCTAAGAACAGCCTGCTGAGCCAGGATATCAACGTGAAGGTGGCCTCTGAGCTGCTTATTAAGCTCTCAGGTAGGCAAGGTACGTATCGGTCCTCTCTGTTTGTCAAAAGAGTGAATGCAACTGAATTTTAAAGATTTTGAACTGATTTGTGAAATTTGCATGCATGTGCAGTTTGTTGTTTTTTTATTGTTTGCTTAAGAGCTAACAAAAAACTTCAAAAAATCTTTACTTCTTCACTTTCAAAGATAAAACAGACCATGTACTTTTATATTGATATTTGCAAAGCTGGCCGGTCGTTGGAGTCACAGATCAGCTAGCAGCAGCTTGTGAGATTAGCTGTTGACCAAAGGTTTTTGACATCGACTCTTCAGAACAATGCCATCACATTTATCTGCTTACTACTTTGAAGTTGAAAACGAAGCTCTAACTGCTCTTTGCACCATGGTAGAAAATAATGGACCAGGATATTTGCACCATGTTTCAACCTGTGCAGGCCTCTCTGACATCATCCTGAGCAGCATAATTTAACCTTAACAGCCTTGGGTTTGAGCTCAGCAAGAATGCTGGAGACAAGTCCTAAGGCATGGATTCAAATCTATTCTTTATGTGTTGCTTTTGCGTAAAGCTGCTTATTTAATCCAATTTATCACCAGGTGAAATCCAGACAGACAGGTGTGTGTCAACTGTGTACTGCTACAGTATATCACTGATGCAGTCAGAATACAAGTTGCTGAAGTACATCAGCTTGTACTAACAAAGATTTAGTTGGTGTGATAGCTACCAGGCCCTGAACTACCTCTCCTATAGAAAAAAACAGGTTTTCACATTGGAATGATAAGTGCACTTCAATTGTGCAACAGTAAAAATTTACAATGTGACACGCTTGTGCAAATATGCAACCACCGTGTAAAAAAAAAAACACCCAGAAAATAGTAGTCTGATGGTGGAAGAGGGGGGGGGCGTCTCTCCGTCCATGGTTCTTCATCCTGTGCCACTGTGCGTGCTTGACAGACACCTCACACACCGGTTGCCATTGTTCTCTCTGGGTTGACTGGTGTTCACAGTGACTCATGCTGGCTGGGAGCTCTGTGGTACTACACGTGTGCTGCTCCACTGCCTGCCCTCAGGTCACGTTTCCCAGTGTGTGTGTGTTGCCTGCGCTTTTGTGTGAGTGTTTGAGGAAGACAAAGATGACATGATTACTATTTTTAAAACAACAAAAAACCTAAATTAAGCCATTGGCCTTTCCAATCAGAGAGATAAACGATGTGGGCTGAACTGCATCCACCTATCGTCTTTGTTTCATCGCTGTTATCCCCCCTTTGTCTGCCATCATTTTTGCCATTTCCCACCACTGCACTGATGTTATCCTGCCAGTTTATTTGGTCCTCAAGCAGCATGGCCGGCGTTTATCCCCTCCCATCACTTACACCAGCTCTGCAAGGTTGACCTAGGTTAGGGAAAGATGCTGCAGCGTTCATCCGTCCGCTGGCTCCCTCTGCCCCCTCACACAGTCCTCGGAGCGCAGTGCCGTCCATTGCCATGGCAACAGCGGGGGCGGTAGATGGAGAGGGCTGTCTAGAGTGACAGCCTTGACAAGAGTCTGGACCCTCAAATGACCCTGGGGGTGGGGGGAGAGGAGACAAAGATGGTGAGGAGGAAAAGGAGAGAGCCAGGGAAAGGTCAATGCAGTTACAGTCACGTGTGATTACAGTCATGAGGTTCAAGGGTATCTCCACTCTAACCTTCCTCTGTCCCCTGTTAATGGTCAGCCACACAACACAATAGGATACTTGAATAAGGAAGCACATTGGGGAGCATTTTCTCCCCACACAACATCACTTTTTCCCGTTAAAAAGTGCCTATTTTCTCATTCTTGCATGTCGTACAGCAAATGGTCACAGCCTAATTAGATTTCAGCAGCTCATCCTTCCTCGACCATGGCATTGGACGGTCAGAGCAAGTTGGGTTGTCATCATTACTGCCTATTGTACTGTAACATGAGTTGCATCATCCCTTTAAGTAGGTCACTTCTCCCCCCCTCCACCCCCACCCCCACCTCCTCTCTCTTTCCTTTCTTCCTTATCAAACATTGGTTGGTCATGTTGAGTCGCCTTGCTCGCGCTACCTCCCCCACATCTGTTTAAAACCAGGCTGCTGGTGTCTGGGGGCTAATTACGCCGGGCTAAATAGTCCCTGGCGCCAGCGGCTAACGTGTCCTAGCAGATGGGCATTGGTGTTGCAGGGCAAGGGGAACATGGCGTCACAGGAAGAGGGGGGGAGGGGGGATGCAGGGCCCTAGGTGGTGCCCTGGCAGACTGGCATCGTGTGGGTAACAGCCGCGCCACCCACACACCATCCAGCCACCCTCACTATAGGTGTGAAATCACACTTTGTACTCGCTTAACTCATTCCTCATTCCTCAGGAACAGGCCTCCCATCTCTGAGGACATTTAACAGGCCCTCTCCCCTCAGCAGTCCTCGTTAGCCTGCTAATAAAAGTGGCATTTAGTAATTTTGACCACTGAGTGCAGAGAGACTAAGAGATTACATTTATTGCTGATGAGGTTCTTCTCCTCGCTGATATTATTCTGGATAAAACAACATATCGTCAAAGCAGCACTCATTCCAAGTTATTTCTGTTCATCATTTAAATGTAGGATCGATGTGAACCGATGACTTCACCTGGCTGGTTCATCGTCCTCGCAATAGTAAACAGACAGCATTGTTTTTGTTTTTGCCTACGTAACAGCAAGAAGCTGAATTCAGTAGGCAACAAGAATGAGTGTTGGTTTCCAGAGGCCCTGGCAGCAGCCAAAGCTGATTGATTGAGTGATAATTAATGCTGTTTATAATCAAAGGATGCCAGCTCCACCTGGCTCCCCCTCAAAAGACTTCGCATCATTTTGGCTCGTCTGTAGGAGCGAAAACTCACTGACATTTCATATGTTGTCAAACTACAGCGCTGATGTTGTCACTGTCATTGGGATAATCTGACAGTTGCATGACTCTCCATCGAGACCTTGGGCATTTTCTTGTCGTACTACTTTTAGAATTAACCATGAGACACATCTCCTTTTAACTCTGCTGCAACACTTTATTTCACTTTTAAAAATGCAGCACACAAGGTGGAGGCTGAAGCCCTCCATTTGTGATGTTTTTATCTGTTGCTGGACCCTGGTAAGTTGTGCACTTTTTCCTCGAGGTAACCACTGTGGATCATGTTGCATAATAGCCATGCTCTTTGGCCCAGCAGCACTTGTAACAGATAAAACACACTGTACATCTCTGGAACCTTCAGGTAGCTGTAGGGATCGAGTCAACTGATGAGGACAGCTTTCCTACTCTAAAAGCAGTTCAGGTTGGAGGATGTTGACAGGCTTTGAACATATTTTCGTTTCTCTTCATTTCTGCCTTTTTGTCAAATGCGTACATTTATCAAGTTCAGTTTTGTTTTGTAACTGCCCATTTGCTCCAAACTTGTTCACACAAGTAATGATAAAAATGAACAAATAATCAACCTAATGATTAGGGGCCGCAAATGAAAATCGTCTTTCTTTCAGCAATTAATTTTCAAAAATCAAACTGCACTCAAACACAATTTTGTGCTACTATGGCTGCTTTTTGTAGCACAGATTAGATTAGAAAAACATCATGGCACTAGATTCCTAATGACAAAGGAAATGCTTTCATCTTTTTTAACAAAAGGACCAAAAAATAGCCTTATTTCTTTTTCCTCTTGAAAAATTTCTGTAAAACAAGACAAGGAATGAATTAATAAAGAAAAACACTGAGAAATATTTAACCCTGCATAAAAAAACTGTTCTTCATTTAATTGAAATATTTCTGCAAAGAAGTCTACGCTCTGTGTTTTTCTTTATCCTACATTAAAGGATTCTCTGTTTCTCGCTATAGCTTATCACAGCAGATTGGTCGAGCAGTTCACCGTTCTGCTCACAACTAGGTATTACCACACAGCATTACTGTATGTTAAGCTCCACACTCCTCTGACACTGTCCTCATCATGCCCCCTCAGTGTGGCCGCTTGCTGACCTCTCCAACTCCCCCCACCCACCCCCCACCTCTACATCCCTCTGTCTCAGTGGCCTCTCATCACTGCCTGTAGTTCTATTTACAGGAATGCAGAGATGACTCCTTTTGCTCCCTCGATGTATGTTGGTTGTGTAAAGGCAGAGGTGATTGACAAAGTTACCGAAGCGATCACTCTTTTGTCTTGACCTTGTCATTTGATAAAACTCTACCAGCCTTGGATTTGCTCTGCCATGTGCCAACTGTTTTTGTTTAGGACCACTTTATCGGGGCCGTATATGGCTCCTGATGGGCTGTTTATCAAACACCCTGCTCCAGAGTCAGATGTGGCTGCAGTTTGGGTCCGTTGGAAGGCTGAACTACTGAGAGCTAGCTGGTTGAGGATCAATTGTAGCAGCAGCTGTCTGTGAAGTCTGCAGGCAAGGCTGCTGTGGCTCCCACATGACATGCACTCTCCACACTGCAGCCTTTGAAGCGCCTGAACTCTTCACCCCTGTCTGAGCAGGTCGGCTAGAGAGCAGGAGAATAGAGAGATTGGGAGAGAGAGAGATGGGGGCAGGGAGCGAGGGATGTGGAATAGCAGAGCAGGGAGAAGGGTAGACTGGGATCGAAGGAGGGAGGGGTGGAGAGGTTGTCATTTAGGCTCGAGCCGCTCCTCATCCTTCTGTCCTCCCCCAGCTCTTCTCTCTCATCCCCCTTTCTTCTATCCTCTCTCTAACCCTGGGGTGCTCTTTTTCTGGCGCTCTTTGACAATATTTTCCCTTCCTCTCTGCCTCTCCCCCACTGTTTGTCTGCCCAAGTTTTTTTGTTTCTCTCTAAGCATTACGGTGTTGCATTAATTTGACTCTGCATACATGAAATCACTAATAGTTTCTGACTTTTTTAGTCCCGGTGTATTTTAAAAACCCATCCATCTGAACCCTCCTGTGGTGTATTCTCAGCTGAACAGGCTGTCACGTCCATGCAGATTTAAGTAGACACCTGAGGTCAAAGTTGATCACTAAAAACAGAACATCGCACAAACCTCAGTCACTTTCATTCTGGCTCAAAACTTGAGTAGTGCTGCTTCACAGCGAACAAGGTATGTATAGTGCATTTATAGCAGTTTGGCACAGATGCTGCTCTCACACACTTTGTGAAACTTTGCAACACGATTGCAATAAAAACCACACAGAACTGAATGAAGCTTTCATGTAAAGATTTTCACTAGGTCAAGGTTAACATTTGAACAAGTGTTCTGCTAAACCTCCTAATCCAGAAAGACTTCAATCCAACAGTTTTTCATAGATTTATTTTCAGAGCTGCATGGGTAAGAGCCACGTGTATCTGTAGCAACAGGGATGTGAATAAAAAGTGCAGATACTAAGACTTCACTTAAAGACCCACTCCGATGAAAATCATGTTTTTCTTGTTTTTTATATGTTCATTTGACATTTTTCTGATGCTACAGGACATCATGAGAAAAATACATGCATTAGTATTTCTTTATTCAAATCGCGGTGAATCTCTGGCAGACCCAAACGGCAGGTTCAGACACAGTGAGATTTCATACATCACAGCTGCGAGCCCCGCTATGCAGGCCACACTCTGCATATAGAGGAGACCCAAGCGTGTGCGTTAGCGGAATGCGATGCTCGTAAGAAAGTTAATTATGATATCACTTTTTATCGTGTCCCTAAAGACATTAGTGTCCAAGAGCTGAATAGCTCTTATGTTACCTGCCTCTTCTACTACATTGGCAATGTTAGGCTGCAAGCTAACGTGAAGACGAGTGTGCAGAGCAGCGCTGTCTCCGCCCACGACTTAAAGGCGAATTGCTAATGAGCTACTGGAGCTCTGCAGAAGAAAAGTCCTTGAAAATGATAAAAACTGGTAAAAACTTCATAATCATAATCTAAAGACCACTGAGAACACTAAGTAGTAAAAAAATCAGAGTGGGACTTAAAAAAAAGATTAAAAAAAGAAAGGTCTGAGTGGCTTTTCATGACTTTTTATACCTACTCTTATATTGACAAAAAATTTGACTTGTTTTAGAATTTGAATATTACTGGACTATCCTGTCGCAATCAAATGTTAAGACAGGAAAACAAGTCTGGCCTTGAAATACACAGCTCTTTTTTACTCCTTAAAAATGAGCAGTTTTTCGATGTGGCTAATTGTGAACTTTAGTAAATGTAATTACCAGTACTTAGTCAAACATAACTGTGATGGACCACAGCTTGATTTCTTTGAACTACCAAACATCCAAAATAGCAGCTCATACTTCATAAGTGTTGAACACGGCTAAAGAAATGAGCAGGAGATTTATGCCTAAACATTATTGAAAACAGTCACTGATTAGTTCACATGCAGACTTGGCAGCATTTATACTGGACCATTTCAGTACTGTAGAGATGTGTACCAATCTGAGAGTGAAAGTACTTCGAATCTGAGCAGAAGATTGGGGGGGGGGGGTATCACAGACTTCGTAACCCATCATGGGGATCATGGTAGCTACGACAAACCAGAAGCGAGAGCTTGAGGGTCAGTGCTGTCATTACGTTTAACCCTGTAGGAACACTCCAGTTTCCCGGTGCATTACAATGACAGACAAAGACAAGTGGATAAGACAAAAGCAGTGTGCTCACGCTGTTAAGTAGCGATCGGGTATATTTTGGCAATACTCCAACTTGTTAATGCATTTGAAATGGCACCAGTCAAATCACTGCTACTTGAAAAAAAAACGACTAGTACAAACGCAGCTCCCTTTGGTATTTGAATGGCCTTTCACTGGTAACCCTGAGCGTGCTATAGTGATGACAAATGTATTTTTAATGCTCAGTTTTTGACAATACAGGATTGAAATACATGTTGAAGATGATAAAAATAAAATAGAAGATAAATAAATTCCCTATTCACCTGCATATACAGTCATACTGGATCTTTATGAACAAGCAAAATCTGCTTTTTTCGGCAACTTGTCCTAAGCTTTTGCTGCTGCACTTCTGAGTCATGGGTGGACATCCAGAACTAGAGAGTTTCTTAATGTGTTGCTTTTTTCTTCCTTTCTTTGAACTTGTAGTAAAATAGTGTTCTCATTTTTTCCCCTAAAATATCACCTGCAAATTGTTCCCGCAATCACTGACTGTGTGATCATTTCCAGTAAACCGCATGTAAACCAAGTATGAGTTTTCTTGTTAAGAGCAAAACAACTACAAACTGTAATAAATCCTGTTGCTTCAAAAAGTACAAAACATGCACATTAATTTACTGTTAAACACCAGTTACTTTCACAGTCTGTGTAAATATTTGTGGGTTTAATTTAAGCTTGTTTAGTTTTTCAGGCATATTTAGGAGTGATATTGGGGGGGAACTGGAGCAGTTCTGACACTAAAATTAAGTTGTTTCTCTAAGAGAGAGAGAGAGAGAGAGAGAGGGAGGGCACAGGCAGCATTGTACAAACACACACACACAGACCTGATTCTGTGGCCTTAATGGCAGCTGGTGTATCACAGAGACGGCTTCTGCACCAGAGGGGATGACACATAGACGCATGGAAACACAGGTCACACACGCACACACACACACTCATTTACAGGCACACACAGGCTGGATTGTGGCAGACTGTGGGCTGCTTTTTATGGCTTCAGAACATTAGGTCATGACCCTGACCAAAAGCTACGGCTATTATCAGTGTGGGAGCGAAGACGCGTTTATTTTTTTATTTTGTGACAGGTAGACTTCTTATCTGGCTTGTTGCGGTGTGATACCTTTTGATTTTCTGAATCCTTTTTGTGAACAAATAGATCCTTTTCTGAATTGATGATCGATTTCTTCAATAAATATATATTTTTTTCTTGTAATTGCTCTTTGAGTTGGGAGCATGTTTGTCCCAGCACTGAAAGTTCAAGTGCATACAGCGGCCTGCTCGTGCGTTGATGTGTTTTTGCATGTAACTGTGTGTGTTTTTGCAGCACAACAGCCCTCTCAGCCTCTGTCGTTAGGGTGGTGATCCAGTGATGGAAGCTCGCGTGTCCCTTGGTTGACCCTTGCAGAGCTGTGCCCCCTACCCCTCCGCCCGCCCGCCCGTCCCTCTCCTCCTCTGCACTGCCCCTCCATCAGCCTCTCCTAGGTTACTCTTGGCCAACTCTGACCACCTGATTAAGGGATTAGTGGGGCTGATGGTTGTCAGTGTCCCCCTTCATGCTGGCTCCTACCACTAAACCAGACACCTGGACCCTTTTTGGGGGGAACAGGGGGGGGAGTTTACTCTTCAATTCATCCACATTCATCTCACATGGAGATACATGTTCACACATACCCACAATTTCCTATACACTTAGTTACAGTGGCCTCGTTGAGCAGAGGAGCGGAGAATGCAAAGAGGAGGGGTGGGTAGCAGGGTTAGCACAGGGTTACTGTCTCGTATCTCCCTCCCTCCCCACTCTTTCTCCAGCTCTTATGACCTCCTCCTGCCCCTCCCTCTGCTCCCGATGCCCTGCCAAATTCATATATCCCATAATCGTGCTGAGTCGCCATGTCAGCAGCACTGTATCAACCCTGCTGCTTTGTCTCGCTGCTGCTTGTCACTGCACTGAGGCGCTGCCTCCTGCCATCACTGCAGTCAAAAGATCAGATACCTTGACTCTACAGATGCCAAAGTGTGTCCTCCTTATCATTTATTATTTAGCGGCACTGTGTATACTTACCGTAGCCCTAAATAGCCTACATTTAATCTTTTAAATTTGGCCATTGAGAGCGTAAGTGAACCAGTGTCAGCTTGAAGAAAATTTAGGCTGCCCTCAGTTTTTTTTGTACAGTTTTAATTATTTTTATGGTGGCAGTTGGTTCATTTTGATATGTGTGGAGAAGCAGAGTCAGTGTTTGATGCTGCAGATCAGCCTGGGACATTCCTAACAGATGCCATCTGGACTATTTTTAGCACGCTTTCTTTGCTTCACCTTTTGAACTTGTGTAAGAAGTGAGTCAACAGCTGTTTTCAGCCTTTCTCAATGTTGTTAATGCATTTGAAATGTCCCTTTAATCACAGATTCATCAGTCCAAATACCTTGAGTCGTAATAGTAAAAATGCATCGCCTCTCAGTTGACATTTGAATTGTTTTTGGCTTCACTGAAGCTAGATGAGCTGTTGGAGCCCTCCCCGAAGTGAGAGTCTGACCTCCCGGTGACCTCCTGCCCTAATAATTACACAGCAACATGCTAACAGGCTCAGCTCAGCTTTGGCTGCAATACTCTTGTTTTGCCTGTTATTTTTAGCTTTGAATGCATGGTCACAATGTTGTCAAACTTTTATGACGGATTTACTTCTGCATTAGCTTGTTAGTCTGGAATAGTTTGACTCAGTTTTGTTTTGTTTTGTTTTGTGTTGCTTTGTCGTGTTGTATGTAGTGAACGAGCACAGCTGGCATGGCCTTTTACTTCCAAAACCCAGTGAATTAAGACTTTATTATTCATCATTCAGGCACATTCCTGTTCAAACTTTTCAGCTCAGGGTTATGTGGAGCTCATAAAGTTCAAACACTTTATCAGTTCAAGATCAGTTTACTGTTTAAACAAGCCAGGCTTAACCTCTCAAAGGCATTTACTAAAATATTTTCAAATTATGACCTTAAGCTTTTATGTAAGACGCTTGATGATCAAGTCATTACTCTGCATGATAGAAGTAAGAGAACCTGTGTGGATTAAAATGCAGTGTCCTGTTGAAATATTTGATTTTGGAAGGCCTCTTTTATGAAAGACATTTTAAAAATAGCATTTTTATAGTAGTTTTCTGAAGTGTTGTTACATGATTGCACAATCACCTCAATTTTAAAACCGTTTAGGTTTTTTAAATGGACACATGGAGGCCACTATCTTGCACCACTATTTTTCTATTGTAGCACAGAACAGACAAACTAATGAGGCCCATATATGTGTGCTTTAGTGGTTGGCTGCCAAAATTGCACTGGTTGGTAGAAAAAGATGAAAGACGAGTGCTTGTTGTGCATATTGTTAGAAGTTTTTGATGGTAAAAACCTGAAAATGGGGAATCATATCTGCAACACTGACTGGATATTGATAAATGCTCCCTTTTCTACACTCAGTACATGAAATGACAAAAAAAAAGGGAAATTCTGGTTCATTGTTTTCATGCTAACATTTTGGATTCTTCGTGTTTTTTCCATGAAGTATAAGACGGTTGTTTTGCAGAGAAACATGCTTTAGTGGGACTGGTAGAGTAAAAAGCCCAAGATATCTAAAACATACTGTACAAGGTTCAGTTATAGACCTGACTACTTTTAAGGGCCACAAGCTGCAAAACTTTTAAACCACTTACAATAAAGATGAACAAGTAATATCTCAGCAGTGAGAGTATGATATATGATGAAATAAGTTTGAAGTACAAACACATGAAAATTGATTTGTATCCTCCAAGCTTAACACAATAGGTGAAGAGTAAAGCTAAATCTGAACTCTTAAACGATATGATGGTGAATTTGTTTTTGCAGCGGTCTAACCAGGAATGTCTTCATGTGTTGCAGAGAACAACAAAGATGCCCAGCAGTACCAGAAGGTGAAAGTAAAGGCAGAGCCCATGGAGGTGGATCCACCCCCTGCAGAGCTCACCCCTCCTGCCTCTCACCTGCTGGCCTTCAGCACTTTAGGGGCGAGTGAGAAGAGTAAGCCGATGAGTAACCTCCCCGAGTCGTTGGCCCGCCCCCAGAAAGACCTCTTTTCGCAGGACATATCGGTCAAAATGGCCTCAGAACTACTGTTCAAACTGTCAGGTGTGTTCCTCTTACACAAGCTTTTCTCTCTGCATCAGTGTATCGCTCCACAAACACACACACACTACTTGTACAACAGCATGTCTTATTTCTCTCTTCTACACTACAAGTAAACCTTGGACACGTTTCTAAACTCAACATAAAACCCATGTTTCCATTTCCATCCTCGGGTGGCTCTGCTGTAAAGTCAAGAATATATGACATGGAATGACATCCTGCGTCCCACCTGTACGGCCATGAACGTGACATTGAAGCAGCAGACAGCTGTTTGTATTGATAAATTAAGACAGAGTTCTCAGATGTAGGTGTGTGTGTGAGTGCATGTATGTGTGTGAGTTGAGGGGGTCCAGCTCTAAAGTCCTGTACTGTGACCCCCAGATCCATCCAGCCCCTGATCGCTTGGCTTAAATGCCACGCAGAAAAACAAGCCTGTGTAAAATCTTTTTCCTCATCTTGCTCTCACACATATTCACAAATTCACACATTGACTGTCTTTCTTTCCCACACAGTCTTGCATGCACACCTTTACACACTCACACAAGGCCCCATGGGGAGTGGTGTCTGCACAAATGCCCCCCTCATCCCTCCTCCCTCTTGTCTTTTCTCTCATTCTCTTTCTCTCCCTCCCTCGATTCGTTTTTAGACATGCCGGCTCAAGCACACTTGGCTGCACACGCCCCCCCCACCCCCCCGCACACACACACACTCACTCACACACACACTTCCCCTCCCTCGCTCCCTTTACATTTCTCCCGTGCGGCATCTCCATGGCAACGTCGAAAGAGACCTCTGTCCTTGGCGAGCAGTGTGACAGAGTGGGGTGTTTAGGGGTGCGGTGGCGGTGGTTGGTGGGGGGGTTGTACTAAGGGGCAGAGGATAAGGAGGGTAGAGAGGGCAGTAGGGGGTACACTGTATGCCCACCCAGGGAGGCTGGGGCATCGCTAGCCTGGCAACAGCGACGACCGCCCCCCCTTACAACTGGGTCTGAATGTGAGGGGGACTGGAACAGAGTGGGCTGCTGTCACACAATGAGCAATCAATATGAATTACCCAGAGCAGTAGGACCTCAGAGACACATCAGTAGCAAGGTCGCTCTGAACACTGAGATGGTTGCAGCTTTGAAATTCACTTCAGTGCATCGCCTTGAAACTCACACATATGGCTCTGTTCTCAGGCTTTTTGTATAGCTTTCTTTACTGCTGAATACTGAACTGTGCTTACATCGGCAGTGACATTTTACAAATCACGCCTAAGGTACCTCTCATACAGCTCATGTAAACATTTCTGTTAAAGAGTCAACCACTCTGAGGTTTGAACGGCTTCTGTGTTTGACTGAACTGATAATCTGTTGATGATGATGATGATGATGAAGATGATGATGATGAGGAGGAGCTTTAACCATGTGGACTTGATGTGACTCACCAGGAAACAGCTCTCAGGATCTCTGCTAAGCATTGATCTACTACACTACAGCTGCATGCAACACAAACAGCGCTTTCTTTGCATGTGAACATATTGTACAATATTGGCTTCATGTACCTTAGAGGTGCCTGAAAAACAGGTGTGGAAGTTGCCAAGACTGCAGAGTTGCAGCCTCAAAAGTGACACTCCTGAGGAGGATGAGAAAAGTATAGTGTATTTTCAGTTGATGCACCCTGGCCCCAAGGAATAAAGACAAACAGCAAGACTAGTTACTACATTTTCTGTGAAATTACAAAGTATTCGGTGTCAATGATCAGGATCTGTTTTAGTGGGTTTAACAAAATCAGAAATGAAACCATGAAAATTAGAGATTCACTGATCCATTTTATTCGCATCCAATCTGATACCGATGCCTGGGCTGAGCGTATCGGCCGGTATCTGATACCGATCCAATACTACTGTTAAATGAATGAACTGTTTACCTTACCCTGTGAGTGAATGCATCAGGTTTGACATCAGCCTTGTTAAAAAAAAAGTAGCAAATTAACACAGATATAAATTTACTTAACATTATTTATTAACAAATAACAAAATGCACATTAGCACACAGCAAAAAGAAGTAAGACTTCCATGTAAACATTTAGTGCAATAGAATAGACAGATGTAGAATATAGAGCGAACAGAATCGCTGTGTTTCTGTGAATGATGTCAATAAAAAGAAAAAAAAGACTGGATTGGAACACTGGATCAGCGTCATTCACCAGATATCTGATCCAGTCAACTTGTCAATATCTGAAAACAGCTTCTCAGGTTGAACACAAGTTTAAAGTTCGTTTCTCGATTATTCCTCCTTTACCATCACTGTGAAACATCTGAAAATGTTAACCTTCAGCAGACTTCCTGTGAGTGCTCAAAGACTTGAAAAGGCATTGTACACAAAGTGTTGGTCTATTAGCTTATTCTGTGCAATGTTATTAAAAGAGTATTAAAAATAATAATTAAAAACAGCCTTGGAATAACTCCTCGCTCTTTCAAGTGTTTGACTTCACATTTAAACGGTTTATTGTATTTGCTGCATTAATAGAGCTCTTTAGGCAGATTTTAAAGATTGGACTCTCTAATTTAAAGAGGTGTTTAAAACATTTATTTTCTCCCTCATTAACATACAATAGCACAACCACACATAAACACACACACACATGTGCCATCTGGGCAGTCTAATGTAGATCTGACCAACCATGCTCATTGTTATTTTTTTAGATTTTTACATTGTTATTTTCTCAACGTATATTTTCACATTTGAGTTGCTGGGCTTACTTTAGGCCTGCAGGTCGACGGGCCCACCAGAGACTCCCACTACTCCAGATGGCCAGAACACCCCTGCTGGCATGGTGAACCTGTGCTTTACCAGCCGAGTTAAACTTTGAGGAATCAAGATCCTATCGTGTTTGTTTCCTGCTCTGTAACGGCCAATGTGCAGGGGAGACGTAGGACACTTTTAAAGTCATTTAAAGTGTCAGCTTTTCACATCATAATATCTGGTCCACAGCGGTCAAATGACTAACTGGAAACACAGACTTTTAAAAATTCACTCATTCATAAACAAGCTGCTCTCAGTCTTTTTATACCTCTTTTTAAACCACCTAAGATGTCCTTTACCAGGACAAAGTTATCCTATCATATTGAAGATGTCCAAGATGTCATCACATCAAAACACCGTAAAAGTTTAAGAGGCAGACTGCAACCTTTAATTTGAAGTGAAATGTGACATATCAGTGGCTGAACTGATGAGTGTTTTTGTACTTTCAGAAAAAGTCAGCAAATCCAACAACCACAAAGACAGTAACATGGTGGGAATAAACAGGTGAGTCATTAATAATGCACATGTTCTTGCTGTTTGGTTACATAATGTGTTGCCTTCTAAAATTTCTCTCGGGTTTTGCATAATGTTGTTTTTTAACACATAATTTTGTACATATTATGTTATATTAATTACATAATATTTGTCATTAATAAAGTTACCATAGGCATTAATCTGTATTTTTGAATATAGTTAAAAATATGTGTTTGAGCTCGCTGGCATGGAACTGACAGTATTATGTATCATGTTTCAGTCCGTTCCTGGACGAGTGCTTCAGACAATCACCCTTTAACTCGCGATCCAAGAGCTCTTCCCCCGCAGAGGCCAGCTCTTCTACCAGGGCAGCATTTCATGGTAAGACACACATACACAGACACACACACACACAGAGACACACACTCAGGGGAACATGACTAGAGGTGTGTAGCAGTGGAATAGAGACACATCAAGAGCAGTATGTTACAGGCAGTGGATGGATGGGCTCACATTTAGAGTTTTACACAATGATCAGTCACACAACAAAAAATAACCAGTTTTTCCAAATGTTAACAACTTTTTTGACCCTCCGATTTGAATATTTGTTCTCTCAGTTTGTTTGTTTCAGTTGACAGAACCTTTAAAATGGCCCAGCTGTGTTTGTTGACACTGTAGTAAATCTGTCTGTAGCTGTGACAGGTACAGTCACACAGACCAACATAAAAACAAGTTTATGTGTAAAAGTTCAAGCATGAAATGTGAACACTTACATACTTGAGTAGTTGTCCCTGCTGAGCACCAAGCTGTGTTCATATAATTTAACACACTCTTTTTCTTAATAAATGTTTTATTTTTACAGTTTTTTGTAGTTCTGCTGATTAAATGTGCAGAATGAAAATATTTGCATTGTTTCATTTTAGTGATACCAAAACAAAGTGCAGTGACGAATATACATCATACTGCTCACTGCCTTTACCAGATATTATGATGGACTGTTCGATGATCATCTTGCAAAACATCACTTGACCTTGATATTACTATTATTGTGGGCTATTCGTCATGCATTGTTCTGTGTCGTTAGTCACCCTACTCCCGACGGTAGTCAAATCTTTGTGTCATCCTCTTTGCAAACTTGAGAAGTAAATGATTAGGTAACATGCTAACTATGCACACACTGTCACTAACAAAAGAGAAAATTAGGCTGCAGATTCAAAGTAACCACAATACATACAATATTAATATAGACCGCTGTACTAGACTTGGCTCCAGTGTGAACACTGCTTTGAGTATTTAGTTAAAACTCTTTAAATGAAAGACTTTTTGGACCATACATCCGCTTTAGATTAGAGCCCAGTGGCAAGACTTGATGGTCTCTTTAAGAAGGTGATCAAAATGATCTGAAACAAACCTCCCTGATTGAATATTCAAATCCTAACTAATTCCTTTCTACCGTTTCAGTAAGATGAGGTGCTTTCAATGATCCTCTGCAGTTTATTTTTCTGCATACTCATCAGGTGCGCCGATCAAAAATAAGAGCCGTTTCATCGCTAAAAGCTTGCAGTTCTTTACTGGAATAAATACAAGTCCAACTTTCTCTTTTCTTCCGCCTCTGTACTATTCTTCAGGTCAAGGCACATACAATAACATTTTTATGAATTAAAATCTACCCTAACAGAGAGCATACACTTCAGAGGTATTTGACATATTCACACTTAACATCTTACTAGTCACAATCGAGTTGCTGTTGTAAAGTGTTGAGGATATTTTTGCCTGGCTTCTGCATAATCAATGAATGGCTGCCAAGTTTTATGAAGTTTTTCAATGGAGCCTTGTGAAAGAGGTTTTTTTCTTTTTTTTCAGTGGTTTAAGGTGTTGTGTAACATTTTTGATCGGCAAAGTAGTAGTGGGAGTTTGAGTATGTTTACAGTTCAAGGGAGTTATTACATGTGCTAAAAGATGTATGAATCTTTCCACAGTGGAACCCCAACACAGCCTCCATGTTTCAGAAGATATACTGTATTGGCCGTAAAATGCACTTCCCATACATGTATGTCTATGAAACCGAGCCCACATACACACACACGCTACATCCATGAACACACAAATCAAATCAAACACAAGGACTCAAAACTTCCAATCTGAGGACACATCACAATTAACAGGCTCCAGCTTCACATGATCTCCTCCTCCCTAGTAAACCTCCTTTCCCCTGTTTCATATTTAGAGCTCTGTCCAGCCTTTCTGCTCCCTCACTCATTTCCCCATCCTGGAGGCCTCTGCCCAGGGCATCCCCCCCGTCTCCCACTCCTCCCCTTTTTCCTGGCATCCCGCAACTTCCCTCCATGTTCCTTTGGCAGTGGGAGATCCAGAGGTTAATTAGCTTGTGCCAGCTTCGCCTGTCCCTCTGCCAGTTAATGAAAATCTGATTGGCTTCTGGGTGTCAAGAGTGTCCTGAAAGTTAATTCGCCCAGTCCACCTCCCCTTTCCCTTGTGTGTTTAAGCTTCAGATCCAGCCTCTGCCGCTCGCTTTTTTTTTTTTTCTTAACTGTTGTACTCTTTTACTCTTTTCTCTGCTCCATATATTTCTGCCAAGACCTGTTGTTTTTCTTCTATTATTTTTTTTTAATCATGAGTCCCTCCAGCAATGGCTGAACTATTAATGACTTAAAACATAGCTGCATCAGTTAATTCATTGATCAATACCTCACAGATAAAATGTTAATGGTTATATATATTTTTTTAAACTGATGAATGATTTGTCCAACACTTTAACTGAAAGGATGTATTCTCTTTATATTGATTTATAATGATAAATTAAGTGTTTTTGACGGTTGGTTATTATTACTTTTATACTTGAATAGACTAAACAATCCAGCAGTGAATTTTTGGAAATGACTGAAAGAAAAAAATGTTGAAAATAACTATTAATTGCAGCCTTAACATAGATATTAAGTTATCTATCTGTGTACTTTATTGATTCCCAAAGTTGGGAAATTTTGTAAGAGTCAAAATGTGAAGCCTGAAGCTTTATCCAAACATACTTGTCTGCCCTTGGTTGCTTGTCTCGAACTCTTTCCATCCCACTTTCCATCAACATGTGTAACCTGGCCATCTCCTAGTCGCACATTTGAGTCAGTTAATGCTTTTATGTGCTGAGCCACAGCTTTAGTTACAAGCTCCATAAGAAGATCCCCGATTCTCAGAATAAGCCTCATAAGACAACGCGATCGGAGGTGCGTGAATACACAGTCATGGTACCTGCAAAGTCCAGCTAATGCAAGAGGTCAGGAAGTTCATGACCTGCAGGTCGGCCCAGGGTGCAGGTGTCCTGATGAATGTCATGTAAGCTCGCAGGCGTGGTGGTGTCAAGGCCGTCACACACACACATCAATTGTACACCGTTTACAATAATGGCTCATGCCACCATTTATCTTTTAGTTGTTTAGAATGAAAAAAATCAACAAAAAAATTGATTATTAAAAACGAATACTTTGTTGAATGATGAATGTAGCAATTCAGAACAATTAGAAAAAGGGCCTGCTGGATATAAACCCTGTGTAAACATGACCCTGATAACAGTAAAGGGATCATTTGTTGTTTTTGAAGTGGGGTTGTACAAGGTACTTGACAGTAGGTAAGTGTGTTGCCTTTATTTTTGGTGCATTGCATTGCCATAAAACAGGCCATTATTATTTTGTCTAATCTCAAATTTTTGCTGCAGCCGCTCTGCTACCCTGGGCCTGCCTGCTTTCCAGCTGCTTCAACTATTTGTATCAGTCTCACTTCTGTCCACTTCTCTCTTTCTGTATCTCCCTCGGTCCCCTCTCTAAACCCAACAGCAGATGCAGTAACAGCAGATGACTGGCTTACACAAGTCTGGTTCAGCTCAAGGTTTCTGTTGGTTAAAATACAGTTTTTTTCTCTCCACTTTAACCTGCTGAACAGTGCACAGTGCTTCAGTCATGTAGTTAAAGATAGGATGGGAGTGGGTCTGATCCTATGAGATAGGGTTCAGTCTTATCACATCTTTACATTAAAAAGAGTTTGGTCTATAAAAGCTTTTTTTATCAAGCATCCAAATCTAGCGTTGTTGTGTTTGATAGCCGATGATAGCTTAGCTTCTGCTTTAGTTTTCTGACCTGTTTATCAACAGAGAGCGGACCAGGATCCTCTTTGTATAAAACACATTGAGAAGTTCCTCATACAATCAAGTTCAAGAAAAATAAACTGTCCCTTTAATTTGGAAAATGTTTAACCCTTACATAAAATAGAAGCCTGTCTGTCAGTTTCATTGAAGAAAAAAGAAACCAGCAGATTTACATTTTCTCTCCAACTATACTGAGTGCTGAAGACTTGACAGATGTCCTTTCTTGTAAAATGCAGGTTTACTTGGTTACAGTAAGTGTATAAGACAGTATGTCTAATTCTATATGTATGTGACTTAAGTTAATCTTCTTAATCTCGTCTACAAACATGCATGTTGTTGTGTTTGCTGATTATTTATTAAGCTTTTCGCCAACGATGTCAACGAAGCCCATACCATGCATTAACAATCACTCTTATTCCTCCATTCCCCTTTACTCCTGTACTGAGACACTGAAATATGGTAGAAAGGAGGAAACGGTGGTCAGTTTGTATCCATATCATACAAACTGTCAAATTCTCACATTTAAGAAACTGTGTCCATCAATTGTTTAGATTTTCTGCTTCAAGTGTTCAAATAGATGTAATATTTTTTTTTTCGTTCATTGAAGATATTGCTGAAATGCAGCTAAAAAAGATAAATGATGCTTAATTCATAATAAGACATTACTCTGAAGACAAAGGCATTTAACAATGTTCCTCTATATCATCCTATAAACTGTACCTGATCATTTTATTATTGGTTTATCATTATTTTTATTATGATAATTGTAAGTAGTAGATGTACCACTTGTTTAAATGAGAATTTATAGACAGTTTTGTGTCCTTCAGCAGAGTGTACACTACTTTATTTTGACCATCCAAAAAGATGTGTGCAGGATGGTCTGACACAAACAAAAGCAAATAAACAAAGGCACACAACTGGTTTGCATGTAAAGGGCAAAGAGGGGATGAAATATGTGAGACAGATACTGACAAAATGCTCCAGGGTTTGTGAGTCAGTGCAACAACAGTAAAATGTCCTTTCACACCTCCCTCCAAAGCCGGTGCATCTGTTGGTTTACATGCAGCCAACAGAAAACCTGCCCTCAAAAGGCTGAAAATTCTTTGTTTCTCCTCGTCGTGGTAAAAGTCTTTTCGATAAGCCAGATTGTGTTTTTAAAAACAAAGTGATGTTTGTATGGTGAAATGTGACTTAACCAAATGACCACAGCGTGCTGTTGAAGAAGACTGTTCAGCATGTGAAATATTTCATATCCAATGTAATGTTTAATTATTTCTTTCAGCTGCGCCTTGTGAAGCTTATGTGCACTGATTTCCATCTGCAAATAATCAAAAAGTTTAGTTTGAAGGAGAAACCGAGCCGGGGTTTGTCAACCCTTTATGGACACTTGAAATGAACCTCAAGAGGAGTTTTAAGTATCATTTTCATCATTTAATGCCTTGCAAATACAAAGGTTTTGGCCAAGGTCAGTCTGTTTATGAAGCTGACTGAACTGTATGGACTGTGAGTGAAATTCTTGCTTCCATCTTTGAAAGTTGTATAGTACTAAGAGTGCTATAAGTACTACATGTTTGTACCCTTGGGACTGTATGCCACATTTATATGGCGAGGCTTAAATTGTCGCAGCAACTTCAATTCTCTAGATTCAATCAAAGCATCTGAAAATAGCCGCTCTCATTCTTTCTATTTCTTTGATTAAAGGGTGGCTGAGGAGGGGAGGGGAGGTGACACACAGTAAGGAGAGTTACAGTGGTGTGTTAGCGTGTTAGTGTGTATGTGTGTGTGTGTGTCTGTATGCTGCAGGCTTCAGAGCAAAGGACTGGTTCTCGCTGTTGACATTAAGAATGCATTTTGCACCGCATCCGACCCGCAGGCTAGAGAGGGAGCATCTGTCAAATGGTAGCAGACAGGTTTCAGTCTTGTGGGTTAGCAAATTAGCCCACAGTGTATCAGTTGTTCTGTTGTTTCACTGACACAGAGGGGAGTGAGACTTTCCCTGATTACAGAATACATTTTACCTCCTGGTCTAAGGCGATGTGATACTCATACAGTTTCCTATAAAAGAGCGTAAGATGCTTTGATTTCAACAAGCATAGTAGTGAATGTTGAGTGATGTTACACAGATTAACCACTCATTTTCGATACATAACAGCTTCCTTCACTCCTTTAAATCTTTCACTCTATATTCTGTGTTATCTTTAAATGCATGTCTGTGTCATCTGTCCATTCACCAGTCCTCCTCCAGCCTTATGCACTATGATTAGCATGTAAAGCCACACAGAATCCATGAGACGGTAAAGGACAGACGGTTGTTGTCATCAATCAGTCTTTTATTTATACAGCGCCAATTTGTAACAAATGTGACCTTCATTGACTTTACACCAAGAGTGTACTCTGTGTTTCTTTGTTTATAGAGCAGATCACTTATCAGCTTTTAGAAACTGGAGAAAATTTAATTTTTCACAAGCATCACCTCCTGAGCGGGACAAAATATAGTCTGAATTCATGTTAGACAGATAAAACAACTCATAGAGAGAAAAGAATATGTACTATTAAAGGAACAGTAAGTAAAGATAAGACGCTAATCTTAATATTTATAACAGTTTAAGTCAAGAGGGGTGCTGTCTGGGTTTAAAACAATGATCATCATCATAGGGTCAGGAATGATAATGTCAGATTTAGCTGTTGGATAAAGCAGCTTCAGGAGTAAAGAAGTGCTGTCAATATTTTTAACACATTAAGTAAAATACTGATACATGTAACTGTCTCAAATTGTGAGGGAAACATGTTTTAGGGTAACTCAGAGCCTGATGAAATCTTTTTTGAATTTTCAAGATTCTATTTTGATTTTTCCCCAAAAAAAATTCAGGTCTTCAAATTTCAAGAATTTAATAAGAAAAAAACTCTAAATGAAGTCGACATTGATATGTTGTTATATGTTATATGACTTGCACAGCAATAACGATATTTAGGATCTCTTACGGCAGTTGTTTTGTCAACTACTATTTTTTTTTTTCTGACAGATCATCAGCAGGACAGCCTCAAACACATCAAGCCTCTGACTGAGTTTGCTTTGGTGGTCTGGCAGTGCCCTTTAAGTTGACAGTGCTTCACCATAAACAGCTTTTTCATTTTTTTCCAGTGGAATATCTGATTCCACTCGCTCTAGCACACAGCCCGTCTTTTCTTTTCAATCTGAGTTTTTGATTGAGGGTGGTCATCCCATGTACTGTCTGAGGTCCAGTCACTCGAACGCTGACAGAACTTACAGAAAAGTTGCTCTCCTGGTTCAAAGAAGTCACTCAGCTCTAAAACTAGTGCTCAGAGTTGCATTTTTTAATCTTTTTTGATGATATTGACCTCTTTTAAACATGTGGTCCTTTGTCTTTGTTTTAATGTTTGTGTTAATTGTTTATTTTATTGTTTTTAATTTTTACTGTACAGCACTTTAGTCAGCGTTTTGTTGTTTTTAATTGTGCTTTATAAATAAACTTGAATTTGATTGGATCATATGGTCCTTACACAACGACTCTACACGTCTTGCACAAGTTGAAAATGTATGAACACTTTTCCAAAAATCTCTGATAAAACAAATGGAAAAAGAAAACTGCTCTGGTTTTGTTATTTCATCAAATTTACAGCCTCATGACTTCACAGCATACCGCTTCACCTGCAGATACTTCCATGGCTGGTCATGTCAGCAGTGAATGATGAGTGCGTTTTTCTGTGTTTGTGTGTTTTCAGACTCAGAAAAAGACGACGGGGAGCCGGGAAACGGGATCGCCCAGTGGAGACTCAATGAGCAGCTCTTCCCCTGTCCTGTCTGTGGAAAGGTGTTCGGTAGACAGCAGACTCTCTCCAGACACCTGTCCTTACACACAGGTAAATAAACAAATAAACAATCAATGACATTTTTAGCGTGTGGGCCCACGTTAGATGCCGTGTGCTTGTATTAGTGCTGCCCACAGTAAGTAAATAAGGTTTACTAGACTAGATTACCCTTCCTTTAAAGAGATTACTACCATGATTAGTCTCACTGGGAAAACTGCCCGTCTAATTACCCAGCAAGAGGGATCCCTAACATACACACACACACACACACACATGTTCAATACAGCCACATTTGGTTCTCTCTTTCACTTTGTTTCTCTCTTTCACACACACACACACACACACACACACGCAAACACACACACACACACACATGTTCAATACAGCCACATTTGGTTCTCTCTTTCACGAACACACGAACACACACACACTGTCATCACTCAGGAGACTTTGTCAGGATGAAGCGGTGCTCTCCCTCGTGTCCTGATTACTCAGTGTTTTCAAACTCAGCCTTTCTTTGTTCCCCAGTTGTTCCCGTCTCTGCCATCACTGTCATCTGCGATCCTTCTTTAGGCTCTCTTTAGGAAGCAGAAATTTTTTTTAAAGAGAAATAATGCTCAATTAGAAATTAATGCAGCCTACTTTGGATCGCAGACTAAATCATTGAGTGCACAAATGGAGACTCGTGTACAAAATGCCCCCCACACAATTGGACATGCTCTCACATCTCGCGTGCACACACTACACGACGCACACACACACCATCTGAGCGGGTTGGCTGCGAACAGCTTGGCCACACCACAGAGAGCAGAAGCAGGGGCATATGTCAGTGTGATGGTCTTTTTGGTTTCCCCGGCGACATAAAGGTTGCCTGGCTTCATGTCCTTGGGGCAAATGGTGTGTGTACAAGTTTGTTTGTGTGTTTTTCAGGGGGAGCTGGGGGGAATATGTGTTGTATAGTTTGATTTAGAATAACATTAGAGGTTGTATTTTGCATGAAATATTTTAATCAGATTTACAGCGCCAGCAGATAATGAGAAATAATGTCTATATGTGGCGCATTTTTCACCATCTTAAAGCATTCACAGGATTATCCAGCTTCTTCCCCTGAAAGCTTGAGTTTGCCAGACATCACAAGTTGTTTTTTTTCTCCCTCTTCCCAGGATCAGAGTTACAGTTGGGGTCAGACAAAGGTGAGGCAGGGTTAGTCATTGAGTAATTAGGTTTAAGCTTTCTTTAAAGGCTGAGAGGCTGACCGCAACTTAATGAAATATCACCTGAGGTAACGTATACAGTATCCCGAGGTCTTGTGTCTGTGTGTTTTCTGTTGCAGAAGAGAGGAAGTACAAGTGTCACCTGTGTCCTTATGCAGCCAAGTGCAGGGCTAACCTCAATCAGCACCTGACCATCCACTCTGTCAAGCTGGTCAACACAGACGCTGAGCAGATCGTCAGTGCTGTTACAGCTGACTCTGCCGAGCGCAAGAACTGCCCCTACTACTACAGGTACTGATAACAAGGGAAAATGCTGCCCTGACTGTCCTCACCAGGTCTCTCGCCAAGAAACCCTATGACTTGCAGATAATAATATTTCTAGAGGCTTGGTGCCAGATCTGATTTTGATAATATTTGTAGATATGATTTCTTGAAAATAACTCCAGTTATTTTTCTACTCATTCAATATTGTTATTACTTCAAAGATGTTTTAAGGTGGCCGAGAACCACCACTGCTGCAAATAAAAAAGAATGGAAGGAAAAAAAAGTCACAACGGAAGTCACCGATGCAAAAAAAAAAAAAAAAAAAGAAAAGAAACCAAAGCCCACTGCAAATAAATAAACGAAACGGTGCAGATTTTTAAAAAAAGGCACAACAGAAGTTAACGACGCAAAAAAAAGTGGCGATGCAATAAAAAAAAAGTTACTTCCTGGGAAAGTTAAAGGATGCAAATTTTAAAAAAGCCACAACGGAAGTGAGCTGCCGAAGACCAATAATAAAAAATATCGAGGGGTCTGCATACTTATGTCTTTGAGTAAAGCAACTGAACCGTAAAGCTACTGAACTCGATTCTCCTCTCGTGGGTGGTCTTTCGGGCCATAGTAGGATTCTCGTGTTAGCCGAAGCTAACACTACATCGACATCCTCCAGTTAAACTTCATATCGACTCAGGCGCAACATGGCCTAACCAAATGACACATTGAAAAGTACACAAAGCGAAATCAAACAGTAACCTTTCCACTAACTTCTTTTTACTCGTCTTCTCGCCGTCGTCTTCTGTGGCTGGACTGTAAAACACCGGTGTCTCATCATTATTGGTCCCTGGCAGCTCACTTTTGCTGTGGCTTTTTTTTACTTGCATCCTTTTATTTTTGCAGTGTCATTTTATTTATTTATTTATTTTGCATCTCCCCTTTTTTGCATCGTTAACTTCCATTGTGGCCTTTTTTTTTTTTTTTCTGCACCGTTTCTTCTTTTATTTGCAGAGGGCTTCAGTTTTTTTTTTTGTTTGTTTGTAGCTTCTTTTTTTGCATTCTTTTTTATTTGCAGCAGTGGCGGTTCTCGGCCACCGTAATGTTTTACTGTTTTCTTAAAAAAGGAAGTCTGTATAATATTACACATCAAGCTACAGACTAGACAAAGTTAGCTAAGTTTACCTGAGAGTTTAAATTGGTGATGCTAGTATTGTTCTTAATGATGTGCTCAACAGTCACAGAAAACAGTGGTTTCTCTCTGGTACTAATCAAAAGCATTTAATGCGAGCTGGAATTGAACATTGGGAAATTATATTTTGTATGATAAAATGTACTTGAACTACTACTATGTACATACATATCAAGGCTATATAAATAAAATTATATATTGAATACAATTTTAATAAATTTAACAATCTCTGTTTCAGCATTATGTAAGTGCTCTTCAAACAGATTCTTGATTTGACAAACTTCGAGGTTGCAAAAAAGTTTCTGAACAGTGCTGTGTGTATGTTCGCACTGCCTCAGAGCGTGATTCCGCAACGCCATAAAGCGATGTGTAATCACGCTCTGGGACACCCGTATTACGCTATTGCGGAGTTGAGCGTGTAAATATGAAGGCGTGATGATGGCAGAGCTCTGTTCCAGCCTGTTGCCGCAATGTTTTAGTCAGTCCCAAGGCAATAGGCTTCATAAATGGACCAATAAGCTGTGTGTAGGTAGGGTGCACAGGAGTATTAACGTATTAGCGTGTCAGGCTGTATTTAGTTGAATATTTCAGAAGACTACAAATTTAGTACGTATATAAAATAAAGCAGAAGTCATTGTGTCACATCTGTGTTTAGTAGATTGGTGGTAGTTAATGTCAAGCATGCTCCTGTTGTCGAGTGCGTTTCAAATCTTCTCTCCTCTAAGTCCCTGTAAAAAAAAAAAATGAGTGTGTGGTTTCCAAAATGTCCTACTATTGCTTTAATCATCTGAATGTGTCTAATGATGTGAAAAGAGTGAAATAGCACCAAGTCTGCAGTGTGTCATTTTCAATCATTTCAATCAAATTAAAATATCCACACTGTGCCACTTATCAATTTATGCGGACATAATATAACACTAAAGCTGCCTGCCCCTCCCCCTGTTATTCTCACCATCGTCCTTCCTCTTCCTCTCTGTTCTCTGTCCAGCTGCCATGTGTGCGATTTCCAGACGGAGCTGAACGCCCAGTTTGTCAGCCACATGTCGCTCCATGTGGACAAGGAGCAGTGGATGTTCTCACTCTGCTGCAGCGTCTGTGACTATGTCTGCATGGAGGAGAATGACATGAAGAACCACATAAGTACTGGGCATGCAGGTACGAGTGTCTCAGAATGCACGGCTGCCCACTGGCTTTTATCAGGTGGAAACTCATGCATACATGATGAATGGTTGAATATTATTGGGTTTTTTTTATGTTTTTCTTTTGAAGTAAATTCAGTGTAAATTATGTTGTCTGTTTACCCTAATGAACAGCCCAAAACCAAATATCGACAACTGATTTCCTGGGTATTGGAAATGTTGTGATTTCTGCTCCTCGTGTTCATGTTCTGGGCGGTAGAAAAGTACATGATTCAACCTCTAGAAATAATGATTTATGGAGTTATTTTCAAAAATTACTCTCACATGTTAAGAGTGGGTGGTAGCTTACACATTGTGGCTCTTGTTCACAGCCCAGAATAGAAAATCAGTGCAGTGCTTTGGACAGTGACACATTTTTCTATTGTTTTGGCTCTGCAGTCCAACACATGGGGTTTAAAATTTATACAATGGCTAAGGTTAAAGAAGCAACATTTTGCTTCGAGGCTTTTAGGAATGATTCTGTTTTTAGATGTGGTCCAGAAATATGGTAAAAGTACCTTCTCTTTGCACTCAACCTGCATCTGTTTGTAAACAGCCTGAACTTTAACCTCTGTCTCAGCGTTTTACTCTCTTAAAGAAGTATTTGCACAGTAATCTTACACGTTTGGTTTGCAAGTGATCTGCTTATATTGTCAAACCAACAGCCTAAAAACAAAGAACATATATTATTATGTAATGTAGAAGTGTGAAATCTGGCAAAATGTGACATTTAAGAGGCTGATATCCTTTTTTATTTTTTGCTATTTGTTAGAGCAACTGAAACATCTTTGGCGAATAAAGCGCAGTGTTATACTTCATTTTTACTGTGTGTGTGAAAAGAAACCAGAAAACAGTTTCTAGTATTAAAAAAAAACTATAATGTAGCAGTCATTTCCACTTCCTAAACTTTGAGTTGTGTATGAGTTTAGAGGCCACAGGGAAAGACAAGCAGCAGAATCGGGTTTCACAAACCAGCCTCCTCCAGTCGACCTTCTTTGGACTTTTAAAGCTGCTGGAGTGAACCCCTGGTGGTCGATATGAGTGTTTTTGTCTAAAACAGCTTTGTCCAGTTTATTGCTGACGTTTTGCTCCTCTGCTATCCCTCAGTGTGTGTGTGTGTGTGTGTGCGTGTGTGTGTGCTGGTTGTGTGTAATGTGTGGGTAGGTGGGATTGTCCGGCCTAGACAGCTGAGGGGTCTTTCAGAGGCCACAGTGGCCTTGTTTATCTGAGAAGGTTGGCCCTTATCGTGCCTGAGGGGAAAAAATCAATAGGCCTTGGGTCCTTTGGAGACGAGCTGGGTTTACGATGCCGCTGTGGCCATCTTTTAAGTCTCTCTGCCTGGCTCGGTATTTATCTCAGTCTCACACAAGATGGACACCACCGCCAAACACAGAAAAGTACAGGAGAGCTGCTTATAACCACCTCAGTCACTCGACTTTCTCCACCAGGGGTCCCTTATTTATTTGTGGAGGTTCATCTGTTTGATTAACAGATTCAACTTTCTATACAGAATCAGAACCTGTACAGGACTGGTCTTAGGCCTGAAGATGGTTCTCTGCGGTACCTTTGTAATCTGAGAAGTATTATTGACTTTGACACAGTGGGACAGTAGACTAGTTTACTTGTGGAGGCTGCTACCGTTACCATTCCCAACAAATATGACACCAAAGTGAGCAGACTGCCTGTGGTGTTGATAGACTTTTTTAATTTTCTATTATTAGTTTTAAGGGCCAATCCTGATGATTTCAAAATGCCATTTATCAGCCTGTCATTAATCTATTGTTTTAAAAATCTGCAATAAGATGCTTTCAGGTTCTGTTAATTGCAAGGAAATTTCAAAAAAGCCAATCTTAAACTCGCGGGACGCAGATAAGCAGCCACTCCTCTGAGGATGAAATGATTTTCGATATTTGATCTGTAGACACGATAGCACCTCCAATCGCTCATCAAATAACACAACATACTAAAAAAGGAGTCGTGGCCAGAAGTTGTTAACCACTTACTGATGACGACACCGGAGATACTGATAGCTCCCAGAGGCAAATACCCTCAACAGAGGCTAGCCAATCGGCTGAGATTTGACAGTAAATCCAGGCAGGCTGTAAAAGGTTAGGTCTGTGGTCAACTGTGTGGACACGCCCAGGTATGAGATGGTCAAGAACAGCGGGAGTCAGAGTTCAGGCTGACTCTCTGTGAAGACTGGACTCCACACAGGGTAAAGGATTTACTTGGTTGCATTTCTCTATTGTAGGAGGGAGGTGGTGAAATAGTCTATGAGAGCATATTCGTTGATTTGTACTCGTTATATTCTGTCTGGTTAAGCTTCTTATTCGTGTTTCTATATCACTAATGTTGTCAGGAAATCACAGATGAGAGCTGAACTATAAAAGAGAGGGTTTTTCAGTAAAGGTGTGGTCAAGGTCAAGGCCCAGTGGCTCAGAGCAGAGCTTTTTTCCCTTTTCTATTTTTTGTCTATATTCTGTGGCTTTAGCCTTTTGGATATTTTAATACAAGGCAAGTGTAGATTAAATACTACAGCAGAGGTGCTGCATAAAAGCCTTTTCTATATGTATTCAAAGGGTTGCTGCGACTGAGCCGTGGTGACCCGAGTATATTTAGATTTGATTGAAGGCAATTAATCACACCGCACATCTATCTCTGTATTTATGTCTGTGTTTCTGGAGCATGTGTATATTTCTGTGTCTGTCTGAGGACTCTGTCTGTGTTTGCCTGTATTGAAAAGATAAAAAGACAGGTCAACCATTTCAGGATCTCTGCAGCCTTTTCTCCCTCCTTTACACTCCCTCCTGAGTGAATGCCCTTTGTCGAGCTGTGCCCTGAGATGCTCCCGCCATCTTAGCTCCTTCGGCCATGACCTGCACTCCTCAACCCTGCCTCCCTCTCGCCCCCCTCCCCTCCTTAATTCCCTCTCTCTTCCCAGCGAATTGCCGTCTTATAGAAGTGGATCAATAAAAGCCCACTGCGTCTTGATTTGACTGGCAGCAGGGTCTCAGCCAGAGCACAGAGCTGCTCCTAGTCTGTGTGTATGTCAGTGTGTGTGTGTGTGTGTGTGTGTGTGTGTGTGTGTGTGCGTGTGTGTGTGTGTGTGTGTGCTCTTACATGGGTCCTTGAAACTGAAAATTTAATTTTAAGCTTTTTTGTTAACAGTTTTCCTTGGTTGGAGCTCTTAAAAATGTATCCCCTCGCCTTAAATCATAACCAAAAAGTGTCTTCCTCTCTGCTTTCTGTCCTCATGGAAACCAGGTCTAAACTCAAGGAGTCCCCTAAGTGAGACCAAGAGCACCTCCTCGTCTCTCTCGGCCCTCAGCGACTCGCTCAACAGCTCAGAGGGCGGAGACCTCACCCACAGTAATGAAGAACTCAGGGGCCTGCTTGCCCCGCCCTCCTCTGCAGGCAGCCAGTCCAGCTCTGGAAGCCACTCGGGATCAGGAACTGAGGACAAGTCGGACAAAGGTAAGGAACTCTGAGAATTATTGCAACCATATGCACATTTTCTCATCCAAAAGCCCCTTAAAATTGCAGCAGAAGCACTTTTCTCCAACAGTATACTTTGTGGACAAACTATCCAATGTTATCTTAAAATTACAAGCATGTTTTACCAAAGAGTTGACTCCCCTCAAATAAAAGAGACTAACCTCCAAAAACTTGGCTAAACTGGTCAGGATTGATGCGATCAAAGCTCACAGTTACCAAATTCAGAAATAAATCCCTGAGCAAGCCTTCAACATCTTTATTCAGTTCTCCCCACTCACTTGATAGAGGTCAAAAATAGAAAAATATGAACCATCCTTGTAGCATAAGTTTTCTGTACTATCAAGGATATTTTCAAGCACCACTTTCTATTTGGTTTGCTGATACTTGTACTAGTGCGCAAATCTAAAGCTCTGCACAAACTTTCCCTGCATCTCCCTTTGGTTCCTGTTTCCTGGATTACTCTGAAATTTAAAGGGATATTCCGATGTAAAATTAAGTTAGAATCAAACACACCGTAGCACTAAGTTAGACACCCTGTTGAGGGATAAATGTTGCTGACCGCTTACCTCTCTAGTTGTAACAACTGTGGTAATGGCCGCACGATAGCAATACAGAGAGCCACGCCCTCAACCAAAACGCCACTCTATAGCCACAAATAATGCTCAGAACAGCACATAACTTCATCAACAGTACATACAGGGTCCCAACCATAGTACTAGCCACCAAACATCTTTTTAACTTAGCCTGATTTCTTTAGCAAAGAGACTAAACACAACTCACCTACTCTCTTCCAGCAGCCGCTTGTTTGTACAGAGACCTCGACCAGTCCATTACGGACTACATTGGGGTGACGCAGCTCAAGGAAGAACATTTATGATAATTTCTTTATCATTTCCTTGAAGTAATAATCATCTTATTAATCATTTTGCACTGCAGACTCGGTAGTTCTTCTGCCTTAGCGTCTCAGTCTGATTGCATTTCAACGACAGATGATCATAAATGTTCTTCCTTGAGCTGCGTAACCCCGCTGTAGTCCGTAATGGACTGGTCGAGGTCTCCGTACAAACAAGTGGCTGCTGGAAGAGAGCTGGTGAGTTGTGTTTAGTCTCTTTGCTAAAGAAATCAGGCAAAGTCAAAAAGATGTTTGGTGGCTAGTGCTGTGACTAGGACCCTATATGTACTGTTGATGAAGTTAGGTGCTGTTCTGAGCATTATTTGTGGCTATAGAGTGGCGTTTTGGTTGAAGTTTGTTTATGGCTCCCCAGACCGCTGTATATTGCTATCGTGCGGTCGTTACTAAAGTTGGTATAACTAGAGAAGCAAGCGGTTGGCAACATTCATCTCTCGACAGGGTGTCTACCTCGGTTTTATGGAGTGTTTGACCCTGAATTAACTTTACGCCGGAATATCCCTTTAAATTCAATTAGACTACGTCATCAAATTATCGATTTCTAATCAGACTATAATAAGAATAACTTTAATAACAGTATAATAACTGTATACTTACCCTCTCTCCTTCCTTCCTCTCTTCTACAGGTTTCGAGTGTGTCTTCTGCAATTTCGTGTGCAAGACTCGTAGCATGTACGAACGACACCTCCAGATCCACCTCATCACGCGAATGTTCGAGTGCGACGTCTGCCACAAGTTCCTCAAGACGCCCGAGCAGCTGCTGGAGCACAAGAAGTGCCACACCGTCCCTTCCGGAGGGCTCAAGTAAGGAAAGCAAGTACAGACAGAGGTTCCTAACTCCGCCTGTCCTCCCCTCCCTCATCCGTCACCCCCTCAATTCATTACTCTGAGAGACCAATATACAGTTTATGAAGCTCATGCACATTTAAAGACCAGAGCCAGAGGTGTGCAAACTTAAGGCACATTTAGTTTCAGTAGTTTTTCTGGGACAGTCAAGCTAAGTTAATGTAAAGTGATGAATGAAAATAAACTTGGATGACTCAGAGTAATAGATAAATCAATGTTTATGAAGCTGTCTGCATAGTCATGGTTCTTTCAAGTCAAATCTGATCTAAAGGATGTAAAGATATCGCTTTTAAAAATGTTTTAAATCAGAGACGAGCATAAATAAGTGGTCAATTTGAGGATAATTCTAGCCATGTGTTCCTTATCAGTTAACCTCACTTTAATGTCCATTATCTGCAGCCAGCAAATGAAACGATACAAGCTGCAGTTTTGCTCGACAGCCTCTCTTGGCAGGTCTAACTTATTAGACAGCGGTCTGTGGGTCTGCAGTGGCTGCTATGAACAGAAGGGAGAGTGAAAGGGAGATGGAAATGGGCTTCCCCTCAGGGTCTGTTGTTCCACTGCCCACAGCTAACAGCCATGCCAAAGAAAAATATCTGATGAAACCTGCATACCAGAAAGCTGCTTTATTTTTCCCCCAATGCAGACACACTGGGCTGGGTATTATATATAAAAAAAAAAACGCTGGCACACTCCGAGAGGATAATCATTTAGAAGAAAGTGCACACATGCCATGAATGTCTGATGGCTTCGATTTGAAGCAGCATAGACTGGACACTGACACAAGTCTATTCAAATTAACAGATAGCCCAAACTAAAGCCCGCTTTGAAGTGTACTCACTCTGATCTGAAGCACAGCGTGCAGTTTGTGGGGGGCGAAAAAAGAGAAAGCTTTCCAACCATAACTCGTGCAGCAGTGTGCATCCCAATCTCCTCAAACTCTACATGTAGAAATACGCCAACAAGAAGTGCAGCACATGCATATTGTATGTAGTTATCTTAGTGGAAGACATCTTCATCATAAGGCAGCTTTGTTTTTCTAATCTTGACTGTAAATGTAGCTCCAGCCTCCTCTCATGCCTCCCTCTCCATCTCCATTCTCCAGTCCCTCAGGAGCCTTTGTTGTACTGTGACATGTTTATGTCCCATTTCAGGCCTGTCAGGCTGACATAAAGACCATCTGTTGATCTGAGCATCCTCACAACACACTGATAATGTTAGTATTTAAGTTTAGATTGCCTATAGTGATGTACTTGTGCATAAATTTAGCTTCAGGGTTGTAGTTGACATTTGGGGATTAAAAAAAAGACTTTGATTGTCTTCAATGTTTAGGGGAAAATGCTGGATAATTAACATTTTGTTTCATTTCAAGTAACACAAGCCATTTTCTTGTTTTTTCTCATGACTCCAGTCTGTGCATGCGCAGAACCATTGAGTATCATTATTATCGATTATCGCCCTCATCTTGTCACGAGCAAAGATTTGTACTTTACATCTTATTTGTGTGCAGCCATCAGTGGAGTTAGGATGTTCTTTGACAAATGTCTTTTTAATGGTAGCGTTACTTTACATGTAGAGCAGGAACAAAACACAAACACACATCGCGCCCCTTTTGCAGCATCTGAAATCTCTTACTCTGTCGTAGTTGTAGCTGTAGTGTGTGAGTGACTCCATGTAAAGGACTTTTCAACTGTCTCTAAGCTAGCACACAAAGAGAAACTCGCTCCGGATTAATGTAGTTTTACGACAGACCTGAATTCTTTTATTTGTCATGGTTAAATCTGCTTTAATTCATCCTCCTCTGTAGTACTGTTTATGTCTGCACATGTGGGCTGTATTTTCAATTCTTCAAGGTTTACACTGTCTCTTTAATTTATGTAAACCAAATGTATTTTTAGTCTCAAAGCAGGCAGGATTCAGCCAACAAGGTGTAGAGTAAAAATCTCAGACCTAAAGAACAAGCAGTGTTTAGATAAACTCCTCTATTGCCTACATTTTCTGACCCCTAAGGTCCACATAAAGATATTTTTCCTCGACCAGTACGCACACGTGTATACACTTGAGCAATGTGAAGTGTATTTCTATATATGTAGGAGTGTGTAGAAAGGCAGAGAGGGCCTTGACCATTTCGAGGTTTTTCTGAGGTGATTCTGTTCTGCAGGGTTTGTGAAGCGCTTTGGGGCCCAGAGCAGATGAAAGGTGCTATTTAAATGTAAGTGCCACTCCATTCCTTCATTTCCCTTCATGTCCTACTGCTCCAATCTTTTCTCCAGCCTGTCACCCACCTCCTCCTCCTCCTCCTCCTCCTCCTCCCCCACACACACATATACCTGATCACCTCAATTCTCCCACCATTAAACTACCACACATACCACCATGAGCACACACACCTGTACATCATACACACTTTTCCTTTACCTGCTCTTCTCCTCTTCATATTTTTGTGTTATTGAATTTTAAGGTGTATGATGTGTTTTTTTTTTGTTGTTGTTGTTGTTGAAGGTGCACTTCCTCTTCAACTGTCTTTTGCTTCTTTGTGTGTCCTGTCCTCCCTCCCTGCGTCCCTTTTTGTTGAATTACCCAGGTGCCCTTTCTGCATCTACTCCACCAATCGTCCAGCGGCCATGGAGTGCCACCTAAAGACGCACTGTAAGATGGAGTACCGCTGCCGCATCTGCCAGGGACTGTGGCCCGACCAGGCCTCATTGGAGGCCCACATGCGGGGGCACCGCCTGGGCAACCACTACAAGTGTGAGCAGTGTGGCTACTTGTCCAAGACGGCCAACAAGCTCATCGAGCATGTGCGCGTGCACACAGGTGAGCGGCCCTTCCACTGCGACCGCTGCTCCTATAGCTGCAAGCGCAAGGACAACCTCAACCTGCACAAGAAGCTGAAGCACGCGCCGCGCCAGACTTTCGGCTGCCAAGAGTGCCCTTTCACCACCACACACCCCTTCGTCTTCAGCCGCCACCTCAAGAAACACCAGAGTGGAGGAGCGGGGGGACTGGGTGGAGGAGGAGATGAAGAGGAGGAGGATGAGGAGGCGGGAGAGGAGGAGCTGCCGCTTCAGGGGGTGTCACCAGGGGGGTCATCGTCGAGGAAGATCCAGGAGAACTTCTTGTTCGGTGGAGGAGGAGGGGGGAGCAGCGGAGGAAGCGGGAGTAACAGCCCCCTTATGAGTCTGACGGCGTCCCAGGCGCTGCAGTCCGTGGCTCTGTCCCTCACTCTGGGTAAATCCCACCAGCTGGACCACACCAGCCCTCTGCACCGCCTAGTTAGCACTAACGGCAACAACAACAACCCCAGCAGCCTGACCAGCGGCAGCCCCTCCCTCTTCCTCCCCTCCTCACGCCACATGTTCGAGCAGTACAGGAACTGCGATCAGGCGCACCTGATCCCCCTCACCACCCTGTTCACCCACAACAGCCGCTTCACATTCCACTCGCACCTCCACTCCAGATGGCGGCCCACTACGTCTCCTCTCCTCTTCTCCTCCAGTCCGACGTCCCCCTCCCACTCTCCCTCCACACCCACCTCCCACAAACACTCCTTCCTGGCCTACCTGGGACTGATGGAGAGGGCCAAGACTGTTTGACCTCGCCCTCCTCCTCCTCCTCCTCTTCCTCCTCCTCCTCCTCCTTCTTCTCACCTCACTGTTTCCCTCACTCCTCAGACAGTGGTGTGAATGACACTTGACCACTGCAGAGAGAGCGACGTCTTTTCCAATCAGACCAGCAGGATAAGCTGGAGCAGACAAACATATTGAAGAAACGTTAAAAAAAAAAGAAAAGAAAAAAAAACATTTATAAGAGAAAAAGGCTGTACATGCTAAAAATGCATTTATATCAAAAAGCTGCTTTTCTTATCAGTTCTATCAATTGAATTATTACTACTTCAACTACTACTCTCTATGATCTTTATTTCTGTTTTTAAACATCTGAATGACCTGGACACAGTTGCATTATCTGAGGAAACTAACGTATCTCAGTTTTATAGATATTTTTCTTTAGTCGTTTGATGAGATATAAAGTTGGAAAAGACGAAACAAAACTTGCAAGTGCTATATTTTAGTGCATTTTTGTCTATTGCTATTATGCATCAAGATAGCATGCCCGTTTCTGTGTTTTCAACTAGCTTTGACGTCATTAGCAAGCTGAAAATTCGAGATATCCTGAAGTGTTAGCGGTGCAACGTGGACGGAACCAATGAAATGGAGCGCTTTTCGTTGAAAAAGGCACATTTCCAAAGCAACGCCTCAAACCACGCACTTACTTATTTATCAGTCTTGTACATAGTTTTGTAGCCCTTTCCCTTCCCATTTTTTTTTTTTTTTTTTTTTTGGATTTCTGTTGTTTTTTTATGATGGTGGAACCATATGATGCATAGCTGCTGCCTGATAACACCTCTGCCTCAGAAAAAGCAACGTTATTAGCTCTTTAAAATCCTTTTAAGCTCACTGAACAGAGGATAAGCTGTATGGATGTAAATAGATGGAATAAAAAAATAATAATCGGACCAATCTTGACAGCAAACATTTACATTTTGATTCAACGCTGATTTAAAATCATGCCAATGAATTTGCACTCACAGGTGAATAAGCAGAGAAATGACAAAGCAGATACTTAGTATTTCTGAGACCAGGTGGATATCAGTGCAGCTGCATGTGCAGAACTATGTATCACGCACCTATACTTAGAAAAGATATATGAGATAACTGTTTTGTGGAGGTGACCAGCTCCGGGTTAGCGAGCGAGCTACCCGCAGCACGGGTCACCACAGGCCGATTCAATGGTGCTTTTTGGAGCTTTTTGTAATTTTTTGTGTACAAAAAAAGAAAAAAAAACTGTTCCAAAATGACTTGAATGAATGTATTTTGGTTTATGTATATGAAAATGAAGCGATACAGAAGTGTGAACAGGGACGTCTTCTGTGCTGGAAAAGACGGGAAAGTCAGTGTGTTTGGTGGCCTTCTGTGTCTTCTTTTCTTTTGTTTGTTTGTTTGTTTGTTTTTCTTTTTTTTACTTTTTTACTGAGCCTTTTACATCATGATAAAACATTTTCTACTAACATTCATATAAAACCCATTTGTGAGAAAAAAAAGCTCCTGTAGGTGCAATGATGAAGCAAAGCCATTCACTTGTACAGCGTTGTGTTGGTTGGCAGATGCTTCGGTTAGGCCGGCAGACATGGTACTGCTTTTTGCCCCCCCCTCCCCTCCTCCTGTCAACCTTTTCAGTTTTAATTGCACTTAATGTAGTTACACTTCAAGCCAAAAGCACTTAAACCTTTAATTTTCCTTTTTTTCAGTTTTCTTTTAATGTGCAAACTTAGATCCACCAAGTTACCATAATACAGAGTGGACAGCTCTTGCTGGAAATGACTCAATCAACACCCCTTATTTTCACGTGTAGGCATTTCTCGCAGTGCAGAAAGGTCTGCCTCTGTGAAATCTGAGAAAGAAAATGAATACAAATTGCATGAATTAGACAGTAGAGGTCAAGCTCTCCCTGGGAACTAAAGGTCCCAGGCTAAATTGCGATGAGCCAATTTTGCACAGTGCTGCACTTTTTGATTGAGAGAATATGTATTTATCCGTAAGAAATGCTCAATAAGAAGTATATTTGCAAGATAGGGCAGCATACTACAAGCATTTTATTTTGAAAAAGCTTTACCCATGACTAGTTTTTATAAGTGGTCTTCAAGCCAAAATCCCTTATTTTTAAAGGGATTGTTTTTTTATTTTCCTTGTTTTTATTTTGTCTATTTTCTCATGCATTATCTTATAAAGAATCATGTTTTTGTTTTTTTACTTTTCTACTGAAATCATGTCAGAATTTACAAAAAAAAAAAAAGAATATGATTTGTCAAGACCAAAATGTTAGCCGCCGCAGGATGTGATGTTAGGATTGAATCCGTCACGTCGTGCTCTGGAGCGATTGTCCCCCTTTACACTGCTGTTTGTTGGTTCCTTTTTTTGCTCTGTCGATGTCTGGCATGCTGTCTCTGGAGTGAAGCGAGCATCCCTCCAACACACACATACACACACACACACACACACACACACACACACACACATACACACACACTCGTACTATCTACGTTATCTTTTATACTCTAGTGCCACTTGGTGGAAGGAAACCACCTGAGACTTCTGGGAATGAGTCAAACTTAATTGTCAGGGTCCATAAAAAAGATAAAGAGATAAAAAAAAGAAAAGAGTGCATCCACTCTTGACACCTTTTAAAATGTTTGCCTTTTATTAATCATGAATGGCTGCACTTCTTTATGTCCCCTCTTAGTTTGAGTGTAATGTTTAAAGAGGTAACAGGGCTCTGTTCTTTTGAAAATCAATACGCTTAAGCACTTATTCTGTTTATCTTTTGCCCATTTGTACGCAGCACAGTGACCTTTTCTTTAAAGCTTGACTACCTTTGCAGCACTTCAAAGAATGCATGACATGGCCCCCTCTCTCTCTTTAGCACTTAATTGTGTTGAAAACTAACTCCCCTCGGTTGCATTTAGTTAGCATCCCACTGCACTGTCTACAATCAGTTAGCTTTACGTTTGCCAGTGTTTTATGATTAGAAAAACGGCTCAACTATTTTCTCTTTTGGCACTCGGTAAAGAATGGTATGTGCTGTACAAAGCTTTTTTTTATTACTCCATTGTTAAGGCTGTACAGGGTTGTGACGATAACTGGTAAATAGATCATTTGTACTTTTTTTTTCTTTTTTTTTTTTTTTTTTGGTTTTGTATTGTTTTTCTTTATTTGGCATTATTTTATGTTCAAACTTGCCAGATCTAAATGTAACCGGATTTGAAAGTAAAGCTTACATCAGATATTACATCAGTTGTTCCGTCTTTTCTCTGTTTGTTCTTCGGATATTTCTTAAACAACCTCAAACAGCATCACGCTGCCACTTGGTTAAACATACTAAAGTAGTTTTCCTGATCTTTCTGTCAGGCTTTGAACAGAAACAGAAACACCAAGCAAATGTTAAATGTTGCTCACAGACTTGGATTTGTGCTTCATAGGACAGCTTTTACAGAGTGTTGGATACAAGACATGGCAAAGTCTATAATTAACACCGACAACCTCCTGAAACATCTATCTAGAAAATCAGACTATTTCTGACTCAGCTTATGTAATGCTGCTGGCTCCAGTTTGTTCACTAAAAATAATAAGTACACACACATTAACATCTAAAACATCACGGTGAATGGTTTCCTCTGACGAATATTTGAATTTATTTATTTTCAGAGACACCAGATTTATCAGAATGCTGATGTAGTCTTCGTAATCTCCCAATTACTGTGAGTTGATACCAAGTTAATGTGCTATAATCTCAATATGGGAATGCAACACAGTCCATATTATACAATCCATGTATGTTTGTATAATAAACTTTTATTAGGAGGTGAATTGACTCGTATACGATTTACTGCGGGTTAAATTGTCTGATGTACAGATATTGTGGTCCTTGAAAAGGTTCAACCCTGGACTTTCTGCTGCCTGTCATTCCTTCTCTTTCTCAATCCTGTCCTACAAAAATGGCAAAAAAATTTGGGTAACCCTTTACTTGACGCCTATCTCTATAACGCATTATAAATATATGTATAATGCGTTATAATCACATTATAGCACTGTATAACTATAGTTATAGACACTCATAAATGATCATAATGCTTTATAGCAATAATCATAACACATTATAAAATGTTTTATCATGACTTACAAGGTCAGGTATTATAATGCGTTATGCTTATTGTTATAAAGCCTTATGATAATTAATGAGTGTTTATAATGATAGTTATACAAGTTTATAAGCAATTATAACACATCATAAATATATTTATCATGCATTATCTATGTGGGCATCGTCAGTGAGTTGTTAACAGTTATAACACATTATAATACCTGACCTCTTAAGTCATGATGAAATGCTTTGTAATGTGTTCTGATTATTGCTATAAAGCATTATATAATCATTTATGAGTGTTTATAACTATAGCTATACAGTGCTATAATGTGATTATAACGCATTATACATATATTTATGATGCGTTATAGAGATAGGCGTCAAGTAAATTGCTCCCAAAATTTGCCTGTTATATAAGTAAAGCAGTTTTCCATCATTTTGCATAAATCAGCTCCCTAAAAAATACCAAAATTGTAATAACTGGCTGTGATTTGCAAACAAACCTTTCAACACAATAATGAATAGATTTTATACGGCTTCAACTGCTCAGTTATATTTATTTGCTTACTAAATGATCAATAATAATCCAGCTCAATACAATTCTTCTAAGAGAAATTGAGTTTCACTTTGTCTGAACTTAACCCAATACTATTATTATACATGAATGGAAAAGGCTGTACTGGTGCTCATTCACTTTTCACAATTATACTACGAATTAAAGGCCACAAGAGCTGAAAAATGTCCAATGAGAGGAGCAGAAAAAAAAGAGACACTGAATCATTCATTGAGGAAACAGAAACAGGAGCGAAGGAAGCGCGCTGATCATCTTTGAGGGACACAGCATTCTGTAATTTATAACACTGGCGTGCTATCATAATAATAAGGAATAGGATCTGTCATGGTGTCTGTGCTGGTGTTTTTATTAGACCGATGGGAGGTCTCTCTCGCTCTCCTCTCTGTGTCGTAGTAATGAAAGTTACAGCACGTTCTCGCCCAGCCAAAGGTTGGCCCTGCCTAATGAAAACAGATGAAGCAGAGATAAAGTGTTTGCCGACATTAAGGGACTCATTTATCACCGTTAGCCCCCGAGCTATAGAACACCTTGGTCTGGAGCTCTCCTTTAACGGGCCCTGCCTCACAGCACCCTGGTGGCACCTTGCATCCTGCCTTCCAGGCACACGAACACCTCCATCTTTACCTCTTTCTCTTTCATACCATGCAGATTTTGCATTATTTCAAAGCGATTATATCATCTCTATGTGCATATTTTCTCGTCTGCGGGGTTTCGCGTGGTTTTAGCGTGAGGTTTTAGCTCTAAAAAGGCTAACATTTTTGGAGGAATCTTTATCAAAATGAAAGGATTAGGCAGTCCTCCATCACCGCGCCCTCGATGTTGACCCCATGTGGGTTCAACAGCCATCCGAAGCCGGATCTCTCTCCGTTGAAGGGCTGTGTTCTCATCTAGCTGCTCATCTTTGCCTGTGTAATAATGAATCTTTTCGGCTGTGTTTAAAGCTGCTTAATTAAGTTCAAAGCAGTGCTCGGGGCACTGTGCGCCTGCTCGTCTGACCTCCCTATGAGTGGAAGTGTTGATTAGGAAGTGAGGAGACACGCAGGCACTGCAGGGGATGGCTATTGATTGAAAGGATAGAAAAAGCTCATTTGGATTGTGTGATTGGAATATCACACTGTACACAGGGGCTGTTTTTCTTCATTTGGCGCGTAACAATAACTCCATTCCTGCCTGGTGAAATTGTCAACTAAGTGAGGAATTTTTTCTGTGATAAGACTAAAACACCAGAGTTTTCCCTCATCCCAATAATAGCCCTTCACCCCGGCCTGAGCTGTCTGCACAATGTCGACCTTTCGACACCACCTCGCCAAAGTTGGCCGCTGTCGATCGATAGCGTGTTAGCTTTTTTGTTTGAAGGTTCAGGCTGCCTTGGCTTTATTACAGCTGCTGAGAGTCATGGGGGAGTCGTGCACGGCTTTGTGAGAGAGGAGCTCCCTCTTGTTTGCCAAAAGTGTAATCCCGCCGTGACCCGCCGTGACCCTGCCCTGAGAGGAAAGCTGCTTAGACAGGAGTGCGTGTCTGTGGGAGCTCCCAGCTGCCTGGCCTCTCTCTGTCTCTCTTTTTCTCTCTGTTTTTCTCACTACATCTACCTCACCCCCTCTTTTAAGGCTCCTTGTACATCTTAAGATCATACAGAATCTCCCCTTTGCCCCTCACTACTCGCTCTCCTCCTCTTCTCCTGTTTATCTCCTCGTTCTTTTCTGTCCTTCTCCTCTTTTACAGTAAACTCCATCAGCACTTCCAAGACCCCTCGCCCACCCCTCGACCACCATCGAGGTTTTCATCCTGGGAAGCAGCAAAGGCTTTACTAAGTGGAGACAGACCCCCCAAACTCCCCCCTTTTTTTGCTCCAACAGAGAAAATAAACACTCAAAGTCCTGCCATACACAGCCTTCAGAGCAGGACCACTGACACATGGAAAAAAAGAGAAAATGAAGGAAGAAAATGACCTCTGGAATCGATTTGGCATGGGTTGAAGCCAGGGCTAAAAACTGCACAGAACAAGGCTCCACTGAGGCTGCTTGTTGATTCATAAATCTATTCATCTTTGGGAACATTAAGCGCTGAAATGAATCTGTGAATATGAAATTTCATGTTTATTCTGTCTTTGATTGCGAGGAGAAGTTTTGCACGAGCAGCTGGAGAGACGAGCAGCTTTTACAGCGAAACAGGAGCTGAAACAAAGATGTAAGACAGGAAAAACAGAGAACCCACACCTGAACTGTGGAGAGATGATCTGCAGGCCCGTGTGCTGTCACTCACTAGTTTCTCCTCTGGAGTTTGGTTTGGACACGCATGGTGGGACGTGTATTTACATGCATGTTTGGTGCCCGGCCTAGGGGGCATAGCATCACTGCCTGCCCGACCCCCTGCTGCGCTCACTCCCCGTTCTCTAGGGTGAGACATCACTCTGCGGGGGTCAGCAGCAATCTGATTCAGGAAGCACTGCAGGGGGTGCTTAGATTTTTTTGGGGGGAGAATTCGCCCAAAAGTCTCTGGGCCTGGCATATCCAGACTGAGGGGTAGCCTGAACCAGCAGGGGGGGAGGGGGCAGATCATACCCCCCTGCTGGGTGCTGCCTCAAATATGAAGATACTGCATGGCCACTCCAACAAGATGACAAACATGTTATAAAGAAGGGGGAGGAAGAGGAACCAGGGGGCGGAGGAGGGTAATGGGCAGGGGGGAGAGCAGCTCTACTTAAGTGTGATCTTTGAAATAGATCGGACACACAGCAGTCCCCCTGTTGTTAAGCGCTGCTGTTACCATGGCGTCTTGTGACAGCTACCAGCCATAGGTTACTCGGTTTCTATGGGTTACAGTTGGCACGGCTCTTCATTCACATCTCCCGTGACACTGAACTTCAACATATTTCCAACCAGTTTCCTCTTACAAGTACGGCCACTCACATTCGAGTACAGGATGTTCAATCTCAAACATGCGCTTGTTTTTCAATGATTTTCTTCACCAGGTGTGACGATTTCAATGATTCGGGTCTGCCGAGATCTACAGTGAGGAGATTTGGTTGCAGAGAGCTTAACAGAATAGTCTGAGGTCGAGCCCAAACTAATCAGGCTTCTCATTTCCCTAGATGGAGTAATGAAGTAGAACGCTGACCCTCCTGCTGACCCTGGGAATCCGTAGCAAGAAAAAAACAGCCTGGGGACCAATTAGAGTAAAGTTAACAGAAATATTAAAACAGAGCGGTCATTTATTAATAAACACAATCCAACTCCTCTTTTTTTAAAAAGCAGCTTCAAAGCACTTTTATCCGCCTTGATACGAAAAGAAAGCCCAGATGGAGAGAAACCTTAAATCTGACTAGATAACAAGGTATCCTAAAGATGATTTGTACTGAGGGTTGATTACAACCTGGTTAGCTCTCCTAATTATCTCATGCACTTGAGCTTTTAATGATTTCCGTGATTCAATTATCTCTAACTGAATTCCTGTCTTCAATCAATTAAAGCCAAAGCTGCACACTCATCCATCTTCCAATCAGGACGTCGGGAATCCCTCCATCCATTCTCATTTGAAAAGAGAGCAGGTCAAACAAATTAACAGAGATCACATCCATCCATGTCTTTTTATCCTCATTTTTCTTAAATTGTACATTCACCTTTTCTGCTACTTTTACTTTGTTGTTTTAAAAAGTGGTCTGTTCAGAAGGAGGGAATAAAAAAAAAAGGAACATCTTACTTGACGCCTATTTGACGTATTATAAATATATGTATGTGTTATAATCACATAATAGCACAGTATAACTATAGTTATAAACACTCATAAATGATCACAATGCTTTATAGCAATAATCATAACACATTATAAAGCATTTCATCATGACTTACAAGGTCAGGTATTATCATGTGCTTATTGTTATAAAGCCTTATGATAATTAATGAGTGTTTATAATGATAGTTATACAAGTTTATAAAGAAGTTATAACGCATCATAAATATATGTATAAGGCATTATCTATGTGGGCATTGTCAGTGAGTTGTCAACAGTTATAACACATTATAATACCTGACCTTGTAAGTCATGTCTGGACATATAAAGCATTAAGATCATTTATTAGTGTTTATAACTGTAGTTATACATATATTTATAATGCGTTATAGAGATAAGCGTCAAGTAAAATGTTACCAAAAAAACATATTTTTGGCAGATGCATAAATGCATAAAGATTCACAGCTTTATTAAAAACAGGAACAATAAGGCTCTCATCCTACTTTCTCATCTGCTGTGCTCGTGATTAGAAAGCGCTCTTCCAAAACTTTAAGCACAGCTCAGTCTGTCATCTGAATCTCTCTTTTTTCTTTCTGCTCATTATGAAACCTGATGTAAAGTTGAGTGACAGCAGTCCTACACTAGCGCTACACTTACAGGCATTAAAACACACAAACACACACACAATACTCAGTTTTTGGATACAAGCACACACAGTTTGGCACCATCTGCTGGAACCTTAAGCTACATGTAGGAGAACCATTTAGCTGGAGAGGACATAAGCAATCGAGTAAACAATAAAAAGATTGAAAGGGAGGCATGAAACAACAAACAGATTTTAATCCAGTGAGATAATTAAACGTGCACAGACATGATTCAAAACTCTTAACCAGAGACATGTGTTTTAAAGAAACGAAGATGCATGTTTGACTTATGCATGCAGCCTGTTCAGCCACTTTACAGCTAAATTAGAGGAAGAGAAGAAGAAGCACAGAAATGGTTGCCAAGGTGCCCAGATAGTCATTTAACCCTCATTGGTCGAGAGGGAAGCTGAGGGCAGGGCAGTCTTTTCACATGCTGCTCTTTCCATTCCCATTATCTCACCCTGTCTCATCCCTGCTACCACCACTATGGCTTCTTGAAAGGCTTTAGCATTCTTTTAAATGTAAATACCAAAATTGTGCTGCTCCTGCGCAGACGCACAGGATGCAGCCGAAGATTAGGTTTGATGTTTTTATCACCGCAGTGGCAAAAATCGTTTAACAGCAGCACAAAAAGCCAAGCGGGGCACTAGGGGCGTTTTGGTCACATTTAACACCGGGGAAGATAAAACACAAAGACAGGCCGACTCCTCTGCAGCGGCCTTGTCTGAGCATCCCACCATGATGGGCTGTGCTGCAGGAAAAAAACATAGCTGCAAACTTCAATCTCATCACTCTCAGCAGTGCTCATCATGTTACTGAGTAGCTTCAGATGTCTTCATTTAGAGAGCAGCCTCTGAGATATCTATTCAGAGCCTGTGCATTTTTGGATAGCAGTGAGTGTGCATTCCCTGGCACAATTTTCAATAGAGCTCCCCCTGGAGTGGCCAGGGAATGGCTATCACAACAATTACACTGACAGCTCTCTTCTAAAGTGCACTTGATTTATTTGATTTAGCTAAGATTAATGGCCCTCCCTGCAAGTAGGCTGGGCAAAGATGTGCAGAGAAACACAGGCTTTCTCCTGCAGAAGCACAGGTGTTTATGCAAACACAGATAATGAAAGTGCATCAGATGCAAACACCCGTATAAAAGTGTGTGTACTCAAGCTGACAAATCATTCTCCAGACTGTTTTTCCTTTGGTTTTTTTCAGCTACAGTATACGACAGAACTGGGGAATATATATCTCACCTAGTTATATATTAGCCTGGTGAACGATCATGAAGGACAAATCCTGAAAAATAAGAAACACACAGCAGAGGTCCAAGGCTGTTTGATGTCACCTATCAAAGCTAAGATAAACACAAATATATTTAAACTGAAATAGTCTTCTTCTAGATGAAGAGCTCCTTTTAAATGACCAATGTTTGTGTTTCTAATGCCCCTTATTTCTTAGAATTGGTGTATTAACGCCCGTATATTAAGTGTAGTTTTTTTTTTTTTTTTTACTGAGATTGTCCTGAAGACTATTTGTGATAAAACCTGGCAAATTAAGGATCTTATATTCATCGTGCATCAGGAGCTTCTAGACCTCAGAGGACACCATCCTCTCACCAACAAGAGGGATGAGATAAGAAGTGCTTACATCAAGAATCTGAGCGAGACATCTGATCAAATATTCACATTTTGACACACTGTACCTTTAATGCAGGGGTTAAACTTTTTTGTTTTGTTTTGTTGTTTTTGCCCCGTCCTTTTGTTTTAAGCTGTTTTATCAGAAAGATAGTGAGTCTTCGCTGCTTTGTTGCTGTTTTTGAAGTTTGTGTATTGTTTAAAATGAGACAGGATCTGTCTCTTTAATAAGAAAGCTGCTGGGTCTCTGGTTTGGCTTTGAGAGTAAGGTTGCCCATATACAGTACAGAGACAGTCCCATAGTTGCGGTGGTTGCCGGTTTGACTGCGTCTCACGCCCCTTTGCTGATGTCTTCCTCCAATTTCTCCTCCCATTTCCTGTTACTCCTCAGCTGTCCACTCAAGAGAGGTAAAAGTGCTCAGAAAAGAATAAAAAGAACCCACTGAGCAACAGACAGCTGTTAGACATCTGTGTTTTTTTTTTTAGACCTACTTTCAACTGTCTAGATTCTGTATATTTTTAGACGAAATTTAGACATTGCACTTTAACCCGTTATTTGATAACTATTTATTTCAAAAAGCAACTGTGAGTTGGATAACTGATCTCCAAGTACTTAACCAAAATAATTATGATAGCTGTTGAGCGATATACAATGTAGTATAGATAAAGCCCAGATTTAGACTTAGTCTAAACTTGGTCTAAATTTAGACGTCTAAGAAATCGTTCATTTTTCGATCTGTGGTAGTCTGATTTTAGACCAGTCGTCTAGGCTATATTAGGACATCTATTAGACCTCTTTTAGACCAAAACATGCTTAGTGGGAATTAACCGTCAATTACAATATGTTAATATTATAGAATTGGATGTAAATTTCTCTTTTAAAATTTGTGGAAATGTTGCGAGCTAAACTTGGAAACAAAACTACAATTTGACTTAAAACGTTAAACCATAGTATTGTATGATTTTTGCGCTTTTAAAAACCGCAAACATTTCCATTATTTTCCTACTTTCAGGATTTGATTAGAAGCCTTTAGAAAACTTTGCAAAAGCATCAAAGTCCTCAGCTTTAGATTCCCACAGTTTGATGTCTCTCAGTATTAATGCTATGAAACTAAACAGTGCATTTACTTGACTCTGCTCAGCCCATCTTTAAACGCTTTATTTTTAACACTAGCAGACATTCTCTTCATCCTTTTCTACAATACTGAGTTTTACAACATTATACATCATAACCTATGTTGTAATGTTTTCCCTTTTACTGCCTTAAACACAGGCACAGAAGCTGTGTGGAGACATACATGTTCCCGGATCAGGCTGCTAGAGGAAGACACCTGCCCCTCCACTGTGTGCCAGGAGCTGCTACGTCTGGCTGACCGGCCAGCAGTTGCTAGGCCAGCGGTCCGGTATGGTCCAGTGCGGTTGGCACTGACGCCTGCCCATCTGCCCGAGTTGACACGTTTGCTCCCACACCACTTGTCCAGGAGGACGAAATGTGCTGTGGTGCTCTGGCAAAGTTCCCCAAAATGTCAACCTGGCGTGACAAACCCATGCCGGCCTCCTTGGCCCTCACAGGCCTGGTGGTGAGGGGGCCCTGCCCTAGACCAGACCAGGAGCCAGGAACATGCCACGATAACAACAACCACTGATCGACTACCGGGGCGCTACCATCTTGTCCAGGGTGAATGGAGCTTGTTGGGTCGAGGAGAGGATGACTGTTCTCATTACTGGGCCTGAACCTTACAAAACATGGCTATTCAAAGTTTATAGGGGGCGGCTGAACTCAAATGAGACATCACGAGCAGGAAATGCACTCAGGGATCACGCTTGGATCAGCAGCCGAAGCAATCCTAATCCATTTAAAATGTTATGAATTAGCTTGCTTTGTCCTCGCTAGCCAAAACCAATGGGTCCAGAAGACAAATAACATGCTGAACATATTTTCAGTTGTTTGAGCAGATGGTCTTGGAGGTGCAGTGAGGGTCTGATGTTGGCTGACTGTGTCCTGCAGGCCCCTCAGGGCAGCAACTGTGAGTGGTCATTAACACAGGGAGCAGGCCATGCCAGGAGAGAGAGGAGTCGAGCGGTAGTTAACAGCCACTATCCAGTTAAATCCTCCTCCTCTGAGCTGAACAGTGAAAGCTGCAGCATTCCTCACTGGTTACCAAGGCTGTAACAGCAATACATCCTGTAAAGAGGAGAGGGAAAAAAGGACATTGTTTTATAAGCACAAAGGAACAGAACGGGGTAAGGTGTACTTCTCCACCACACCTCATCACTCACTTTTGCTGAATCTAAGGTTATAGCCGGGGCTGTCTGGCAGTTATCCATACACCGTGAATCAAGTGCGTGTGTGCACAGTGTAGCCGCGGACAGGTATGACAGGCTGACCTCCACATGTTACCACAGAGAGTGTGTGGCCCAGTGTTACCTGTCATAACACGGGCTGCCTCGAGCCCCTGACAACCAGCCCCTACCAGGCCACTGGGCAGCCAGAAATAATAGAGACTGGCAAGAGGGCAATGAGGGGTCACACGGACAGAGAGAGAGAGGAGGGAAGAGGAGGAAGGGGAGGGGACATATGACAAGAGGAGTGGTGGAGGGGTGAAGCCAGGAGAGTGAGAGGGAGAACAGAGGGAAGAGAAATTTACTGTAGTGACGGGTGCTGTGAGGATAATGATGTGGGAGCAAGTGGGTCAATCAGGGAGCAAAGCAGGGAAGATAAAAGAGAAGGAAGGTAGGGAAGGAAGCTGCTGTTCTTCCTTCATTTTACACCCTCACGTCTCTAAGAGGAGCTCAAAATCACGCTTAAAGGCAGTCGAGGCGGAGAAAGAGGAATCCTAACTTGTGCTTTCTGAGCTCTCCGTCTCTTTCTGACACCGTCGAGACAGAAAAGTGAGCCTCGGCTTTAACAAGTCGGACCACCTCGCATCACTTCCCAGTTCCTCTCCGAAGCCAAGTTTATCTTTGCAAGTATGATGTCGGAGCGCTCTCGAGGTGCAGCCTCTTACTCGCCTGCAGAGATGGAACAGCTGAATTCACTTAGACAGGCTTGGCCAGCAATTAAAGTGCTGGATTAAGAGTGATTGCATTTTGTGTCCTGAGGAGGCGCTGCCTGCCATCTTGAGAGGTCTCATTAACATGGCTGCCGCGGGCTGTGCTGAGCAGTGCCACAGGCTGTTAAAAAATAATGGAGACATTATCAGCCTTAATGTCCTGTACCTGGAGTGAAGAAGATTTTATAATCACTATTGTGATGGGCCACAGGCTGCCAGTTGTGCGAAAGGGAAAGGTTGGATGAAGATAACCCTTTCTCTGACCAGACCCCTGTGTGTTTTTTTGATCAGCCACTACACGTGGGGGAGTCTGAGCAGCTGGATTTCATTAATTGAGTGCTGGCAGCGCTCTGCTCTGGCGGCAGGGGTGAGTCACACTGGTGGGATTGGTCTCCCTCTCCCTGATATCATCTTCCAACCATAACTACAAATAATTATTCACTCAAATCCATTACCGGGGGTCAATCAAGTTCCCCAATCAGTTCTAAAGTCCAATTACTGGCGCCAAGGCTCTGTTCGCGCCTTCCTGCAGATGAAGGCCTGGGCCCACAGGCTGCCCAGTAAATTACACACAGCAAACAGAGCAGCGTGCATGTGTGGGAGAGACGCAACCTCCTCAGGTGGGTAATAAACCAAAGGTACAGAGTGGAGTCCCTGGGGCATTCTGACCGTACCATCCAGCAGACTTCACCAGGTTAAATAGAATTAGCCCATGCAATGAGACGCACTCCGAATACCAACCACATCTCATCACTCTACAGGCTAGAGAGCACACAGCATGCACACGCAGCCTGGTATTAACATCCATCTCAGCAGTTGATATAATAAGACATGTCGCCATAAGGGTCTCCCTATAAAGAGGCTGCACAGTGACCCATCAGAACAGCATAATGAGTGGGGTGTTACATCTACAAACACACACACACACACACACACACACACACACACACACACACACACACACACACACACACACACACACACACACACACACACACACACAACTTCGCCGCAGCTCTCCAGCCCCATTAGCGTGCAGCTTCTTGTATCGTTTTGCAGCCTTCTTGAGAGCGAGCCTGGAGCCTGGAGAAAATGCTTCTCACACACTCTCATCTGTCACTACAGAGAGACAGCGGCGCAGCCAGCCGAGTCGGGTGGGCAACAAGGCAAAGCAGACTGTGGGGTGCACGTGTGTGTGTGTGACAAGGGATGGATGGGTTTTATGTATGAAGAAGATGTGCAGTAGGAGAGTCGTTCATGTGTGTGTGTGTGTGTGTGTGTGTGTGTGTGTGTGTGTGTGTGTGTGTGTGTGTGTGTGTGTGTGTGTGTGTGTGTAAAAAGAAGCAAAGGGTGGCAGAGTGTGTGTGTGTGGTGGCATGTGTGGTTATGTACACAGAGCAAACATAGCAGGGATGGGGTGAAGCTTTGTGGCTCAGCAGCCCATGACTGGTTGTCATACACACACACACACACACACACACACACACACACACACACACACACACACACACACACACAGGGACAGATCCCAAATCAGCCTAGTAGGAGGGCCAGAGTGACATTTCCCTCAGCAGCAGGCTCTGATCTGACCAGAAAACAACCCAAGTACAACGCTGGAACATCCAACAAGAAGCAAAACAAAGGCGTCTGTCCGTGCTCGCCTTGTTGTCTGACATTTGTAGCAGCCTCATTGTTCAGCTCTCCTTCCAGACTTTGAGGTTTCGAAGAGGAAAAGTTGAGTTTTGGGACCACAATTGCAACAGTATGAGGGCTCCGTTTTGTTTCGTCCCAAGCCAGGAAAGCATTCTGTCTTCAGGCTGCTGACACAAAGAAAGGCTGTCAATGTAAACCCCCTCCATTAAAGATGAAAAACCCTCATCAAAGCACCAGTCTCTGTCCTCTGCTTACATTCAGTGAAAATGCTAAACACATGTGGACGTCCCTGTGTTTGGGCTAAAATGGCCGAACATGATCCGGCAGCATTTGAGTTAATCTTCCTTAGTGGAACCGCATGGTGTTGTTTACACTGGAGACAACCGAGTGTGTACGTATATGCATGTGTGCGTGTGTGGAGTGTGTCCAGACCTGCAGGACTCAGTGTTCCCTTCTGCAAAGCCAGAGCAGTTACAGTGTGTATGTGTTTGTGTCAGCATGATGGAGGAGAAGGGTGTTACTCAGACCTAATGAATCCATCTGCATTCAAGGGGCATTCTTCCTCTCTTATGCAGGCAGGAGCAAACGAGCAGCGACCTGGGAGTGAGTCCAGCAGATGGGGGCTTGGGATCTGTATTTCCAAAAGCAAAAAAAAAACAATATGAGAGAACATGGATAAGGATTGAATTCACTCAGTTTTTCCCTTTAAATGAAGGCTACTTTCAAAGGCAGGGTTTACACCAAACGCTGTACTGTCACACCCTTTACCCTACTGTTCCTTGCACTGCTACTTTACATTTTTCAGCCAGGATTGAGACAAGCCGAGCGAGATTTGGCACTGTGGGCGAGGACTACAGTACAGACTGTGCTCTAGGAGAGTGGCAGCTACTGATGTCCTCACCTCTGAGTGACCTGGCACCCTGGGCAACCTCAATGAAGAATGGATGGAGGGCAGGAGGTGGGGGCAATATGAAGAGGAGGGTGGCTGGCACTGAGGGCCCAGTCATTAGGATAATGAATCCAAAGTGAAGTGGACGTAGGGAGACCTCTAGTGGGAGGAGAAAGTAGAACAAACTCCAACAGGGTGAACATATGTACTGAAGCATTACCAGGACACAGTGTACATCATTTAACCATGTCTGTGATTTAATTTTGTTTTTAGTTACTTTAAATACAAAAGTCAAAAAAATGCAACAACCTGTCTGCAGTGGCCGCCAATTCCAGTACTGGACTCAATAACCTCACGAGAGGAGATGATAGAGTCCAATATCTGACCAATAGAGAAGGCTCTACTCCCAGAATTCACAGTGGAAATCCTCTTTCAAACTTTCTTTCTGCTGTATCCCTAATTCCTTTGACATGTTAGAAAAACAAAAACTGATTTCTACTTTGTAAAAAAGTTTGTTTTTTTTCTTGCGTTTATCCTTCTTACTTAAATTTATATGACACTTTCCACTAAACATTTTTTGGTCTAAAAGAGGTCTAATAGATGTCTAAATGTAGCCTAGACAACTTGTCTAAAATCAGACTACCACAGGTCTAAAAATGATAGTTTTTTAGACGTGTAAATTTAGCCCAAGTTTAGACTAAATCTAAATCTGGGCTATATCTATACTACACTGTATATTGCTCAACGGCTATCATAATTATTTTGGTTAAGTACTTGGAGATCAGTTATGCAACTCAAAGTTGCTTTCTGAAAAAAAAAAAGATCGAATAATGGGTTTAAGTGCAACGTCTAAATTCTGTCTGAAAATATACAGAATCTAGTCGGTTGAAATTAGGTCTAAAAAAAAACTAGATGTCTAATCGATGTCTATTGCTCAGTGGATTATTACAGTTCACCATCACTGTTACCTCGATAAAAGAGGCCACATGTTTGGTGCCATTTGTTTGGTTACTAAGTGCAAAGTAGGAAACACTGCAGTTCCAGTTTATATTTAACTTCATGACAGGTTGTCAGCAGGGCCAAGAAGTTTGGCCTGAAGATACCTCAAAAGAAACCAATTAATGGATCCCATTTGTGACAGAGTGAAAAAAAAATCTTCAAAGTTTTGTTACAAATAGTTATGAATAATTACTTGAGTTAAGTGTTAGATATTCATAGATGCAGGAAAATGTGTAGATGTTTAATTTTTATGTTGAGTATCTTTATAAAAATGGTTTGTTGGTTTGAGTTTTTTTCACATTTTGTTAATTTTTTATGGGCCCCTTTTAAATAAATTTAAAAAGCATGTTGCAGGTTGGACGTTTTTCTTTAAATGATCCAAGTGACAAATTCAAACTCAGAGTCCATAAAAAGGTCCTATCAACTTTAATGATCCAGACCGCTTTTAATTTATATAGTTTATGTTGCATCTGGCCACAGATGCGTCATCTCTTCATGCAGGAAAAACAGACTGAAGAACATCTTTGCCTCAGCTGACATTAGCTTTCTTAACAGCTCAACATAATATCTATTTATATGTATTTATTGCCATTGTCATGTAAATCAATTCAGTGAGAAATATCTACAAATCAAAGGCTGATAATATGTGTAAAGCTGAGCGTGAGGTAAAACAGCTCCAGCTTATAACTCAGGAACTATATTCAGGCATAGAGGTTGATCACTACAACAGAGCGCCTTATTATTTCTCTACCATTCAGCTGTTTTAATTCTTTCACACAGTTTTTAATACTTCTTTGTATTTTGTGGTTTTTGTGTGTTTATCATTATTTTGTCATTTATGATAGAGTCCTTCCCTGGTTTATTAACAAGATACTGGTTTGATGAATATATTGATTGAAATCTTGCAAACCTTACAAATCAAACTTGATCACCTTATTGTTTCGTGAGTTAAATATTTTTTTTAATTTGAACTCTTTCTTACAACCCTGTGAATTTTATCGGTCAAAGGATGAATCGAAAAGCACGCAACTCATCAAAAGATAAAGCAGAAAGCAGAAGTACTTGCATCTCTAGAATTTCACTTGACTTTGACATGACAAAAGAGACTGGTGTGAAAAACCTTTAGCACAGATCATGTATATAACACAAGCACCTGTCAGGGACACTGAAGTCTGCTGCCTCACAGTGAATAAAACAGCATGTCTGTTTAATCTAATAAAGCAGCAGAGTTATGAGAGTGACTTCACTTTGTCTTTCGCTCTCTGGAGGTGTTCAGGAGTTCCGCGGATTATGAAAGTAATTCAGAAAATATTAAAGTGTGTCTTGCCTGAATATGAAGCAACTGTACGGTTGACTCATTCAGGGGATACCTAGCAAAGACACCTCTGGCTTCACGGTGCAGGAAAAAATTTCATTACATTTTGACAAATCTCAGGACTAATATTCGTGGAGGTTACATAAATCACTCCTCCTCCCTTATATCACGAGTAAACACAAACTAAAAATAAAGCCAGACTAACTGTACTACATCTGTACAGATTTAATGTTTTTATTAATCCGTTTAAGTTTCACATTTTCCTTTTAATAACATTTCAATCGCAAACAAAAATAGTGATTTAACACATTTTTCAAGTTCAGCTGCTTTTTTAAGGAGACATGCATTTGTTATAAAAGTTATGTTATATTTCAGAGACAGGAACAGGTGATCTTGAAATTCCTATTTCTTAAACTGTAATCCCCAATTTTTTTTATTTTTTTTACACAAACAGCGTGAAAATTTGATCTTGTGGGGGAAAATAATAGATATGTTTGGATGTTTTGGAGGTTACCATGAGGCAAGAGAACAGGATATGGGTGGAGTGGTCAGATTGGGATAAACTTCATATCAGGTCATGGTGACCCTCTCTCATGGTAGCTTAATTGCAATAACAGGAAATCTGGCTCCAAAAGATAGTGGCAGAGAAAGTCACGAAGGGGACTTTCGCACGCACATTTGGCTAAAACTAGGGTCCCTGACGTCAATGGAGGACTATAAAAGATATGTGGATGGGCTGTTTTTTGGTTCTGTCTGTTCGATTGCTCATGAGCTATTGTTCAATGCTGTGATCGGAATAAAAACCCCGCCGAGAGGCTGCCAGCTTGATTCTGTCTTCGTGTAGTTCATTTCTGCACTTTTGCACCGAGGTCATCTTCTAAATAATTGGCGAGCTTCAGCCCAGATTTTGCCGAGGCCCGGGGCGTTGGCCTCCCCACGCGAGTGAAATCCACGTGCCGGCACACAAAAGGTAGGAGTAGTTTATTTCTCTATTAGATGTGTGATTTCACTGTGTGGTGAGACCATCGAGTGTTTGGGCCTTCGCAAAAGAAAGAGTCTAGAATCAAAGGAAGCAGAATCGGGTGGAGTCTCTCGCGTGTTATTCATGTATACATGAAGGCTGCTCCAAAGTGTGTGGAAAATTGTGAGACAGACAAATTAACCATTGGCGTCAAAGCAGCTGAAAATCTTGGCCAAGTGTCTGTTGACTTGTGTCTTACGGGGATAGTAGGAGTAAAGCGAACAGGCCCCGAGATTAGAACTTACGCGAATAGGTCTCGAGCTTAATACTTACGGGGGCAGAGAAGTATCGCTAACAGATCCCGAGAACAGTGATCAGCAGAGCAGATCTGTGTTGTGGGTGAACAAGATGCCGGGAAGTCAAATCCTAGGGGCATAGAGTTCACGGCGCGCGATTGGATAATTGGCCGGCAGCCAAGCCCTGGCAGTTGTGTAAAAGTTTAACCCGATGAGGTTGGACAGACCTCAGAGATACTGCTCTGCGGAGCCCGGGGAAGTCTGAAAAGGCGAGGAACCTGGACAGACCACCCCATGTTAAGTGCTGCAATCTGGGGCGGACCTTTTACTGAGCTCGAAAGGCAGAAACCCTGCAGGTTGCAGACTTATCTAATATAAATAACGTGGAGAAATCCACTAGGAATTATGGAACAGATTTAGATGTGGTTGACTGGACTGTAAACGAAAGTTCAATCACACTTGCTGGGAAATCCCGCTACATGTCAGGTCTGTCGCTAAGTATGGGCACATTTTAACGTATATCCACAAAAAACTTATAGATGAAACGAACGCATTTCTCATAATAAATAACGGGAAATAAAGAAAACAAACAAAACGGTAATCTGAGAACGGAAATCAATCAAACGGAACATTGGACATTGGAGGTATTGAAAATTTATAAGGTAGGAGTTGTTTGATCCACAACTTCCTTCCAAATTGACACCACGAAAGGCACGGATGATCAACGTGTTATCTTTATGAATCAGCCAACTAAACAGAATACCTTCAAAAATTCACCGAAAAGAAAAATTAAACAAAAGTATATTTGACGAATAAAATAGAGAAACCCCAAAAGTGTGTGTGTTGAGGACCGGTCCGTGTAAGCGTGGTCACTCTTTTCCTTTCTCTCCCTCTCCTCGCACTCCGCCGAGGGGGTGGGTGTGTGTGTGTTGTGTGTGTGCATGGTGCAAACTAACATGTAAATAATGGTAAATGTTTAACAAGGTGGTTGCAGGAATCCTATAAGCAAGCTAAGATTAACTGTGTTGTCACGGCTCTGTATATGGTGCCTAAAAGTTGGGAGAATTGTGACACAAAACAGATTGTTGGTGGGGTTGGACTTTTTGGATTGGGTGCGTAAGGTTGTTGGTGAAGCAGAGTTTGGTGTTGGTACAGTAGTCTGAGAAAGGTTGAGCTAAGATGCAGTTAGAGTGTGTAAGCTGAAGCAGTTGTGTGTTGTGTAGTAGGGTGTGGCAGAGAGAGAGAGCAGGAGAAGTTGACAGTCCGAGAGTCAGACTGAGACTGAGAGAAATAGGAAGTAAAAGGGGAAGTGAGGTCAATTCCGCTCTCACTCAGCCCCGAACGAGCCCCCACCTTTGCGTGAGCCAAAAATAAAGCTCCCTCTCTCCCCCGCTACTACTCTCATTCAGTGGGAAGCCCCCCCCCACATTTTTTGGGATCCAAGACATACAGCCCTCCCTCGGTGAGGAGCCCCCACCTTCGTGAGAGCTCCCCCGCCCTTCTCTCCCCTAAAGTTCCGAGACCTGGCGAGCAGTTTTTGTTTTTTCTCTCTTCCTTTCCCTCAGCAAGCTGAATATTAAAACTATCGTACCTGCAGTACAAATATATAAACATTGTGTGCATTTTAAAACACTTTTTTTTTACAAATATATAGACATTGGGTAAACCAGTGGCATAATTTAGCCAGAATTCGTTTCGGGGGACAAGGGACCATGGTTCTGCGAACTTCACATGGGATAAGGACACTCTGTGGCCACAAAAAGAAAAAGGTAGGAGATTTCCTAAAATTTGGTTGAGAGTTCTTTTCCCTGTGAGGTGGTGCGGACTACTGCTCTCTGTCCTCTTCGAATCAGTTGGTTGTGTCAGACCGCCTCACGCTGCTACATGCGTGAGACTATGTGAGAAACTATAGGCTGGGTGCAGGAAAGCACTGGCCAGTAGTGTGGGGAGACAGCCGGGCCCGGGTTGTGATGTGTTTTCTAAGCTGAATGCCTGGTGATAAAAGGTTCTGGGTAATTTTTGGGATAACAAGGGGAGTGGCAGGCACGAGTGTGTCTGTCCGTTGTTGAACTGTGAGTTTGGGCAATTTTTTGTTTTATGAGCTCTGACAGATACAGATTGGCTTGATGAGCAGGAGATAGAAAAAGAGGTCAATAAGGGTAGGCCGAAAAGCCTATTCAGGGATCCCAATTGAACAAGCACGTCCCATATCTCCTGACCGATTGTAGAAGAATCACATAAATTGGAAAAATCACACAAATTGGAAAAATTGAAGAAATCAAAACAAGAATTAAAATAGAAGACTGCTGACTGACTCCAGTGACTGACTTTGACTTCAAACACGTGTGAAAGGGTATACCATTGTGAGATGAAAGAGTGAAGTGTGTGGGTTGATTGGATGTTTGTGTGTGTCTGTTTTGTTCTGTGTCAACTAAGTTCTCTGGCAGTGTTCACAGTCAGACTCTGCACCTGTGTGTGTGCTATGTTAGTCAAAGATTGCTGTGTTCCACACTTGTGTTTATTTCATAGTTGTTTATGTAAATACTGTGCTCATTGCGGTCATGTTATCAGTTGAGACATAGAAGGTTAAATACTCCTGGGAAAGAGGTTCTGTTCTCAGTACCATGATGAACACTCCTGATATAAAGGTTTTAGCTTATGCTTAAATATTATGATGGTTTTTTGTTGTGAACACGTCTTATGCTACTTAACAAATTTTCTGTGTTAAAGCTGCTGAACAAATGTTTGTGAAAGTATAAAAGATACAAAAAGGGAAAAAGCAATGAGGTACCACAAGTGCAAAACTCCTAAAACTTCAAATCTAAGAGTTGCTTCTATACATCTGCTGTTTTTGCCAAAACACTGTGTTTTTAAAATATTATTGGAGCTGTTAATATCAATACTGACTATTGCTATAGAACTGCAGTTGAGGCAAAAGCTTTATACTGTGTATTTTTGGGGAATTTTACAAAACTGCTGATCAAGTTTTAATGTGTGTGCTCATTTGAATAATAAATTTTACAAAAAGCATGACCAGAAAGGGAGGATTAGATACACATTGGTAGGGTGTAAATATACTGAACACTTGAATGATATCCAAAAACTTACAAAGAAATGGGGACATTGAGTCAAGGGGTTTGAATTTTTATGACCTAGGGGAGGCACATCTGATGTGGCTGTGTGTGAGGATTTGGAGCAGCGAATCTAAGACCATAAACATAAAGAAAAGTAAAACACGCAAAAACAAGAGATATGGAACTAAAAGTACCGGACATGTTTAACTCAGCACTTAGATTTTTGTCATTTTTATACTTTAGAGTCCAATTTTAGATTTTAAGTCATACTGGGACCTTTTTGAACCTGATTTCAACTTTCTTCTTGTGTATTTGCTCTTTAAATGCATTACTTTTCTCTTTTTAAATCATGCTCTGATCTTTTGAACTAATAAATAAGAATAGAATAAAAACTAAAATTTTTCTATCTTAGGTTGCCTTTAAAATTATTTATTTATTATTATTATTAGTTTGTCTCTTTTGAATTTCCAAATGATTTAAGATCATTGCTATTTCTTTCCCATAGGTTTTGAAAAGGAAATTGACAGTTTTGGTGAAATTTTGATCCTGTTTGACCCTGAGGCTAGACTTAAATCCGGATTATGGCCCTTGCTGTGGTTGAGTTTGACACCCCTGGCCTAGATTATGTTCGCTTGGAAATGCACTGATAGTATGTTTTCAATCTTAATAAATGGCACACAGGCTAGCTATGTGCTGTGGAAAACCACACACCTTGTTGGGCTGGTTGCCAGACTACCACAAACTGAACAGGGGGCAGGGAGATGGATACGAGTTTTTGAGGATGAACTGTAGGAAAATGTTGACTACACCAGACATGAAAGCACGCTTGGCTAAGCTGCTGGGAACTAAGACGATGGAGGAGTTTCTGCACAAGGAAAAAGGTTGGATGACGAATCCCATGACTGATGGGAGTGAGTTCAATGCATATTGTGATGTGAGGTGGAGCGGAAGTTGAAACAGCCACCTCTAAGGAAGACACGGCAAAAGAGACCCAGCGATGCAGACCGTGCAGACGCTAACTGCGGTAAAACCTGTGACAGTAACCTGTTTAATCACCTGTTGTGAATGTTTATCCTCAGACAGAACCCTGCTCCATAGAGAGGATATATCCCGGCAGGGGGAGAGAGTGGAATTCTGACGGACGTGTGACGTCTATAGACCTGCTGGGGATGTGATCATACCGGACATTTTTGACAACTGCCCAGACCAGGGACGTCTCTGGCTGGATCGGTGGTGGGGGGCCCCAGCCCAGACAATGTGAAAGTGGTGGCTTACTACAGTGTGATTTTTGTGGCTGATGGAAAAAGTTAATTGTTAGTTTTAATTTTAACCCTGTTGACCTTATAGACCGAAAGGACCTATGTAGAAGTAACATTCAAAGTTGGTGCTCACCGCAAGGTGTGTAAGTAGACAGTTATGGTTTATAGTTTTAAAGTAAATATCGTGACATTAACATTGTAACATCCCTGTTCTGTTAGTTTAATACTGATAATACTAAATGCAGCTGTGCTGAATCCGCATACACTCCTCACAGACGTGCCATCTAATGTAAAAGTAATAGGAAGCTATCAAAGGTCAATAAGGCCACAGAAAATGGTTTAGAGTCAAATAACTGTTTTGCTACCAGTAGTATTAACAAGCAAACTTAGGATCTGACTTTCACAGTGATTCACACTGTGAAAGGGGGGAGATGATGAGACAATTAAAACGACATTTTTAGAATATGCTGACAATAGTTGATAAACTTTTGGGTCATTGTGATATGCGTTTTGTTAGATGAATTGAAGAGAACAATAAAACGGAAGTGGGACACTTTTCCAGTTCCAGAGAGACGTTTTTAGAAATCTATTCATAGGCAATGTGGACATGATTAAAACTGCCAAGGGAGATGTTACATGTTTGTAAGGATGACGGGTTCAGTCGATGGATGGAAGCAACACCATCAAAAGATCTTGGAGTCAAAATAAATCTTTCATTGCATGATTTGGTACATCATTCTGGGGAAGAAAGTTAATCTCTCAAGTAAATATCTGATCAGAGAATTTGCACTAACACTAACCTATAGGAAGATGCTTTGCTACTTGCGCTTATGAGCTCTCACAATCAAAAGCACTGAGATAAATCTTTCACTGCATGATTGACTAACTTACAAAGCTATGCTTTACTGCGGCTAAATAATTAAGTTTTTCGCTTGAGCAGCTGAAAATTAGTGAATTAAATATATGAGGCATCTAACTTCGATGCAAAGATCTATCGATTAGCAGGAGGAGAGCCAAAATCTGATCCCGGTCAAGAGGTGGAGGCCAGGCGAGCCAGAGCACCAGGTGTACATCACCGTCCTCTGAGGAGGGTGGCAAAAAGAACGAGGAGAAGACCTGAGCACTTTGGTCCTGGTGAACTCTACTTCAGTGCAGGAAGTGGCACGAACCACGACGGGAAGGACCGTACACGGTGGTGCGAGCTACTCCCACAGCAGTCCTGGTCGAAAGGAGCGGGACGTGGTATCACCTGTCACGCTGCACGAAGGTTCCAGGCAAAACCAAGGGCGGTATTGAGTTGAAAAACAAAGATGAAAAACATGACATTGTGGTGTGTGCTGGTGGTAATGAACTCTCTTCCATGGATGCCTGTAGAAGCAGTGGAGCTAGAGACTCAAAGGGGAAAACAGAGCACCCCGGGGACCAGAGCCACGCCAGAGACCAACCCGCACGACAGAGGAGACAGAGCATCTGAATCAGATGAGTATGATGCAACCACACAGACACCAATCCATGACGTGCTAAACTCTGAGCCAGCACTCTCAGCTGAGCTCAAACACATAAACATTCCATACCAAAACATAACTGTTAACTGTAAAATTACGTGGGTATTGTCATGGTTTCCTGAAGCTAATATGAGCGAACCGTTTATAACTAGACCTGTTTGGTTTGAAAATCCAGAGCAAACGTTAGATCGAACATGTGAAAACATAACTATGACCAGACCGAATATGCATTTCTTTCGCAAGTCAAACTGTTGCAGTAGCTGGCAGTTACTGGATGTGTGGAGACATTGTGCGAAACACACTTCCACCAAAATGGATTGGGCTCTGTACATTAGTGCGAATGAAAGTGTCAGTTGTCGTGTTGTATGACGGCGTCGAGGAGATCCTTAAAATCCCGGAAGAAACAGCCAAATTGAACCGCCATAAAAGGCAGATTGACGAAAAGGTGTATATCAATAGTATAGGAGTGCCAATAGGAATTCCAGAGGAGTTTAAAGCTCAGGACGAGATTAGAGCAGGTCTAGAGTCGATTCTCCCCTGGATCACCACTAATAAAAATGTCCAATGGATAAATTACATTTATTACAACCAACAGAGGTTTGTTAATGCGACATCTGAGATCCTGAGCGCTCTCTGTATTCAATTACACGCAGCAAGTATAATGGCCCAACAAAATAGACAGGTTTTGAATTGGCTGACAGCGGATAGGGGAGGAGTATGTCACATGTTCGGGAAACATTGTTGTACCTTTATTCCAAATAATACAGCCCCTGATGGTATATTTCCTGTAGCAATGGGGAAGCTTACAGAACTCAGAGTTGAGCTCAGGGAGAGTGCGGGCAAGGGGGGACTGTCATGGGATTGGTTAGACCAAATTTTAGGAAAATGGGGAGCCGTTTGGGCTAAGATAGGACTCAGTGCACAAGCAGTCCTAATTTTAATTTCCTTTTTGATATGTTGCATCATCCCCATCCTGAGGAGGCAGTGTCTGCGGGCTCTGGAAAGACAGATGACTGTGGTGGCTGGTCTCCAAAAAGCTCAAATGTTGGACTTGCTGACGCCGTCCCAAATGGCACAACTCCGTTTGAACGACAGCAGGGCAGGAAATGGGGACTATACGGACTTATACCCAAACCCTGCCTGTGTGGGTGACTCTGATGAGGACGGACTGAGTCAAGTGTAAGGTAAACAAGAAGCAGAGGTGCAGCAGCAGCGAGCAAGCAAAAGGAAAAGCGAATGGGACGACGGAGCAAATGTACCATCATATCAATACACACATTCTGTTGTTATCCATGTGTATTCTGCATACTCACATCAGTTACACATACTCAGTCCAGGTATATGGAAACGGGTAAAGGAAATGGTTAATCATTTGTTGAGCAAAATAAAACATGTGGTTGATTGTCATGTAGAGTGGGTCAGTGAAAAGCTGTTAGATTTAGAAGGTTCACGGTAAAGGTCGCCAGCGGGAGGGGCCGCAGGGGAATTTCCTGCTCAAAGCAGCCAGCAGGTTTTCGCCCCTGCCAGATGTGAACCTAGGGATTTAAGTGTTGTATTTGTGAAAATGTAACATTCGTGATCACAAGCATGAGTTGGATTGGTTTGAAAACATACATATGCATCTGTAATCAATCAAGTAGTACCATATCACATAACGCTGTCATAACTCATTCATGTAACGTAACTAAGGCTAAGACAAGATAAGTGTGAATCTCCAGCGGCGTCAGTGAACTTGGTTAATCTTGAAAAGATTCAAAGGGGGGATATGTGGGGGAAAATAATAGATATGTTTGGATGTTTTGGAGGTTACCATGAGGCAAGAGAACAGGATATGGGTGGAGTGGTCAGATTGGGATAAACTTCATATCAGGTCATGGTGACCCTCTCTCATGGTAGCTTAATTGCAATAACAGGAAATCTGGCTCCAAAAGATAGTGGCAGAGAAAGTCACGAAGGGGACTTTCGCACGCACATTTGGCTAAAACTAGGGTCCCTGACGTCAATGGAGGACTATAAAAGATATGTGGATGGGCTGTTTTTTGGTTCTGTCTGTTCGATTGCTCATGAGCTATTGTTCAATGCTGTGATCGGAATAAAAACCCCGCCGAGAGGCTGCCAGCTTGATTCTGTCTTCGTGTAGTTCATTTCTGCACTTTTGCACCGAGGTCATCTTCTAAAATCTAAAGAAAAATGACAGTACAAACAGCCTTTAACTGATCACACCATCACCATAATAGTGTAATACCTGTGACATTTAGCAATTCCATAAATGTCATGTGCAAACTGTTCTCTAAGTATAAGCAGGTCACTACAGTCCTCTGTTCCTCCTGTGATAACCTGATTACACCAGTTTGTGTAAACCACAGAGTCAAGCTCACATATTCAGATTATCACTCTGTGGCCTTGATCAGCCATACAGTATCCATCTTTACCAACAGTTCAGTCCATTTACTATGAAGACGAAGATGATGATGATGATGAAGAGAAGGCTTTGAGAAGCAGGTCAGCAGCCAGGCCCGGAGAGATGGCTCCTTTGGTGACCCGCTCCTCCAGGTGTGGTAAAGCGTCTCTAACACTTGGGTGATTCTGGAAATGTTGGAGGACGTTCTCCTGAATCAAACTCCACATCCAAACTTTCTGCTGAGCTCGCCGTCGGCCCTGCAGTTCGCCGCTGGCTGACATAGTGTCCCTGTATGACTCCATCTTAGCCCAGACCTCTGGGATGCCTTCGAAGGTGTGTGAGGAGGCGCGCACCACCTTAGAAAAAGAGTGAGGGGGAGGAGCAAACACTCACAGTTATATATTTCACTGTTAAATGAAATCAATGCTAGAGTTTTCTGTTGGAAAACACTATCCGATACCCACCCCACATACGGAGGTTATGCCTCAGGCGGCTTGTCCGGGTTTGCCCCCAGCTCCGGACGCATTTAAATCTTTACAAAAGAAACCAGCAAACAACCAGAAAGCTCCTGACGGGAGCTTTTAGTCCTGACCTGTAGAGTTTAGACTGTGAGTTCACCACTGCAGAATGATTGACACACAGAAATGAACCAAAACGTCAAAGACAATCAATATGTTTGCAACCATGGCTGCTCTGACCTACAGTCACAGTTTAATTAGGCAATTTAATTAGACTGCTGTCGTTGTCCCACTAAACAAGCAGTGGGCAAGAACTGATTTACTGACACAACTATGTCTCCCTCTGCTAATGGTAGGTGGCTATATTCTCACTCTTAGCTGGTTATTATTGGACCTTGTACCTGTTTATTCTGAAACACAGAAAAAAAGGACCGTAACACTTTACAATGAGAGCAACAAACATCTAGAAAATATCTTAACAATTCACATAACCAAAATGAAGACCTACTCCTCCTCCTTTGTCACAGGTATCAAAAGAGGACCTAGAAGTTTGATTCACCATAAATTTCAGAAACATTTTCACCGCCAGAATTAACAAAGATAATTACTTCTGAATTATCTTACAATTTATGCGCAGTGACTCTTCATCATCTTCGTGTTTTTTACTTCTTCTTCAGTGTGATTAAATTTGCTGAAACAAATGTAACGCTGTACTTGTTTTCCTCGAAACTGAATAGTCACTTTCAACATCCAGTTTCAAAAGTAATTACTGGATACAAGTGCAAATTAACAATTAAAATGATTTTCAATGATTCCTGAGATGTCAGCTTTGATTACAGTGAATTGTTTATTAAAAAAAGTACACAAAACAGTCATGATAAATGAAAGTGAGCATTATCCTGTATGTGAAACAGATATACTCACAACTACTTAAGATCTTTTAAATGATCAAAAAGCTATTTTCCTGTTGTTCGTGACAGTTCAGTCCGAGGAAATGTCACCTTTTTCTCAATTCTATTTGTTGTTTCTGTTACTATCAAGGCTTGATTTAACAGAGCATCTCAATCCTGCTCGGAGCTGTCATGTCACTTCACAAACAGCAAGTATTCGCCCCCCCATAACACCTAATTCACACAAGCACACCAGAGGATAAATGCCACTGAAGTCTTTAGTTCAAGTGGCTGCATGTGTCTTGTCAGGGCTTGCCACAGAATCAAGAGCGAGTGATGAAATTCAAGGTAACATTAAAATTCAGAGCAGACAGAGGAGTGAAAAGGCCTCAGATTTGGAAAAACAAAGAGCATTCATTCAGACACACACTCAGGACCCATGACACAGCTTGTGCAAGTTTGAACAATCTGTTCTTCACCTCATCGCACACTTGTGAATAAAAATGAGAGGATGTTTGGAGGGGGGGGGGCAGAGAGGACCACAGTGCTGATATCAAATGAACCCGACAACAATTTTAATAAACAACCCCCTCACTACCAAACTGCAATCAAATTACAAGCATCAGCTGCAGATAATTGGACATCAACTGGCAAAGTGTAATATTATGGCCTGAAAAATTATGGAGGCCTGTGATGAGCAGCCAATTATGAATCCTCTAATTACATCATTTAGTTCATCATTTTAAAGGAACTTGATCAGAGTCTGACGCAAAAACAAGAAATCGTACTTTGTGAGACTAATTTTACAGCACACTGGGTAATTATTTTCTTTAAAGGGCCAGTGAAAATGGACTTTTCTGCCTTACGTATCCTCACTGACATCTAAAAATACAGAAGTCCATGTTTCAAGATTCTGTATTTTGAGTTTGTCTTTTATGACAAAAGCTTAGTCCACATTTTAATATCAAATATGTCATATTTATTGGCTTTTTCCAGAACTTGAAACTGTATTAAGATGAAGAGAAAGTATGTTCAAGTTCATTTATTTAGTGCTAATAGTGTGTAAGTTTTCTAAGTATATGAGGGCTTAAAGTGGTACATTTGAAGTGCTAAAAAATAAGTAAAATGAGAACATTTATAGATTAAAAAAACGTGAATAAGTAAGCTTCCAAAAGAGGTTTATTTGTATGATAAGATGTTGTGGGAATTAAAGACAGGCTCTGGGAAAGCAAAGCATTTAAAGATGACAACCTGTGTGTTTCAGCCTTGTGATCAATATTTCCTTTCCTCCAACAATTTACTGAAATCTTATTTGACAAACAGGTAATAAAGAGAGGGACAGATATCCTCCTCTGATTTAACTCTGATATTAAATGATAGTAGCTCAGCATTAAGTGTCATATAACCAAAGACTTTCAATGAAAACAGCTTTGATCAAATATACCTGAACATTCGTGTTTTTCATTTCAATGCTGAATAAGGAATAATGATGATGACATAAAGAAGTCATAGATTACAGGGATGTATGCCAAACAGACGGACACAAAGGAGGGCAGGAAGGTTACTTTAAAGGTACAATCAGAGACGGAGAGTCGGAAGAGGAGCCTATCAGCTTTTATGTCAAGTGTGCAGGCTCCTTATCAGAGAAACCCATGACACAGCAGCTGAATATTCAGAGCAGCGTTGGGGATTGGAGGACGGGGGGGACTGGAGGAGTGGGACGAAGGGGGGTGTTTCCTGGCAGCATGCCCAGTGGGCAGATGCTGCATTGGGCTGGGAAAACAAAGGGACAAGGCCAGGCATGCAGGGGGTGGAGGAATGGAGGGGGGGACACTGCAGCACAGGAACCATGATGCTATGACGACATCATCATCATCATCATCATCATCATCATCATCATCAAGCCTCTCTCTGTCTGGGTCACCTGACCTCTTAGTGGGAAGGTTTGTTTCTGCTGCAGCTGCCCAGCGTGTTGAACACCTATCAATTATCTTGTTTATTTTTATCAGATGCTTAATCGCTCTGTTGTTGGCTCCCTCCAACAGCACACCCCCTACACACACCCTTTCTCTCTATCTCTCTCTATTTCTCTCTCTTTCTCACACACACACACCTTAGGGTTCCAGGACTTGGACTGTCTCCTGAGCAGCTTGAGTGCACTGGTGTACTCAGCCTGGATCCTCCTCGCCGGCACCACCAGGTCTCCATCTGACTTAGTCACAACCACCAGGTCGGCCCTCTCGATGATGCCTCTTTTTATACCCTGTGCAGAGATTTTGGCAGGAGGGGGGGGGGGGGGGGGGTCATTAACTTTTCAAAATGCTGTAAATAAATCTGATGTCTAGACACCTAATCTGCTGAGAGACCTCTGGGCGGAGTGATGGATGGATGGAGCTGTGGTTGGCTGCCAGTTTACATGAGGAAACTAATAAAATCTGATATTATTGCTAACTGTTGATTCTTCTCTCTCATGTCAACTTTGGACTTGTCCCGAAGAACAAAAGAAGTCCTGTTAGAGGTAAAAATATATCAACTAAAAGCCTTTTTTATTTGTTAAAATGTAGTTTGAGCTTAGATGTTTCTACACCTACAACCTTATCGAATGTAACACTTTTAAGTTGTTTTAATCAAATGCAACGAGCCCCTGGCTGTCTTCCAAACTGTTCACTTTGAACTTAGCACAGAGAGATGGTTTACTTATTAAATTGTATATTTCTTTGAGTTTGAAAAAAGCTGTAAAAATAAAATACAGTATCTGTAATGTAGCAGTGTTGTACTCAAATCCAAAACAATGCTGAAGTTCCACTCAAGTCCTGGTTTTCTGAACTGGTGACATGACCCAGACTCAAGCATTGAAGACTTAGACTTGAGCTTAGGCACAAATAATGACTTTAGACTCTTTCTATGTTTTTGAGAGATCTTCTCTGTAACACGTCCTGATCATTTGTTCAGCAGGAACAGGGGCTGGCGTGTGTCCACCACTATGCATGCTCATGTACTGTCTTCTTCAGCAACAGTTCCTAAAAGATTGCCTTGAGAGGTGCTGGGCATTTTGATTTATGAGATTTTTAATGCAGCTGCAGGGAAAAGCAATGCAATGTTTGTTATGCAATTAATCAATTAAGAAGACAGAGACATGTTAAGACTTTCATTACATATCTGCCCCGTTATTCCATAAAAAAAAAACAAGTCAAGGAAGCACAAATGTGCAACAGTACATACTTATATCTTCAGGCAGGACATTATTGTTGGACACTCTAAGGACAACTAAAACAAATCCACAGTCTGCTTCAGTACTATCATCAGAAAGAACTTTATAATCTGTATGATCAGGCCCATAACACTGAATATCGTCTTTCTCTCGGGTCTGCACTTGTCAATGTATTTTACTAACCTGAAGTTCATCGCCCCCTGCTGGTGGAATCAGCAGCACAAACATGTCCACCATGTCAGCCACTGCAAACTCTGATTGGCCCACACCTGGAAAAAAAGAGGACGGGTGTTATATAATACTGACTGCGCACCTCAAATAACAGGCCAAACTCTACAATCTAGACCTAAAAGCAAATTCATTAAATTCACAGCGCAGCGCAAGGACACAGAAGAAAGAAAAATCGGCCTTGGTTGAAAAATGTCCCAAAGTTCTTTTGAATAATCATCGTCTCTCATAAACTTCAGATTCATCGCAGTGAATAAATTCTAGCCAATCAAATACAAAAGTGTCTAATGAACAGGGCCAGCTTGCAAACCTCAACACTTAACCTCAACATTAAATGAGCAATTTTCAGACACTACAACGATTTGTTAGAACTGGCGAGTTTCCTTTACGGCAGCTTTAGAACAGCAGTCAATGTATTTTGCAAGGTTTCGCTTATTTCTCTCAGTCACAGAAAAAAGAAGCATTTGTGTTATTATGCAGACCCTGCTGATGAACATGTGTCACTGTACTGAGCTGCCATAAAATGAGTTTGGAGAAATTGCTCATACAGACACAGTTTACAATACTTGATCTGAGTGTGTTCTCACTTTGAAGTAAAAATCAGTGTCTTACCCACAGTCTCTACAAGGACAATGTCATATCCCGCACCCTCGCAGAGAACAATGGCCTCATTCGTTGTCCTGGTGACTCCACCAAGTGTTCCTGAGGTAGGAGATGGTCTGATAAAAGCATTCATGTCCCTGGAGAGTTCAGTCATACGTGTTTTATCACCCATCAGAGACCCTGCAATAAGAGGAATGAGTCAGTTGGTAGCAATAACATTGATCAGTATGGCTGTCTTGCTCTAGAGGGAACAAATCTTTGCTGAGGCCTTATTTATACATAAAAATGAAACAGGACATCTTTTCTCATCACACTGTAATCTACTTTATAAACCTTCTCTAATTCTTTGCCAGAGTCCTCTGATTATGATCCCATGGTACCTCCAGTAGTGCAGGACGATGGGTCAACAGCAAGTACGGAAACTTTATGTCCACGTTCTGTCAACATCTTCCCCACCACCTCGATGAAGGACGACTTCCCTGCTCCTGGAGGTCCTGACAGCCCTGAGAAATCATGAAATTGATCATTTAGAGGAAAACTATGCAGACTGAAAATGATAATACTCAGTGAAAACCTTATGCTTAAAGGTGTGAACTATGACTGGGGGTAAAGCATTTATTACAGAGGTTGAAGTTTACAAGTTCTTCACACATATCCACACAGAACAATTCCTTACACACCCACTCTGAAGGCAACCGGCCTCCCTCCATTATGACTTTCCTGCTCTCTCCTGTACGCCAGCACCCTCTGCAGCAGCACCTGGGCCAGCTCTTTTTTCCTTGGGTGCTGAGTCTCCACTAATGTGATGGACTCAGCCAGAGATGCCCGCTGTCCTCCAACCAGCCCCTTATACAGTTTGTCTAATAGTCTCTGCTCAGACCCACTCAGGTCCTGTATGTGCTGTCTGAGGGCTGTGCTCATGCCTTTCCTGTGCATTTGGCTGTGGCCCGGTAGGATGCTCTGGTAGCAGTTGTGGGAACTGTTAAATAGTCCTCGATGGAGGCAGCATGTCCTGGTGGCTGTGTGGATAGCAAGAGAAGAATGAAGGGAAGAGCTGCTGCTGCGGAGGAGGGAGAAGCCAAAGCCTCGCATTTTGGGGCACAGGTGAGGTATCTGGGAAAAATGAAAGCAGGGGATGAGTTTTAAACCTGTGTAGACATTGATTTCACATGATGGATAAAATCCTGTTGTTTCCAGTTGATGATGAAGTTCACTGTGTTTAAAGAGTATTGTTAGCTAGCTGTGACACTGATTGCATGGACTGAAGCTAGGGCTAGGCGATAACACGATAAGGATATGTATCGAAAATCACTTTCCCTCGATATCAATATAAAACATGGTCAATATGTTTTTTGATAGTCGGTATTCTGCCATGTTTTGGTAGACTATATGAATAGCCAATGAAAAGGGGAGTTGTGCCGGGTCCGCTTCGTGCTGAACCAATCCTGTGCTGAATTACAACCAAGTAGCAAACAACTACGTAGTAGCGTAGCAGGCTGCTAATGCGAACCATAGCATTTTAACACGTGAAGCCGACAGCACTGTCGGTGAGAAAAATAGAAAATTAGTGCAACCCCTGGCAGAAATGCAGATAAAGGCTCAACAAATGATGACATTGCCGACAACACTGGCACGAAAACATCAGTGGTGTGGAGGTATTTTTTTTTTTTTTTAGGTCGGACATGAGGCAGAGTAATGTGCACTGAAAATTATGTCGAGAACATGTTCTCGCAAAGTCGGGGAATACCTCAAATCTTTTTCACCACCTGAAGCATGTACAATGCAAAAGGTTACAAACCCCGAGCGGAGAAAGCAGCCCATGGCGCCTGTGCAGCCGAAACAGCTGACCATTCAGTCCGCTTTCTCTAGCGCAACATCTTATGACAAAACGTCGAAGAGACACAGAGACCTCGCAGATGCAGTGGCTTATTGTATTGCAAAAGACATGCAATGTTAAATTTCATTTTTTATATTGAGATATAAATATTGACTGATGTGAAAAAAATATATCATGATAAACTGTTTCCCATATCGCCCAGCCCTAATTGAGGCCACAAATTATTTTCTGATCAACAAAATTTAGCAAAGACAATAAGTTGAATAGTGGGCCCCTGTGGAAATCTTTTGCGATTTACATTGTGTTTTTTTTTTTCTGAGTGCAAAACATACTGGAAAAAAAAAGTCACAATAAACTAAAGAAAAGGCAGGTAGGAGATTTGGAGTGAGATTCTCCCCATAGAGAAAAAAAAACATGTTATTGCAGTCTGCAAATGTAGCGTTTGAGGCATTATGGGATCAGATTACAAGAGGACGAGTGTTAGCTTGATAGCAAACAGGACAGTGGAATATTAACTTCAATTTTAGAGTCGCCTCAAAGTAGCTTTACCTATTGCAGTGCAGACACACCCCAACAAGATTACCCAGATGACTAAACTGGCGGTAAAAGACTCAGTTTCTCTGTCTCACCGACCCTCTGTCTCCTGTTTTCTCTTCGTCTGATTGACACTACTCTCGATTATCACATTAGTTATAAAACTACAGTCCCTGTGAGTGTAAATGTTACAAACCGCAGCTCACAGTAACAAACAATTCATACTGTCTTCACGGTTATTACCTCTGCTTAGACTGACGACACATAAACACGAACTCTGCTAGGTCTAGCAGGCATATATACCGGATTATGTTCTGCTAATTTAAGGATATCTAACAATTAACTATACATAAGCAGAGGAAGTTTTATACAAACTGTCTATAAAGTGTCAAACATAATTACTCTGACCTCGTACACACTGCTTGGTGGTGTTACAGGTTACATTGCGAAGGGTGCTTCATCCATGCTTTTCCTGTTTCCGGTGACGTAACGTACGTCGACGCCCCCAATTCGTCGATTCAAGCTTTACTTTTTAGAAAGCCAACGTCAAACGTTATATTTATTTATTTTATTTTATTTAAATTAAGAGCAAAAGAGAAAATGTCACACGGTGGGTAATTCAAAGTACACGATAGTATAAGATAGTCATTTTACAATTTCGCATACGGGAGAGTGGGGTAAGTTGAGCGACCCCCTGTAGTTCGGATATAGTAAAAGAAATTGATCATGTGACCAAATATTTAGGCGTCTGTGAAGGTTAGAAGCACATGGGTGAAGGGGTTTGACATTTATTAAAAAAAAAAAAACATTTTTCACTCTTGAGAGTGACTTGAGTCTGTCATAAGTTTTATTAGAATTGTGTTCAGACCAAAAAAGATCATTTTAAATTTGTTTTATACATCAATTGTGGTATCTATGAGCTACAACATGAGGTCAAAAACCTAACATAAAAGTCCACCATTTTAGCGGACTAAGGAAGTCATAACAGTGGTTCTGTAGGGATACAGCTCAACTTACCCCGCTCCTATGGTCAACTTACCCCATACACGGGTTAAGTTGACCTTCCTAACAATAAACAAGTTGTCAACATTTTCTGGTGGCTGTTTACTTTCTTTTACACTAAACATTGTTAATGCTGCTTGAATGTCAATCAAATCTGCAATTTTGATGCTTTTGAATGTAATGATAATAACATTGTATGGCTCTGAAGATAAGCTGTATTGTTCAATTTGGGAGAATAAATAATTACTTAAGTGTACTATGGTGGTTATTGTCCCAAACAGTAACAGTGCAGTGAGACCAAAGACTGTATATAGTGTTATACAGTATATATTTTCTGCATACAATCTATGGTTGAAATTAGTAAAGATAAGAGGATGTACAGTAATATATGATCAATGAACCTGTTTAGCTCTGTTCAACATTGCAAAGCTTGACTCTTTGAAATGTAGGTGTTTTCTATGTAATTTACTGTTCAAGTTTTCCTCTGGTGTAACACAAAGAAGTCTGATTTCTATGTTTACTCTGTCCATCTGAACTTTATTCGTGTATTTCTTCTGTAGTTTCCAAAAAACATTTTAGTTTTGCTCAGATTTGAAGATAATCTGTTACTACTCAACCACCAAACCATAATTTTAATTTGCTCATACCAAAGACGCCATCCTTGAGTAACTGATGTTAATTATCACCAGAACAACATGTTCCTGTCATCTGCAAATGAAAAAAAAAGAGAAAAAAAGCACATTTTCTTCTTTACACGTCATTGCCATAGATAATGAGTAATCTAATGCCCAATAGTGATCCCTGGGCGACACCCTGTGTTCAAAAACATATTTATATGACAATAGCAATAGAGAACAAAGTAATTCATATTTTTTAGTTAATTTTTGTCATAACTTCCATATTGATGATGCAGCTTTATTTTCAGCCAGCAGATGGCAGCTCTGATCCAGCAGTTTGCATCTGTTTTAAGATGTTTAAATTTTCATCGACATAAGAATTCGTTGTTATATCAACAGTGACAGCTTACACTACTTGAGTAACAGATTCTTTATTTATAATTGCATGCCTCAATTCAAGCCCAATTATCTAATTTATCTTTATCTAAGCTATACTGAACTGACAAGTCAAAAACTGTATCTCATTTCAAGGTATTTTGTGTCAAAATTGTCTTTGAATAAAGTACAATATTGTGTTTTAGGATACTTTGAAATGAAATTTTGTTTGCTGCATTCAACACACATTTCACATTTTCGGCCATTGGTAACAAGCCTCTCTGCACAGCCAACCATGACATGTGTGAGCAAGGAGTCAAAGATCATCAAAAGAGCAACAATGACAAAAGATGTTGAAAAAGTATTTGTTACTTTACCCTGAATAGCTGTAGAGTCAAACATAATACATTTATGCTATTGGTTATAGAACAATTAATTGTTTGAGAAAATGTGCTGTCCATAATTTTGGGGCACATCTCACTCCCCCCACCCCCACTAAGTTGTCAGGGAATGACACAAACTACACACAAAGCTTCAAAATCTAAAATTCATTAATCCTTAGTTTTAACTCTTCAGTTTTGCTCTTTAGTGAACCAAGTTTGCGTCATTTCTAAACAACATAACTGTTTTTATATATGGGGTCTTTTGGTTATCTAAAATCCAAATCCTGAAATTGGTAAAATTTTAAGTTTGAACATTGAGTTTGAAAAATAAAAACTGCCAGAATCTATATCAGCAAACTTTGCAATTGTCTGAATTAGTGACAACAGTACCAAACCATTCAGAACACATTCAGAGGACTAACTCTGTGATTATTATTAAAGTAAAAGGCTAAGTGACTAAGAAAGGACAGTGTGAAAGACAACAACAATATAAAAGAAACTTGGGTTTGACTTTCTTAAACTGGTCTGAGTTTAAATGATAAGGAAATTTGTATTTAAGTTTTTTTTAAAAATGGCTCTGAATCTAAATACAGAAAATGGTAATCAAAGTAAATCTGCATTTTGCAATAAATCAGTTGATAAAAAAAAGATGATTGGTGAATTTCGAAGCCCTGACAACATCTGGTTTTCAAAGAAACAGATTAAAAAGACCTCAGTCACTGACGCAGTGTCCCTGGTCCCCGACATGTTTGTGGAATTTCAGAGGAACATGCAAAGTCTTTAGAGGCAACAGAACAAACCACTGCGAAACCATACCACCCACGTCATGCAGTCATGTAAAACTCCTGTATGCCAAAAAAGCACACACATTATTATATTGTTGTAACTGTAATTGTAACTGCTCCACTGCCATCACAATGTGCCACACAAAACAAAGGAGAACATATGATTTTATGCATCGTTTTTAGCACAGTATGCAATTACATCCAACATTTTCCGATGCATTTGTATCTGTTGTTTTCCTCCATCAAAAAGGGCTGCTTTAAATTCACAAACCCACACTAACAGTAAATGATGTTTTTAAAAGTTAACCTGTTACAACACTATCAGAGGGTAGCCCTGACCGTCCCAGAGGTTAGCCATGCTGCAACAGTGTTCATGAATGAGACAGAGAGATTGTAAGTAATGAAACAAATTTATTGAATCTTCCAGTAGAGGCTTGATATTCATGGAATAAAACTGCTTTCTGGGAGTTTAACTGAGCACAAATACAAGGAGAAAAGAAAAATCAAAACTAAACAAAGGCAATGTGTGAAAGTGCAGACAAACAAAACAGAAAACATGTTCAAAAAATACAAAAAGAATGTCAAGAGTAATACAGTTTAGTAGCAAAGAGGATTGCTCAAAGCACAAAAGAATTGAATGGCAAAAATCTGTATTTTATATATATTTATATAAAAAAAACATACTGGGCCACCAGGTACTGATACCCTTTTCTCAGTCAACCATTAAAATTTGAATGCTCAATACTTTCCGTAACAGTCGTTTAACATGATTTGCTCAGTTGATGTAATTAGAGAATGAAGCCCAGTCACTGAAATATGCATGTCTTTAATGTGACTGTATATGACAAATATAGTTCTGCTGCTAAGGGACAAACTAATCTGCACTTGTTTTTGCCTCTGCTTTGTTGTTGTGTGTTCAGCTACCAGTCTTTATATGTGTAACACTACACTACCCAAACTATGCTTTGCAAAACCAGACTGCACAGCACATATTCTAGAAGTGAATATATCTAAACACTATTCTTTTTTTCTTTAAAATTCCTTTGAAACATGAGTGTAACACAAGATGAACAACATTTAAACATTAGTCTTCTTTTTCTGAATAGTCTGAAATGCCCTTTGAGTGCCATGCCCCCACACTAAACCCTACTCTTATCTCTCAAACTCACCCTAATTGTCTCCCTTCCTTTTAGTTTTCATCATCTGGTTTGAGATTTTGTTTCGATTTAAAAACATCACACTGCTTAATTTTGTAGCCTATTAAAAGAACAATTTGACGATATGACATACAAGTTGTTGAAGTATAACTTCACGTATACTATTCAAACTCAAATTCTGTGCTACTTTTTAAATGTCGTAAGTACATTTCATGCCGGCCTCATTGCAGCGACAGCAGACAACTGCAAATTAAGGCGACCTGGAATGTCCATAATTATTGGAACTACACGCGAATATCTGGATTTCAGAGGGAATATTTAGATGCAAACCAGTATTGTGTCATTATAATACAACAGTGAATGAAAAGACATTGTGGGAGCAAGATCAGGGAGGATACTTGCTTCATGATGAGTATGATGGTCGAATTATTACAGTTGGTCACAAAGATCAAGTATCTTCCAGTTGCATCATGCTCACTTTGCTTACCCCTCTCCCAGACTGTAAATGTGCCTAATTCAGACATCCTTCAAGTAGAGAACAAACCAACCCATTTAAACCCGCCCAGCCCTACTGGTCCCAGATCAGCTAGCTTTTCAGCCAAAACCACTTTCAGTTAATCGGAAAAAGCACCCTGGCTGAACCACAAGCTGATATGTGACCCTTTTCTTGCTACTTAGACCAAAATGCTGGGGTGTGGACAGCCACAGGGCTGAGGACAGTGAAGCCTAGGAGACGGAGGATATAGGATTGTGGGGGGAGCCCATCTGGGTGAGCACTTTATCCAACCACTGCAGGGGGCCATGCAGGTGGATCTCAATCCAGCAGGGCGTGCTGGTCACATCCTGGCGATGGTACTCCGCTCCCCAGCCCTTTAACACACAGAAACACATAAAATTGTAATTCACCACAGGTTCTTTGTCTTACAGTGGGTGATCCGAATTTTATTTAAGGTCCAGTGATGATTTCTAACCTTTTCTGATCAAACTTTTAACTACATTTGAAACTAGTTTTATCTCATACAAGGTATCAGAAATATGTAGCTGCTCAAAGACAGTAGTCGATGCACTTTGCAGAGCACAAGTTCAACCAACATCTGGCACAAGTAAAGAAGTAGAGCAGAAATCAAAGCTAAAGAAATCAGGCAAACTGGGAAGAAAAACACAGCATTTTTTTTCAAACTGAACACCACCAAACTGAAGCTGATGGCTCATATCAGTTTTGGGTTGAAAATTTTTCAACCCAAGTTTGAAGTTCAGAATACTAACATTGAGGTAATAAATACATTTCCTAGATTAATTCAAAAACAAAAACAAAAGACACACATAAAGAGCCGTGAAGGCAAACATGTTGATATTGACATAAACAGAAAACAACATTATCTTAACATCGTAGGAGACTATTGCAGAGTACATAACAGCCCAAATAGGTTTTTAAAATCTCTCACCTTAACGAAGCTCATGCGGATGGTACACATCTTGGTGAGCTCGTAAACAGCTTCAAAGCCGTGGTTGACAGACTGGGCCAGCAGCTCGGCAAACTCCTGGTTGTTAAAAATCTTCAGGCTGCAGCCGCTGGGAATTTTGCACACAGTCGTGGGATGGAAGCCATGATGGTAGTTACAGTTACGACTCTGGACGAAAATACTGCTATCACTCAGACACTCTGCATACACCTCTCCACCAACGTAATACAGATGAACACCTGAGGGGAACCAGGGGAGAGAGCGGCATTGGTCACCTGGGTTGAATTTAGTTGCAAAAACAAACGTCTGGAAACATCAAGGAGGTCAATTTAGTCAATACATGTTTACTCTGTTACAAGTTATTGTTTTGTCTACACATCTATTGACAACATTGATTAAGTCTGGTATGCTAACAGCCACTGCAGTCGTTGACAGGCTATCCGTACTGCACCTTTGCCGATGTGCCGCCTGGTGTTCTCGATGGTGGAGTTGCGGTTGACGTTCGAGAGCAGGCCGAGGCAGAATCGGTTGCGGTTATTGGAGGGATCTGTAAAGCCATCAACAAGCACACTGGTGGAGGACGCCTGGAACGCCTCCCCGACACGATTGTTGAGCTCGTAGTAAACAATAGAGCACCAGTGCTTGGGTTCCTCATAAGCCACAGGCTGCACATCTGCACAGGAAACACATTGACAGGTCACAGGGGTGAGCAGAGCGCAACGTACATGCAGAGACAAAAGAAGAATTTGACACACATTTAAGACTCATCTCTTGTAGTTACTGATACAAGCAAAGACTCAATCAGTCTGACTCATCTGCACAATTATTTCTCCGGTTTGTCTGCTGTATCCCCCGACAGCTATCTGAATTAACTCACAGGAACCAATGGCTACATTTGTGTGCATTTAATCGGAGTAAAATCAATGTAGAGGCGTACTGAAGCATCCCTGCTGTCTGTGTTCCAGCCTCTATTGAACAGGCAAACAGTCAATAGTAGCTGCCTGACCACTGTCTCTGTTCCCTGATCTGAAGGCGAGCCTGTGCCAGCTGGCCTCACCCGCTCCGAGAGAGGAATAAATCATGTTTATCTAAGCACATACTTCTCCCAAACTTCCTCTGCAGCGTGGCACTGGCTAGCAGGTGTGTTTTGTCTGTCCCCCTCCCAAAGCTGGCCTACAATAGAAGCCCGCTCCTCTGTACAGGATGCAGCTTGTGGAAAAGACAAAAAACTCCCTACACTCCCACTTCCAGCAAACATTTCAACAGCTCTTCCCGCCACTGCTGTCACCATGTGTGGGCAGGATTTTTTTTTGGGGCTTCGAGAGCGAGATCCCGGATAACATTTTGTAGGTCGAAGTGTGGAAAACTTAAGTTATGATCATAGTATGGCTGTCATTTCAAATCAGCGCAGAATACTGTAACTGCAAACAGCTGGAGTTAATGAAAGTCGAGGTATTAAAGACAAAAAAAAGTTTTGAAATTTCCAAATGAACAAGCTACAGTTTGTAAAAGGTTGTAGTGACTCTGTGCTGGCTAGCCAAAGTAATCGGTGAAGGCAATAGCAAAGGTACTGGCTTCAACATGGCAAATACAAAATACCACAAAAGCACTTTGTAATTACAACAAAAATGTACCTCCCCGTGTTTCTCAGCATTTTAAAATGAGAATATTCCCCCCGTCGCTCCTGTATAAACCTGGAGTTGTGAGGCTCAACAACATGACAGAGATCTGAATTACATTGTTATGAAGGTGTTTGGAGAAAGTGATCAAAATCAGTGCACCAACGGTTAGTAACAACTTCTGCTGTCCTCACTGTAACCTCAGGAAATAAGAGACGCTGTACAACAACCACATTAGCTTTGCCAACTCTATGGTACTCATACTCAGGCAGGCATTTTATACACACCATAAACAGCCCCTTACTATTTCAAGCCTAAATGCCGGGTTCAGACATGTCTCTCTTGCACAACACAATCAAAACCCTAAAGTAGAGATAACAGCAATTATTGAACCACACTTCAGATCGAGAGTTGGGGGTAATTAGCGAATCCCAACGTTAATGAGTTTTAAGTTATAACCTCCAGCAGAGATGACACAAGCTCCAGCTTTTATAGACCTCATTAACGGCTCTGAGGCCAGGCTTAATTTGAGCTCCTCATGAGCAGACAGAGCCTCTGTAGAAACCAGCAGGTTCTTCCCCACAATCTGTTCAGGTTTTATCAGACAGGATACGGCTTAAAAACTAAGCTGGAGTTTTTCTTACAGTTCAGAGTTTGAGGGAAAGAAACTTTGAAAACAGTCGAGCTTCCCAGAATTTGTGAAACACCTGCAGGTCCAGTTGAGAAGTTGCAGACAGATTTTTGTTGATGATATCACCGTGAACACAAGAGCAAGTGTGTGTAACTGTGTGGGTGAAAAATAGTGAGTGCCGTGGTTACCTGGCCGATTGTTGCTCTCGAGGGGCAAAGGTGGAGCCAAGAGGTTGGTGTCCATGGGCTGGGGGCAATCCTGAGTAATAGGCTCCTCTGGGGGCATGTAAGCAGGAGGGGGAGTCTCTGTGTCAGAGAGAGAGGAAGAACAAAGGACTGAGCTGTTGTTCAATAGAAATGATAGGGCAAAAAGTGGGGGATGAAGAGTTGTAGGATCTCACCTGGCATCTGGAACGGACTGCCTGGATCTGAGCTGGATGGTGAGTGAGGGAAGGTGGCGCTGCTGCCACTCCCCGGAGAGTTTGGATAGCTGTTTCCAGGCGAATGGGGGAAATTGGGGGGCATGGTGTTGGCCTGAGCAAAGGACTCAGGGAAGGTGGCATTCTGGGGCATGTGTGGCTCGTTCTGTTGCAGAGGGTTGCGGAAGCGGGGCAGCATTGTATGCTTGGCGTTGAACTCGCTGTTCCTCGGTACCAGCACAGGAGGCAGCACTGAGGGGAAGAATAAAGTCATATAAGCGGTTGAAACGGGAACCACTGTGATTCATCACAAGTTTTTATATCTATCCCTGCATGTTCTTACACTTTGTGGAGTTCCTCTACATAAGTCACACGTCTGAGGAAAGACTGACTGACCAAAATAACAGTCACACTCATAATATATCTGACTTTATCCTGTGAAGGGCCATTTTTTTCTTTATAATTTTGTGAAAAGATGTGTTACAGTTTTAGCATTCTAACTTCATCATATCAAGGTGTGTGAAGGGGAGAACCTGAATTCACAGAAATTAATAAACAGGTTATATAATAACAGTTTCTAATCTCTCTATCAAGTCACCTAATGTGTCCTTTTTTTGGGAGGATAAACAAAAAAATGCATTTATGTCGTCTTGTTCTATTCCTCCAAATATTTACAGAGCAGAAGACTTGTGTGTATTTCGAACTCCAGAATGTAACCAGATAAATAAGTGACAGTCGACAAATGTCATTACAGGAGAGACCGAATGACAGACATTTTTGAAAAAAGACATAAAAGTTCCCGAGAGTAAATTGTGACGCAAACTGAATCCTTGGTCTTTCATTGATCTACAGGAGGTGACATGAACTTTATTTTTTCTAATTTGCATGTGTGTTTTAGTATCTCGCACCTGCTTTTTATTTAATGGCACGTCTGTTTTATACATGTTTCCTGCGTGCGTTTTATTTGTGTATTGTGTATGTGTTTTTGTAAATAATCCTCCGCACGTCCCATTTATGAGAAGAAGGACAGTGTCATGGACAGAGAGGATATTATCAACATTTTCTCTCATTCAGGTAGGACTCACAAAGAGATACTTTAAAGCTTAGCCACATTTGGTAGGATATGAGAAGGAGACACCTCAACAGGATCCTTAAAGCACAGTGACTTTGCTATCAGCAATTTTCAGACTTGCAGGAAGTGATTTTGCTTATCAACGAACAGTTAAATCACACCTGCGATATAATAAAACACACGAGCGAGATACGAAATTGCATGTGTGAGATAGTGAAGCAAAAAAAAAAAAAAAGTTAACATCACCCCCTGGGCTCCGTTCTGAACAGCCAAATACCTAAAAACTGGTTAGTTCCCCCGAATGATACACTCAAATATGCAGCTTCTCACCTATATCCTCATGTACCTTTACTGTTTCCTATTCTGTGGTTGCTTTGATAAGAACACATAATCAGCTTTGGTTTAAAAATGGTGAAACAGTTTCAGAACTGTATTTTTATCTTGTACAGTGCACCTGCTTAAACAAACTCCACAAGAGCTACGCTTTTTGACACGTTCTCCTCAAGAGAACTCTCTTCCCGGCAATCTCCTGATCCTGCGTTCTGAGCACAGATGTCTCTGCTGCATTTTTCAAAAGTCAACTTCCAAGCTGCCGGTCTTAGCCAGCAGTATTTGGACCAGACTCTCAGGTTTCTGCTCTGAATAGGCATTTTGAGCTGAGCCATTCTTGAGGAATTCATCACTTGGGGTAAATATCCTGGCTGATGTGAGGGCTATTCAGGTGCAGTGCATACAAACCACACAGATACGCTCCACTTGTGTCTATAAATACCTGCGCAGATAAATAAAGCCGGTGCTGAAATTTTAGACAGGCCCGCGCTGCTCTTAGTGTTCCTGCAGGTAGACAGAGTGTGCAGCAGCGGGCCAATGTTTCAGCGTAGCAGTTAGTTTCTAAAGTGATATGTGGAGCAGGTGTTTTGTAAAATAATGCTGGGAGATTGACAGGATGTGTGTGTTGATGAGTGGTGTTAAGGGAGAAGGGGAGAGGGGGTAGTGTGGACGGACAGGTGCTGTGGGGTTTAATCACCTTAGCCCTCTGTCTTCCACCCGCTGCTAAAGCAAAAAGTGTGCGAGGCAGGCAACAACTCTTTCCTCCCATTGTGTGTGGGTGACTGGCTTCCTGTCCAAGGCATCCTCATAGAAACTGTGTTTACAGTCATGGGTGTGTGTGTGTAGTCAAGTGTTTGTAACACACGTGCAAATGTGGGAGTGTGTATCTATATGTGTGTATAGATGTTAAAAAAAAGGGGGGGGAGGCAACACAGAGCATGCCCAAAACAAAGCCTTCATTCTCCCCGAGATGGAATTTCCTGCTCCACACACACACACACACACACACACGCAGGCGAACACACACACACTTGGCCCTTTACACACTTAACACCCTGCAGACAGCTGTTTCTATCTTGTCAGCTGACCCTTATTTTCTGTTTAGTAAGAGGCCAAATACTATTTGATTTGTCTTCCTCCTGCAATTCCTTCACAGCGAGGGCCTTGAAGCACTTCTTTTTCTGACGAGACGCGGGTTTTTATCTGATCATACTTGAATAATCTGATTATTTCTTCAACACACTGCAGGGGTTGAGAATATATTTCTTTCATTATGAGCTTCAAAACATTTTCACACTCTTGTTATCAAACTTTCACTTTGGAGCACTATATGTAACTTCCAGGATACAGAGTATCTTGTTTGCAAAGATAACATCGTTTTAAGTGCCTTTCATCATTCTTCTTTCTAAAGGTGGTGGTCTTTTTTTGGCTTTTTAGATTCAAACACCTTTTACATGCGAGGGTCAGAAGGGCTACAAATGAAGGGTAAACATTTTATTACTACTGAGACCTGACAGTATGACAATTATTAAATGTTGGTCTGTGTTGAATGATTTTGTCTGTATCTGTGTGCAGGTTGGAATCAATAACAAAGATATCACATAGCTATTTTAGGTGCCCTGAATTATGTTTTTCTTTGTGGTATTGAAACAGGTATCTATATCATTTGAGTTCTACTAGTATCGAATTAAAATTCTGGAATCATGACGACTCCAACATTTTGGGATTTGGCAACCTTTCTCCAATTCTAGAGTTGTGACGATTCCTCGAGTACCTCGGTTACAAAAAAGTGAATAAGGGATTTTCACTGCCTCAAGTACTCGTTCATAAGCTCAAATCGTCACTGTTTTGCACGGATTATTTTCCACCACAGTAGGAGGAGAAAGCGCGATTTTCATTTTGCGGAGTGGAAAAAAATTAATGATGAGAGGGGCTTTTCTTCTGCAGAGCTCCGGTAGCTCATTAGCACTTCGCCCCTGAGTGGGGCGGAGACAGCGCTGCTCTGCACGCTCGTCTTCATGCGAGCTTGCAGCCTAACATTGTAAAAGCAGGTAACATAGCAGCCATTCAGATCTCGGACACTAATGTCTTTAGGGGCATGATGAAAGCTAATATCATATTTAGCATTCTTACGAGCTTTGCAATCTGCTTATGCACAAAACTTGTTCCGTGTCCTTGTTTTAGAAAAAGGACAATTGATTTGTCATGATTAACTTAAATGTCTTTTTTTGGCCTGTATATTAATAATTGTACTTTAACTAAAAAGTATATGTTTTATCCAATTACTCAATTAATTGATGGAATATTCGGTAGAAAACTCGATTACTAAAATATCCGATTGCTGCAGCCGTATCCAATGCTGCTCCTCATACCTCAACTTCAATACTAATCTGATTGTGATGCTCTGTTTCACTTAAGTTGGAATCTGTGTTGAGGATCATTTGACTCATTCGTTCATTACTGACACTGGATCATTAGCATCATTGACAGCTCTGGTCCTTCCAGAAACAAAAAGAGTTTCACTCACCTGGACTGTCCACTCGTTTGTAGTGGTAGGGGTTGATACACACATCCTTCTGCTTTGATCCAAATGGGTACTCGCAACACTCCAAGGCCTTCAACTCATGGTGGGACTGCAGGTCAGGCCAGCGCCACACCCTGCAGTAAATGACATGGGGCAGACCTTTCCGATGGGACACCTGCAGCCGTCCGTCCAGGGAGCGAGGGATTGTCACACAGTTACTAGGCTGACCAGGGCAGCTGAGAGCCCTCTCCAGCTCCTCCATGGCTCCCTTCTTCTTTTTCAGTTTCTTTACTAGAGCATCCACTGCCTTTTCTGCCCATTTCTCTTCCTCATCTCCCTGCTTCCAACCCAGCAGTCGTTTGACCGCCGGGCTGGTGAAGGAGAAGAGCGAGGTGACGTTCATGGTGGACAAACCGCTCTCCTCCCCTCTCACTTCTGTCCAAAACACGTGTGAGCAGCAGAGATGAGAAAGTCCAGTTAAAGGAAGTTAAGGATAAAGCAAGTGTTCGTCCTTTCGGAGTCTCAGCTTCAGTGGTGAAAGTCACGTCCTCTTCACAGACACTAGACAGGACAGAGAAAATATGTGTGAGTAAAAATTTTGCAAATGTTTGTGGAGACAACTGTTCAAGTTTTAGCCGCTATAGTGAGAGTTATCTCCTTCCTTTGATGCATCACAAGCAACTACGATGTATCGCCACAAGATCCCTAAATCAACCCTCGGTGAGGTGATGATGTCACCTTACAGCCATGACTTCTAGTAAGCTGGCAAAGGAGTCGCAACGTATGCCCTCATGTGAGCATCCGCCTCAGACATTCTCCAGATAGCTTCCTGTCCGTATGGCTTGTCACATTACCGCCACTCACTGATGTCATCTACAGCAAGAGGTTTCACATGCATCCATCATCAGTCTGCATCATCCAGAGGAATCTGGACTGAAGGTCACCTGATTCACTTGTCAGCCTCTGCTTATTTCTCAATTAATCGTTAAGTTTTTGACTAAAGAGATTATTTTCCAAGAAACCTAAACAGCTTCTTTTTCTTCAGAGGTCTTGATTTGTTTTTGCCTGACTTTCAATGATAAATCACTATAAAAACCAATAAGGCAAAGGAAGCAAATCCTGTTGAGGAGATTTATACTTAACGTGCAGAAATAGAAAAATAGAGCAAATGCCATCACAAAGACAGATTTCTAATCCTGTTCTTCACAAATGAATCTTCAACGCAGCTGTTGAATTTTTTTCCTGTTAACTCTACATAAATAAAAAATTTTAAAGGGTCTTTTAGATATCAGTGGAAAAGAGACTTTCAAGGAGCTGCTCGCCGAGGCAGAGGCTTCTCCACAGCCAACCAACAAATGCTGCTTTGGGGCAAAAATCTGGCAATGTGCGGGACAATAAAAAGGAAGTGCATGTAGACCCCAGGATAAATGTGCCCATTCACTCTGCTCCCACAGGAGCAATTCAGAGGCCAGGAGGTGTACACATTCCAAAATTCAAAAGGGAAACAAGAAAGCATTGAGCTCTCCTGGTTCCACCTCGTTTTCAAGCTTTTTTTTCTGAATGCAATTAGGGAGATAAAAACATCATTACAGCTGAGGTTTGGCTTTGCGCAGAAGTTCTGATACACGGCCAGAATCAAATAAACAACTTGTCAGAACTCCACCAAGTGATCCGCACTGACTCATGGGTAAGGATGCATCACTCTCTGACTGTAAAGCCTGCAGTATATTGGATTTCCTACGAGCAGGAACAAATACATCATTACAGCTGCTCCGCAGTTATTCCTGGCCCTTCAGATTATGGGATGAATAGCGATCTCTATCTTTATCAGCTACTGCATACGTAGGCTGCATCATACTGACCAGCAGGCAGCAGAGTCTGATGAGAACAGGTGCTGTTTACAACATGTGTGTGTGTGTATGCGTGTGTTTGTGAGTAGTGTGTGTTGTGGGGTTCTGGGACACTAACTGCCAACCACACCAGGAGGAAAGCAGAACATATCTATACTTAGTAGAGCCACCTGAATCACACTGGCTGGTCAAGAGTGACGCTGAACTACTACTACAGGAGGGAGGGGATAAACAGCAGGTGTGTGTGTATGTGTGTGTGTGTGTGTGTGTAAGAGAGAGAGAGATGAAGGGGAAGTTCATCTCAACACTGATACCTTTTACGCCTCCAGACCTCACTGTGATATCTCACCCTGCTAGTATCCTAAAAGAGCAGCTAGACACCTTCAAAGAGACAGGAAACAGGTTCTGTGGTTAGGTCTTAGTATCTTTCATCAGCAGTGTAGCAGAGACATCACTTCCTCTAGCCAACACCTTCAGGTTTACCTAAGGTGAAGGGTGGAAGAGAGAAGAGCAGTTTCCTTGAAGGGGCCATCAGATGAAAAGTCTCCTCTTCAGTCTCTCATTAAAAATGTCATTCCTTCGACAGAGGAAAAGTCAACTGCAGAAGACAGGGCTGAGCCAAACCTTTGATTTTTGTTTCTTGATTGTTTTCTTGATTCCAAAACTTAATGTATTTGTGTTATCAGTGAAATGTTTTATTATTAAGGGCAATATACTAAAGATGCCAATCCATATGTCAATTTAATACTTGGTAGAATCTTTACTTTGAAGAAACAAAAGATGAAAAAGATGCAAAAAAAAACAAACAAAAAAAAACAGAAATGCTCTCCTGGCACAATGTTCAGCTACGTTCACAATGTTGGGGACTAATGTTCAGCATTTGGAAGTTGTCTGTATCTGCATTTTTTAAATTGATCCCCAATAAAACTGATTTTAAAAGTCTGAATTAAGTTTAATTCAATTTAAATATATTAAAAAGTGTGCTCCTTTGGTTCTGCTGCAGATGCATCTTCAGCCTTTAATTCATATGAAAATAAGTTACAAGTTATTAAAAGAGCAACACTATATAGATGTGCCTCAGCAGAAATGAATATGCACTACTGTGCATTAAGCGAAAAATATCCTTAAAGCTGGGTAATGGAGCAGAACAACACAATTAAAGTTCAAGAAACCAAAAGTGCAAAATCATCTCTGTGTCAGGGTCACCAGCCAGATATTCAGAGAGTCTTTTTGATCCACTTCCAGCCACAGAGCTGCCTTGATGGCCTTTTACTAACAGTCAGCACTATCAGCACAAGTTCAGGACTATCTGCAGAAAGAATACCTTTAATCCATTTCAGATGGAAGACTCCAGATCGTTGAGTTCCCTAACATCTGGAGCAGGCTTCACAATCCTCTGTCATTCTGGCAGCTGGCAGCCATATCTCTTGGATATTTGCACCCTTGACAGAAATATGTGACTACAAGCCTAACCTCATGCTAACTCAAAGGGTCTTATAAAGCTATGTCTTGGTTCTCTGGACAATGCTAGTTTAGAGTAATCTTAGAGGCAGTCAAAATATGAAGGCGCCATTGTGCCTCTCTGTTCCTAAACTATGTATAGACTTGGATGTTTGCATGACATAAATAGGCTTTTCTTCACTGAAGGTTTTTCTATTAATAGGCTTTGAGCTCACACTGGTTCACTGCTTATCCTTTCAGACTCTTGGATATACTTGATCATTTCTTGCTCTTCAAGTTAAAAAAAACATTTTTTTTTTTAAATCTCAAGAAATCATAAAGTGATTAGAATTACATTAACACACCAAAGAAAACAAGCTGTTGGTGAAATACTCAAACTAACGATTACTGACTTCTATCCCCTTTGCATTAATTTGACATAGATCAACCAACATTTTGGCAATAAATCTACTTCTAATGGGGCTCAATGAGGATTTATTTCCTACACTGACCACTTCTACAAAGCCATCAACCTCTAAGTCCCCATCTTTCTTGTCTCAAACGGTCAACAAAGAGCCAAACAGATTCCTGCTTTAGCCTTGGCCGCTGCTCCCCTCACTATAAAAGCTGAAACACACACCATCATTTACACTACAGCTCCATAAAAACCATTCTGACATTCCCTACAGCCAAGACCTGGCAATGCTCTCTCGCTATTGTGTTAGTAGTAGCTTGTTATGGCCATCAGTTAGCCCACTGGACACAAACTGAGGCTAATGGGAGCACCGAGTGGGATCATGCGACACTGACGGGCGGAGGCTTTGACCCACCTGGTGCGAGCTGTTAGCCACTACACTAGACTCATGGATCATTTTGCACCGCTCTAGTGTCTGTTAATCAATTTAGGCTTGGGCTGTGTAGGGTGAGGAGGCAGTAATGATGCTCTCTGGACCCTCCCAGGGGATGGAGCATTATAAAGAAGCTACATTATTTATCAGCAGGGTCCTGGATGGGGCCTCCATTAGCCCCCACTCAATGGAGTCACTAGCTATAAACAGAGGAGTGCAGGAAGAGAGGGAGGGAGGGAGGGATGGATATGGAGTGAGTGAGAGAGAGGCAGAGAGGGAGATTGATGCAGAGAGTGAAGGAGAAAGTGAGAGTGAGGGAAAAGCCAGAGATGTAAAATAAACTGAGATTCTTTTGAGAAAGAGGTTGAAAACACTTACATCTCTGATTTCTGGAGCACACACTGAAGTAAGTACATTTAAGGATTATCACTGAGTAAAAAGAAGAAACAAAGTGCCTTCAAATTAATACCTTCAAATAAATACATATCACAGCAATGCAGCAATAATGTATAAGAGCATCAACAGACTAGCAGCTGTCAAGCTACTACTCAGAGGAATGATTTCGAAGCAAAAACTACAACATCCAAAAGGACTGAGGAAAGTATGAAATGTCAAAATCTGTATGATTTTAAATCTATGTAAACATATTAGGGTATTGTTTGGTACTATAATAGCAGCATACTAATTCTGGGAAAATGTATATAAATAAGCCAACACAATTGAATTGCGGGTTTAAGCTTATTTAATGTTGTAAATTACACATATAAGTAAAAAAGGGAAATACATCTTCTTTCTCGAAAATCCTGCAACTTCTTTAACAAAACGAAACTGTCAACATGTTAAGTGCCCAAACAAAGACATGTTTAAAAGATATTTCCCAAAATTAAGTGGTCTAAAATGATTTGAAATTTACTTTGGTTGAAGAATTGCTGAATCAAAGAATATGCATGAGTCATACACAGCTGGGGTGTGAACATCAGTCATTATTTACTCATAAACTTTGCTATGATTGAAATTATGAGACAGTGTGGGCGACTCAGTAGGCTAGACTGTTGTGAAACTTCCACTTTTATCACTGAAAATAGCAACATTTGGTAAAGGAGCAGCCAATTCAGTATGATGCATTTGCTATGAACACCGGCCCAATGCTCGCCAATTTAACAAAAACTCTGTGGCGTAGCAAGTGTTTTAAGAAAGGTGCTACCAAAACTTTCCACAATGGGGGGCACCGCAGAAAATTAGCCCTGTTTTCATTCTTAAGTGGCATTTAGGCGAGCTTTTGTTTTCTTTTCAAAACACTGTAAACACAATACGAAGTATTTAAAAAAAAAAAAATGCACCTGCCAAGGCCCCCTGGTGGAAAAACTCACAACAGGGGGGTCCCGATACAACTTTTTGACTTCCAATACGATACTGATATTGTAGCCCTCGATACTGACCGATACCGATATTGATCCGATCCGACTGACAAGTTTTTCCACTCAGCTGCAATGTCTTTTTCTTTCTGCCACAAGGCCAACATCACTCTTACTCTTTGCTACTTTGTTCAGCGATCAGTTGAGATTGTGCTCTTTTCTGTGCTAAGTGTGATCCGAACAAGTAACAGCCTGGCAAGGATTTGCATCTTTGCTACGACAGGTCTCCCTGCTTGAGTGTTACTAAAGATGACTTGATTGTCTTGAGTCAAAATTGATATAAAAAAGTCGGCTGCAACTCATAGTCACAGAGGGATACTGCAACTCCAGACAAAAGCCCAAATGCAGCTCTGCAAAAGCTCAGTTTACAAGACGCAACACATTTGGTTTTTTGGCCAACTCTTCACAATAAAAGTCCTCTGTTCTCAGTACCACAATATATTAACCAGATAAGGCAAACAAATAAACTACGGTGATATGTATTGAAGGTGATATCACCCACTCCTACTTTATAGTAGACTTCTTTATATAAGACAGTTCAGCCAATGACAATCCAGTATTCTGATCTTGGTGCAACCATTGGCTGTAGGTTCTTGATTAACATACTCAGTAACCAACATTTACCAGCAATAAAACACAAATACTGATAACCCAACAAATCACACTTACATTTTGAAACTCTTAAATTTGTTAATTTCATCATGCACTCTGATGAAGCACATCAATGCCAACCTGCTGCACTGGGAAGGGCAGAGAAAGCACAAGAGGGAGAGAGAGAGAAGAGAGGCTCATTAAAATATAATCACTTAACTGTGCTTCCAGACATGTGGTGCTACGGAACCGTCCAAACATTTTAAGTTATATTGTATTTTTTGTTATACTTAATACATGTTGTACTTTACAATATCCTGTGAGTGACGGAGGAAACACATTTGTTTGTTATTGTTTCAATGTAATCTAAAAACTAAGTACATAATGAAATGTAAAAATTCAGACCCTAAGTATGATCAATTTTTTTCCACATGAATTCGAAAGAAAAAAAATAACAACCTGTCTTATATTTAGACCAGTATCTTTCTATATTTAGTTTTTCTTCGCCACTGGGCATTTTGGCCAAATGCATCTGTATCTACCAGACAACTACTTGTGAAACCAGACAAATCCTGGTAAACACAGGCCAACGTAATCTCTGCTGCTGGGTCCCTTTTCTAAGTGCAACCAAGAGCAGTGAAACTGAAACATACATTTTATCACCTTGGCCTCTCTGCTCAAGGAAAATGTTCTTGACTACTTTCTGCTGCACTCACATTAGCCCTGTCTTCACACTGATTTCTTCCAAAGGGAGTTTGTAGAAAAGAGCCCACTGAAAGTCGGATGGATAGATTTAATTATTACTGAGGTTTACACATGCAACCCATCAGAGCAATGTCCAAACATTTGCAGGGTGCAAGGTGTGTATGAACAGGGTTCACACACTATGTTGTATCCTGTCAAATTAACTAAATATCAGCACATGTGTTAGCTACCCAATCCACTTGTGCTTATAGAACAGTCACAGAGCAAAGCTCTACATAATGAAAGTCAGACATGAGGTGCTGACCTCAATGACTAGACATGGCATTGACCTGCAAGCCTCCAGTAACCGACTGAGGTCAGTCTCGAACAGTTTACAGCTCTGACCTAGTGACAAGCCCACTGGTGTACAGGGAACTACGTCCAACATGACATGGAAAAACACTACAAAACCTCCTGTCACCAAACTTGTGGTTAGCATTGTTCTGAATCTGAAAGGCTGAACTAGGATCAGACTTTTTTATGTCCCAGACACACCAGTCCACCCACTGACTGCAGACATAACTTGCAAACACATGGGGTTTCAAGCAGCTATCTCAACCATGCTTGGCACTCCGTGTTGGGTTAGTGTTGTGTTAGGGTGGACACCTCACCCCGACACATGGCAAGCTATGTCGTCCTGACCGTGCAGACACACTGGTGGGTTTTGATGTCATTCACTACTGTTGTGACTGACTATCTGGAGACAGGAATGCTGCTAACCTATATTTACACCCTGTAGTTGAGTAGTGTCCGGCCCTTTCTTTTATCGTGGCTTGATGTACTGTTAGAACGATAGACTGTACTGTTTAACTAGAGATATAGAGATCATTAAATGTCGGTTTCCTTTTTTTTTTAGCAGGAAAATGGAGCTACTACATGCATCTGGTCATCAAATCTGCACTGCTTTTTATTGGAAAAAAATACCCCAAAGTAAAACTACCTGTACTGACCCAAACCCATAAAACCTCTGTTTAAGTTTGATCAAAATTTAGAGCCACATATGAAGAGAATGCAGAAGAATAAAACAATTCAAGGTAAATCACAGACAAGGACAAATTCCTGTCCTTTGGGTAATCTGATATGTCATCTTCAATAATGTCAGGAGATCCAGCCTGAGCTGTAGCTGCTGTAGGTCTCTCACACTCCCTACCTCTCTTTCATTCCTTCACACACACAAATTCATAAACATAGCATAACTAAATCCACAGACATGTGAAACGTTTCTCTGTGAATCAGTTTAAATAGGTACAGTGAACCTGTGTTAGCAAAAAACCCCCAACAAAATAAAAACTTTGAAATAGCTTCTTGCAAAGAGATGGCATGTGACTTTATCACCATATGAATGTAATATGCTTGTAATGCATTTCATTAATTCATCATTCACTAGTTTAGTAGAATCAAAAGATGATTAATTGAGGGTAAGATACAACAAGCTCTCCTATCACTCCCCATCCTATAGGTTAGTTATCTCAAACGTGCTAAGCCATAGGTTTATTTCACTGAATACAGTACAGGGGTGAAATGATGAAGGGATTAGCTGATCATTACAAAACTAATCATTCAAAGTTTTGACAACAGTTTATACTATCTTCAATATGATATAACACATTCAGTTTCAGCTTTTTGGAGGCAATTACACAGACTTCAAGAAAACTAAAAGGGCCTTTTTTCACAGAATACAACTTACTGTAGTTTAAAGAACTAAATAGCCCCAAACCAGTGTCAGTAATAGCTACACTTAAGTCATTATTCCCCACTGAATAACCACTATACATCGTAGAATGCCTTTCTGTGTACTAGTGCTTCTTCTATTTCCAGATTTGACCTAAATGTTTGGTGTTTTTTAACCAATTGCTGCACATATCCTCAAAAGAACCTATTTACTGGCCTGTACAGCAAGATTGTCAACTTCACATTTTTTCTTTCAATGTTAAAACGGTTTGTTTTAAATACAGATAAAACAATTGTTTTGAATCTCTGAGAAAGTGAGACATAACTCGCAACCCAAAGTCAGGTACTGAGGATGAAAGGAGGAAAAAAAAAAGTTTCAAGTTGCCCACTGATAGATTCACTTCAGAGTTGATAGTCGTTGGGATCTACTTTTCCTCCAAACATATGCATACACACCGTAACAAGTAGAAATAAAACTACAGAAACGCTTCATTTTTCACCATTAGAAATAAACCAAAAGTTTTACACTACCTTTTTTCTTTCAAAGGTGTTGTTCCCTCTCTCTCTCTTCCTCTCTGTGTCTACTCCTGTGTGCTCTCTCTGCCCGTCTTGGAGCTGCTCGGCCTGGCGTCAGTGAGTCGCGGAGCCGCCTCACCCTCCGTCGAGCGCCAGTATCACGCCGCTGGATGCAGCCCCCGACAATAACAAGACCTACTTTTCACACATCTAACATCTTCATTCACTGTGTGGAAATGGATTATGTAACAGTGAAACAGAGCGTTTTTCTCGCTCACTTGGAAGAAATTCTTCTGAAATCGCACAGTTTTTCCTTTAAATGTGGTTATATGTCATTTTGCAGGTCAGAAGAGTGAAGCAGTACAGTAAATCTCATCACTTAAAAGACATGCAGACATTCCTGCAAAACGTGGGATGTTTCCCTCATTTTCTGCATGTATAAACAGTAATTGCAAAATGAGGGTATTCGAGGACCTTTTCTGATTGGATTTGTCACTCCCCCTGTTCTAGTGCCTCCTCTAAGGCAACAGAAGTAAACTTAACTTGAGTTTTCAATTAAAAAGTCTGTATTAAAAGATTGTTGGACTTAATTCCAAGCTGTACAACAAATGAAGGCTGTAATTGATCTCAGCAGAAATAAGAGAAATTTGTCAGCCTTTTTCTGCTTTAATAAACCAACTGTTGTCTTTCTTTGCGGTTTATCTGGTGTGAACCTCTGAACTGTACTGTGTGTAAAGCCTGCCTTACCGTTGCCCTCTTGCTTTGATTGTGATATGATAAGCACTATTCATGTTGTCAGGAGAACAAACAAGTAAAAGAAAAGCGGTAAGGCATAAGAACATGCTTACACATGCCATCATCTCAACTTCTCAACTATAAAAATACAGCACACATACAACAAGTTCAGCCCCCATTCCTCTGGTGATGGGTAGCCTATATATGATGCATGAAATTGCAGTGTGAAAAGTAAAACTACAAACAGTTCTCCATTTCTTCTCATTAATATTGCATGATAATGCATGAAAATAGCCTTCAGGCAGGGAAACAGCAGCAGCAGGAGAGGACATGAAGTGTCATTTCCCCATAAGGTTACTAAATCAGTCAATACAATGAGTCATATTCAAGAAGAGCAAGAATCAACTGAGAATAACCTATGATTCATTTGGAAATTGTGAAATATCTGACTGAGTCAAAAGCAGAGGTAAAGAGGTGAATACACAGACAGAAAAAGGAGATAATATCAGAGCAATAGAGCAGTGCAAATGAGCAGAAAACTTTCCTTTCTCAGGAGGTTCAGATATCTTTCAAATATGATAAGGGAAATGAAAAGTAGCAAACAACAAAGTACAAACTAACTTATACTTGATTCATTTTTAATGCTCACTAGTCCAGGAATATTTAAATATGTAAAAAAAATGGCGTCAAATAATGGAAATCTTGTTTAACAGCTCAACTAGTACAGGAGGAAATAAATGCAATAACTTTTAACTCTTAATTATCGCATGAATAAGTTCAGGGTTACCGCTTTGAGAGGGACTAGATTGTCTCCGAGGTAGGCGGAGGGAAACGTTCAGGGCGGAGGAGACTCCTGGCGTAGATGACGTCACGGCGCTGGCGACAGAATGTCTGAGTGAGGCGGGAGCGAGCTGCACGTGAATAAATCTGGGAAAACAGTGTGAGAAGGGGGGGTTAGGCAGAGAGAAAGAAGGGTAGGATGGGGGGCGATGATGGTGCTGATGATTATGAGTGAGGAGGAATAAAAAGACGGCTCCACAGACTTGAGTTAAAGGTCTTCCTCTGATACGAGCGCGCAAACACACACCCACACGAAACACACGCGCACACACACACGCTAAGCAACCCCATTAGACCAAGGCAGAGGCAACTGAGTTTAAACAGGCCCTATCAGGTTTTATGGTATTTTATTTCATTAGTTCAGTTAGTGCAATGGACCACTGAGCTAATATTATCGTGGAAAGATATTTTCCTCAGAGATAAACGGAGTCAGTCTTTGTTTAGACACTGGATTTACCCCTCTATTTTATTTATTTATTTTTACAAAGAACCATACTATAGAGTTATATACTCTTGGTAGCATAATGATTTAGCCTTCTCAGTTCATAGAAATGTTTCTTTGTTATTTGCTAGTCTATCTAATATAGGCTTATGGCATTATCTCCATCTCCAAAGCTGCAAGGTAAAGACAACTGCAACACCAACAAAACAGACAACTTAACTCTTAATTTGTCAACAATCTGAATACTTATGCCAAAACTATTTTCTGCATTGTGGATGTACGTCAAATTACTGATTTGTCCTCAATGGGCTATACAGTGAGTCTGATAGATACTATGATTGGCCTGTAAAATACCCACCCTGTTTGGAAACTTTATCAAAAGGAAAAAAATAAAATCTGAGATATACCCAAATATGTGTTAGCAAATTTAGTTATTAACTGAAGGTTGTTGTCCTTTTTATACAGTTTACTAATTGCAGTCAACTCCAAAAGGGCCTGTGCATACTAGACTGTATATACTATGGACAACTTGGTTCCGCCTCCCCCCAGTATACGGAATTGAAGCCAAAAAGTTCTCGGTATTTCTGCGATTTTTCTTCATTTCCTAAAACCAGCATTGCACAGTAGTGTTGTATGCATTCGGCGGGAGAGTCGCCAAGGGTCGCTGTGATGATGCTGGGTCGCTGTATCAGTTGTCAATCATAGAAAACATGAACCCCCTAATAACTTTTAAAAATGGAGCTTCACAGGAAAAAGAGGACTTGAGCACAAACCAGTCTTACTGTAACTATATGTTAACACCGTGAGCAGGGGGGATAAAAATTTATATTCTGTGTAATAAATTTCTAAAGTTTGTCCACAGCTCCATAAGCTTTGCTGGCGGAGGCGGGATTAATGACCTATACTGCAGCCCGTCAACAGAGGGTGCTGTTCGCGGAGTGGCTTCACCTAGCAAGGAGGCAGACGCTGTCCAGTCTATGATTCCAGTTACAAATGCAAAACAGACTAGTTCTCAGCCGTATTTTGTTCTTTGTAAAAAATAGTTCATATTTTGGAACACTGCAGCACTCCTCACTGAATAAGTTATATTTCACATCGTGTTACAGGGATCAAAGCTTGTATCTTAGTTGCAGCGAAGTTAAAACATAGAGCACATTCAATCAATTTATGATGACAAATTCGGTAACTATCTTCCAGATCTTTATTACACTTGTAGTTTGGTTCTCCTGTTCTGGATCATGGAAAAACACTGATGCTGATTCATTTCTGCCTGGTTTGTGTTCATCTCTTTACCGCAGCTTTAATTGGCCAAGAGTTGCTAGGTCATGCTTACGTTGATCTTCAGATTGGTGCTTAAGGTGAAAGGGGTGATCAACCAAACTGTCCAAGCAAGAAAATACCTACAAGGGAACATGATCTTATAATTACTAGCCTTGTTTGTAAAAAGTAATGCAAAATTGACCATGACTATAAAGCTAAAACAAGTCAGAGGAAATGAACAAAATAATCTGTCCGAAGGTGTTTTGAGTGCAGTCCAAAGATTTGCCTTTGGATATGAAAATGAAACATTATTAGAAACAAAGAACATCTATTTTATGTAATACTTCTTAAATATATCAATACAACCATAAGTGAGATAATATCAAATTGTGGCTCCATCCAAATCTGTGAATGTGTGCATACTCAAGAATAGGACAAAATTAGTCCTTGAGAATTAGATTTTTCCTTTATGACTGAGAGCATTAAGCCAGAAGATAAACCTTTGGTACGAGTCCCATTTTGTAAGTCACAAATTTCCCAAATCTAAAAAAAATATATATTTCTAATTTCAATGATTATTTACATTTGTTCTTGTGTGGGTAATTCAGATTATTCATTTAAAAGAAGACCTAAAGCTCTTAAAATAGTCAAACACTTTTCTACTCCTCAAACCTGAGTCAGGACAGGACCTATGAGGCTAACATGTTGCCTTTAAAATATGTGGACAGGACATTATCATTTGAAGCACTTAGTAGTAGGCTCTATTAGGTCAGGGTTCATGAAGAGCCATTTAGAAACTTTGGAGCACTGCCTGTCTCTAACCAGACGGAGGAAGAGTGGACTCACGGGTTCGGATTGATTACAACATTAACTCCACAGACTTCCATGAATTAGCACGGGTTGAAATGCTTAATGATGACTGACACACATGTTTGGATGACACTCCTTCACATATGCAATTCATTTGGCTGTACAAGGGCTCTTGGCAGCTATCCACAATTTTTTTTATTTTGCTGCAATGCAAGGCATGGCAGCAGTGCATCAGGGCGGTTCACATTTCAAACGGGTGGCTCATTTGGCGCGGCTTTTTGCAAGTCCTTCTAGAAATAATGTCTGGGGTGGTAATATTTGAATGCTGTCTCCAGGGGATCTCAATTTTCCTACTCTACCGGTACTGCACAGAGACAGAGGATGCACCAATCAGATTCTGACACAACTTGACCTCCTTATTGCTCATCTATTTGCCAAGTTATGATTTAAAAAATTGCTTGCGCTTCCTTTCAGGTTCACAGATAAGGTCTGGTCAAGGAGACATAAACCTAACCTGTTTTGCTTCATGTCTGACTGAATGTCTTTGCAGGTCTTTTGGAGGTTTAATGACAGTTCTTTTAACTAGACAACTCTCTATTTCTAATCTAAACCCAGTGTGTAAAATGAAATCCCCTTGAGGACTTTGTCTGCAACCCCCCCTCTCAACATGTGAACATATGCAACTCTTTCCCCCTTAGTGCAGAGATTCCCTGGGATCAGTATAGAGGGTGGTCTGCACCGCTTTTATGGAGTAGAAGTGTTTGATTCTTGGGGAGGGGGATGCATCTACAAGCAGCTGTCACAGTCACTTGTTAGGACAGTTAACTCTAGATGGCACAGCTGTCAGTCAATGCAGCCATGGTACATTTCACACAAAGGGGGTGGCGGTGACACAGAAAACTTCAACCAACTGCTGACGCTCGCTCAGGGTGGACACATGACGATGCACCTGTATCTCTGCCAGCTGTCCTAAGCTTTACAGGTGCACTCTCAGAAACATTTCTACACAAAAGAGGTCACTTTTTGTCTCAGTTTTACATCTTAATCTGAATGCTCTTCTTGTGCTTGTGTGAATTTTCTTTCATTCTGCAAAAGTATAAAAAATG